TTGTAATGTGGCTCCGCTGTTTTGAATTGAGAGTTTTTTAAGTAATATGGGCATTCATTTATGGAAAATATTTCATCCATAAAAGGTGGATTCAAACTGTTAAATGTTTTGTAAATTTCTATTGCAAGATATTGTAAATTTTTCTTATGAGGAGTTGTTCAAAAGTTGATTCATAATCATCATGAGCTATTCTCATTGCTCTTTCGTGAATCCGGTTTTTTCGGCTATTACTTTTCCTACTGCAAAAGATCCAAATAAGAGGACAATAGTTAAAATATGATAATATGAACGTTTTCATTAAAAGAATTCGCTTAGATTCGTCCATATACAAAGTAATCCTGGCTAGAGCGTTTACCTTTTTCCCAGCTTCTTTACAAAAAACTTTAATATGTTCTTCTAATCTAAGTTGATGGTCTAGTGTTACTCCCAAAAATTTAACATTCTTACTTGCTAAGGACATACCAGACTTGCACCATTTCCAAATTTCAGTTTATTCCATTCCCATAGCAGCACTATACCATTTTGAAAAATATGTAGTTTTTTTGTAAATGTAGATTGCAGAATTTTAATTTCTTCTCTCAGTTGCTTTATTAAGTAAATAAAATGTTTATACAGAAAAGTAAAACAATGTTTGAATTTATTTGTATAAGTATTGAATTGCAACAACAATTAGGTTAATAAAAATTAACACTATAATTATAGGTTCAGTTCAGTTCAGTTTTTATTTTAAATTCCATTACATACAATTCAAGAATATTAACAATGCATACAGAAAAAAGATATAAGTAGACTACAAGGATATAAGTCATGTTACAGAATACAAATACCAACAGAGGAACAAATGAATTGCAAGCAGCAAATTACTTAAAGGAGGAGCCCCCTCAATAGGTAAACTAATCGAGGAAGGACCCCCCCTATTCAAACGGTTATAGAATGAGTTTGGATTAATTGGAATAATCTGAGAGATATACACTTTTGCATTTCCTATGTAAAATTGTGCAAGATATCAGAATAGCTCAGAGTATTAGTTGACTTTGCTCAATAAGTATGTTTTCAGTTTTTCTTTGAAATGTATTTTTGATGTAGCATTTCTGAATTCAGCAGGTAGTGCATTCCAGAGTTTGGCACCAAGATAACGTAATGATTTTAGACCATATTGAAGGTTGTTTTGTCAGCTAAGAAAGATGATAGATAAGGGTGATGATATTAAGTATTTGAGTTTTCAAACAAGCTGATCTGTAGCTTCTGATGTTTAGCTTGATGTACTGTCAAAAAACAATAAAGGACTTTATAGATTTTTGTTAATTCCCATCATGACTTATTTAACTTATTATATAAAAGATTAGAGGCACTTAAATGCTGGTTGCAGTTTGATAGAGTATTTAGAAAAGAGCTTTAAGATGATATTTACACAATATTTGAAATATTCATCAAGTTCAAATAAATAGTGTACAACCAGGCACTACAGAGCAGGGGGCTGGGGGGGCTCTAGCAAAAAATGCAAAACATTCAGAAATGAGCCACAAGTAAAGCCTCTTTTTATTCGTTTAGCCCCCCCCACTTTTCTAGACCTCCCGCCCCCCCCCACTTTTCTCAATGCTCTTGGTGCCTGGGTACAATATGATAACCAAGAATCGGCTTTCCATTCAATGAAGTTGAGCAAGGTATGAAATTACCAATGCTGACCAATAAAGTATAATCTTGTAAAACCAAACTGAAACTGATATGTTTTGAGTATCCATTGACAGGAAGGCTAAAAGTACAAAACAGAAAGTGACTTCTTTCTTATCTTCCACACAGTTTTATTTCACATCGTTTTGGTCAGCTTCTTCTTTTCGCACAATATTCATCAGAATTTCATGCAAACATAGTCATTTCAATGTAGGATCATGAAAACAGGTAATATTTGCCTGCCAAAAATTAATTGATTTTATTTGCCAGCAGTTTGCCAGTTTGTGTTTGCCTAAGTGTGTGTCTTCAAGAGCTGCTATTATAACTTTTGCCATTTTAGAGTGGTACTGCTTCGCTCAGCATTGTTACTGGAGCCACTGCCTATTTTACAAGTCGTCCAAACAGTGATCCATATTGGCTTCTGTCATCAGGGATTATTTTTATGAACATTCCTTTCTCCTTACTTGCAATGGTTCCATTGAATAATGCAATGCTGGCTGCTGAAAAGGATGGAAATAAAGGTTGGTGTGCAACTTTCAGTTGTAGAGCATTATCTTCAGCCTATTAAAAGCTGTGTGTATTTAGATTGAAAGGGATTCTGGAGTTGAATGCAAATTTCAAACAATTTCAAACAAAGTTCAATTTTGCCAACATATTCACGTTCAAATTTAGATGAACAGTGAGCTTACTCTAGATATTTCACAAAAATTTTGGAAACTTGAACATGAGCAGAGTTTGGAAATTTTGACCAATTTGGATAACAGGTATTGCTCATTTTCTGAGCACTTCCCTTTACATTTGCATAAATTGAACAGAAGAAAACCATATTATGCAGTTAGATGTTGAGTCTTATGTTTCTTTTTTAACAGATGATGAATGGATAAGAACAAATTTGAACAGATGGACAAGGCTGCACAGAGTTAGAGCAATATTTTCAAATTCTGCTTTTGCAGTTATGGTATCCCGACTTGTATTCTAATGTCATTTTCAAAGGTAACAACAATAAATGAGCTTGTTCATTATTGAAGAGATTTGACTGTATTGTTTTTTTAAAGACTTCTTAGTCTTCAAACCATGTGAAATTAGTGTTTTCCTCAGCCCAACCTACAGGTTTGCTTCTAGTTTTAAGGCTATCTGGAGTGTAACATTTCCCACCTTTCATTCAATTTAATGTGTTCATTCAATTATCCATGATTGATAAGGGGTGCCTACCCTGGAGGGGCTTCAGCAGGAGCTGCCACTCCTGTCCTCTTCCAGGAAGGGCAGAGGTGGCAAGCAGTGCCCTTAATTATTAACTCCTAAGAAAAAATTATAGAATCTTGTAGTTATTTGATGACTATTTTAGCCACTCTCATTATGTTAATTTTAATAAGAAATTCATAAAAAATAGAAAAATATCCTTTTTGCTGTTGACCAGTAATAATGGAAAACTCACAGTGTCTTATAAGATACTGACTATTTCTCCAATAATCAGAACAAGGATGTTACTCTTATTTTATGCCTTAATATGAGAAACATGTTGATTTTCTTGGATTTGAAAGATAAGTTGCTTTGTGCTGATATCTACACAATGGAAGGCTTGCCTGAAATTTTTAAGAGTTAGTGTTTGGAGGATCAATTAGGAAGGAGTCAAAACTGAGGTTAGAAAATATTAGTGCCGGACATGAGCAAGTCTTCTTTTCTGGGTCCTGCCATACAGCAAGAACAATTGATATATATTTAATGATGAAATGAGCATTATCAATAAATCATCATCAACCGTCACATTATCAAAAGTCACATTCATGTCAATCATTATCTTTAACAGTCATTATGATCCTTAGTCGCAGCTGGGTGTGTTGTCAATCCCTCACTTAGTTGGTGTATCTTTCTGTTGTATCTTAATTAACCCTTTCCTCACTAGATTTCCTATGCCGGAAGTGCCTCTAACACTGAATTCCCTGGCCTAAACATAAAATTTTCGTACATAATTTTCAACCTAAATTTTTACAAGGAAGAAGGAAAATGTTATATAGGACACTTGGCATCAGAAGATAGAGAATTTGATAGAGAATTCAAAAATCATGGTTTTAACACACAGTCTTATTAAGCAAACAAAATTAGTTAAAATACAAAAACAGAGCGAAATAATGTCTCTTTCAACGCCAAAACTGAACCTTTGTGTGGTAGTCTGTAAAGCAATTATTGTCTTTTTTAATGCAGAGATAAACAGAATTTACAGGCTCACACCCAATGCAGCAAAATGTTGTTTTAGAAAGTGTATACGGGCACTCTTTAACATCTCTGTCTAGATTTGTAGTTATCCAGAATGCTCGCTTTTTTCTGCAAACAACACATCTATGCTCCTTTCCTTCTCCCTTTTGTGGCAAATGAATGCCAACATTTGCCAGTCTCCTTTCTTCAACTTCTGCTGTGCTCCTTCTCTTTCTTCCTTTTCCACAATTTACAACCCTTGTGTTTCCCAGTAGCGCCAAGGCTAGTTCCTCCTTGAAAGCAAGGAGGTCAAGCTTTCTTTTTCCTGGAACCATATGGGGTTTGATCTGCCCCTCAATAATGTAGGCATTGTTTATTGCTTTCATTAGCAAAGCAATAAATATTCTCAGATAGAATCTTTTTTGTTTTTTGTCTTTTTTAATAATTGATTGCTGGTCACAAAGGTCGACCCCAAGCATTTTTGCATTATAGTCTTTGACCAGCTGGGGGCACTGAATTCTAATCTGTTCATATTTCCCATCTTTTTTTGTGTTTCTGGTCACAGGCTCACCAGCTGAGGAATTATGAATTGAACTGAGGAAATAGACAGGCTTTGTGTCTTTCCAAACCAAAGCAATTAGCCCCTTATGGCTTGCAAATTTGCTCTCCCCTCTTTCCATTTTTTTAAAGGCAGTGTGTCCCCTATTGTGCTCAACTTTTATTTTCACTGGAGTGAAATTTATGCATCTGGTGAGCTTGATCAATAATTAGACAGTTAAAAACAATCAGAGACAACTTTAATTCCAGCACTTTGGATTCAAATTACTGTGTTCCTGTTGTTCTTATTAGCCAATCATTGATGGGACAGACTGCCTTTAAGTTCCCTTGGAAACTTATCAAAACACAGATGTTGGCAGGGGAATTTTTAGCAATTTTTTCTAGCTAGGGGCATATTTGAAGGGATGATTTTATGAGGGGGGTATTCAAGGATTTATGGTACTTTTGGTAGCAGTTTTTGAACCAATTTTAAGTTTGCATTAGGTTTCTGGGTTCTCAAGGGCAATTTTTAAAACCTTTTTCAGTTAAGGGCATGTCTTTCACTGAAGACAGAGCATCAGTTTGTCCAATTGCTGACAAGGACACTGACAGCACCCCAAGATAAGATTTATTTGTCCAATAGCAAATATTTGGGGGCAGCCCCTCTAAGGATGGTCAGGGCTGCCAAGAGGTTTCTGAGGCCCTGAGCCAATAACAAGAATGACGGCGCCCCCGTCCAAGCTGATATTTTCGATGGCCACGCCTATACTTCTAGCGGCAGCAACAACGACAGAGCATCTGGCTACCACAGTAGCACAGTAGTTACTCCTCTTTGAAAAATTCTCTGGTTCTTTCATCATTAGCTGACCTAGGAGTCTGAAAGATGGATATCGACAAAGCTGCTGTTGGACTAGGGTTGAAATGTTTGTCTACCGTAACTGCAGGGCTGTTTGCAGGCGGAGCATTGTATATAAACCTTGTCGAACACCCAGCAAGGATGGAGGCGACTGATATGAAAACAGCTTTAACTTGTTGGAAACCGTCCTACACAAGGGCAGCTAGCATTATGGTAAGAATGTTTCGTGTGCTTCATAGAATGTGTTTCGTGTGCTTCATGATGCGACAATAAAAAGCGATAAGGTAGAGTGATAGATAAAGGTAATGCACGTCGTGATGATTTTAGCTGCCCAATTTTGAACTAGCATAGAACAACTGTGGCAACTTCAATATGTGTATGGAAGGCCTGTGCTATGCCCATAATCATGTTCGAAAACGTAATTGCCTCTAGATACTTACTTGGTACCTAGGACTGTAATGAGGCAGAGGCATCTTGCACTCAAGTGGGCTTACAGAGGATAAGCCATCCCATTTAGCATTTTCAATTTTATCATTGCCAAAAATGAATTATTCAGTTGGCATCTTTATGTGTAAATTAGTCTTTGCCAAAAATTTCAAGTCTGCCGTTTTCAAAGCTTATCCTATATAGGATCAATTAGGAAGGAATCAAAACTGAGGGTAGAAAATATTAGTGCCGGACATGAGCAAGTCTTCTTTTTTGATCCTGCCATACAGCAAAAACAATTTCATACTGTATGGCAGGGCCCAAAAAGGAAGACTTGCTCATGTCCGGCACTAATATTTTCTACCCTCAGTTTTGACTCCTTCCTAATTGATCCTATATGTATATTCATTTCATCAATGGATTTCCCACTGCAGTTAAAAGGAAAACATTTCACTGCGTCAGCAAATCCCTGTCAAATCTTTAGAAATGTCTTAATAATTTCTTAATTATTACTATTGCATTGGGAAAAGCCATCTCACAAAATCCCTTCCTTAAATTTAGCTAAATCATGACAGCAAGTTTTAAAGAATGCTCTTCTTAAGTGCATGAGTGTGTCTGTTTATTTAAAATGGACTAGTGCAATGAAATAACTAGAAAAATAAATATTATTTTATTCCTTTTTCTCTAGTCTAAATTTGCATTGACATCTGCAGTAGCATCAGCATCTGCCTACTTTATGACAAAAGAAAAATCACCTGAAAATGTATGCTGGCTCGTCTCTGGTGGAATGCTCATGACAATACTCCCATTCACAAAGTTATTTATCTTACCTCTAAATAATGAATTATTGGCTGTTGAAGAATTAAAGGAAAAAGGTAAGTTTTTTCATGCTAGTCAAATCCCGGTTTGTTATAAGCTTTAGGGTTAGAAGTTTCTTTTCAGTTTATTTCCCAGGACTCTTTTTTTAATGACAATACTTGAGAATTTTTGGTTGGCCTTCAGTTCTTTCCATAACCCAAAACAGAGAACAATTTTTTTTGCGGTACAGAATTTGAAAATGGCTTTGAAAAAAGCAAACATTTTACAACATGCTTAAAGCTTTTTCGTCTGACACTCCTCAGAGCATAAAACGTCAGAATAGGTTCCGAAAAAAACACGATGGAAAAATATATACCCAGTTGTGGATCAAAATAGGCCAATCAGAAAAACGCAAGCACAAGACCGGTATAGTTGACCAATCAGTGCCGCGAGCCTAAAGAAAAATTACCAATGGAGTCCAAGAGAGAAAACGAACTCCTTTTGTCTACACCTTATGTAGATTGACTCCAAAACTGCTAGATGGAAGGACGACCGGGCTCTGCCAATTATCCGAAACATGTCGTCATTATAGAGTTTTGCACAATCTGGGTTGTCTAAAAGATGTTGACCAATGGCAGAATCACTTGTTTTAACAGTGTTTCTAGACCTACAAGATTGAGGAGGCTGTTCTCTTTGAGGGGCAGTTTTGTTTCGTATGTTGGAAGGAACATGCTGTTTTATCCTATCCCCCAATCTTTGGGTTGTGCGCCCTACGTAGCCAAAACAGAGAGTATCCAATTATCCCTACTTTTGCCCAATTGTCCCCAATTAGCTTGGTTTTTTAAAAGGAACATTAAAAACTCATTGATGAAAACCAATCAGATTTACAACTTGATTCCAGCAGGGCTTATGTATATACTTATCTTATATTGCAGGGGATTCATGGATTTCTGAAAACCTAGAAAAGTGGAATAAGGTACATTTCTGTCGCACAGTGCTTGGTGTCAGTGCTTTTAGCACAATGGTTTATTTGCTAACAAAAGAAGGCAATTAACTTATTGTTTGATAACTAGAGTTGAATGTTGTGGAGGTGACAAAAAGCATTTATATGATGATAATGCTGATGTTTATTGTGTCATTGATCTTCTGTGTTTTTTAATATGGCTTTGATTCCTAGAAAGTTACCAGTTTTCAACAGTAGCTGATTACTGTCAAGGGTTTTTGTTTCAACGGTTACTTTGAATTTTGCTATGAAAAAGCAAATTGAACTGAAACCAACATGATTATACAACACTGCAAGGTCTCATGATGCACGCTGCAATATGGAATCAAGGCTGGGCTGGAGAAGCTTGATCCAGTCTTTCTTTGAGATCAGCGGTTTGAATACATTCCAATGTTAAGCCACATCTTATGTTTTTCAAATAACTGTTCATTTTATGTTTTTCAAATAGTTAATCGTACCTTAAAAAGTATTTGAAATGGAATGCAGATTCATTTTAGGGAGACAGCAAACTTTCATTCCATTTGCCAGATTAACATTAATTCATTGTAAAAAACATCTCTGCCAGCAGTCTTTTTATTGGTTCAAGCATGCTCTGTTCAGGCACAAGTATTGAAGACCACTTTTCCTTCTTCTCGGATAGACACTCTTCTACTTCTCGGATAGACGCTCTTCTACTTCTCCATCCCATATTTTGTTTCCTCTTGAATTTATGTGGCTCTGGTGCCCTATTACATGCATGATATGAGTTTTAAAGTCTATGTTTTTAAAGATAAAAGACTGATAATGATTCCAATTTTTTCAAAATTAAACACTTGTTTTCTAGTCTAGTCTAGACTTCCAGTCTATGGTTCTAGTCTGGGCTTATTTTTTTCTGAGATTAACCTTTTCTGATACCTTTTCTACAGAAGAGTCCGCCAAAAAGGAACACATTCAAGGCTTGCTTACTGTAATCAAACCATGGGTTTTAAATAGTTGTTATTTTCTTTGTTGATTAAAGTATGCTAGCTTTGAATTCAAGTTTGTACTTGTAAAAGAAGCTAGTAAATCATGGTGTTTGTATTATTTTCTTGTCAATTTACAAGCTGCTGAAGGTTGCAAGCTAACTGTTTGATGACAATTATGCACCAAGAAGTCCACCTATTCAATGGTTTTAGCAGTGAGGGGTCCAGCCAAAGGACACTACTGCCAAAGGGTGATAAATTATTGACCACACTTACCACACCCTTTTTCTAAGAGGGTTACTGTCTCTATAACAAGAAAGGCTTCTACCCAAGTAAAATAGACTATTTAAGCTATATTTTTGAATATTAAAGCTCAGAGACCAAATTATTTGTTCAATGGTACCCAAATTTTTATGAGAATGCCTTTCATTTTTCACGACTAGTTTTTTGCTGTATTTAGACTACAGTCATTTTCATTCAATTCCATTGCACAAGAAAACAAAAGGTTTTTTTTGCCTCAAATGAATTTTTGAAAATTTGCCTAAAATTCCCAACCAGTCCTGCAAATCTTAAAAAACAGATTTTTTTACAATTAGTAGTTTAAAAGGCAATTTAACATAAAAAACTTTTTTGTAAAAATGCGATACCGAAAAGAAAAGTAAGTTTGAAAAATAGAAGGCATAGCAAATTACACATTTTTAAGGTAATATGAAACAGTAAATGAAATACCTAAAATTTCCAATTTTTGTAAAGTAATCGACCATCGCTTTGTATAAGATAATAGGCTTACTTCTTTTGTAAAAATGAGAGCCAAAATCACAATTTTTGCTTTTTTGTAAAATATGACGAAAAATCATACTTTTTGTGAAGTTATAGGATTAGTTTTGCGAAAATAGGATGGTCAAGCAGCAAGAAGTATCTTTTTTGTAAAATTTAGATGACAGAAAGATTTTTTAAGGTAATAGGCTTACATTTTTTTAAAAAGAGGTAAAACCATTTTTTGTAAGATGATAAGCAATAAGATTCACAAAAAATTCACACTCTGCAAGATAATAGGCTTACCTTTTTGTAAAAATTAGATGACAAAGAATCACTTTTTGCAGGGTAATAGGCTTGCCTTTTTGTAAAAGTAAGAAGAAGAGAAAATCAAGCTTTTACTTATGTGATAGATTAACCATTTTTGTAAAAATTAGATGACAAAAAATCACACTTTTTGCAAGGTAATAGACTTACCTTTTTTGCAAAAATTAGATGACAAAAATCACATTTTGTAAGGTAATAGACTTACTTTTTTTGTAAAAACGAGTTACATAGAAACATAACACTTTTGCAAGGTAATAGACTTACCTTTTTTGCAAAAATTAGATGACAAAAATCACACTTTTTGCAAGGTAATAGGCTTACCTTTTTTGCAAAAATTGGATGACAAAAAATCACTCTTTTTGTAAGGTAATAGGCTTACCTTTTTTGCAAAAATTAGATGATAAAAATCACACTTTTTGCAAGTAATAGGCTTACCTTTCTTGCAAAAATTGGATGACAAAAATCACACATTTTGTAAGGTAATAGGCTTACCTTTTTTGCAAAAATTGGATGACAAAAATCACACATTTTGTAAGGTAATAGGCTTACCTTTTTTGTAAAAACGAGTTACATAGAAACATAACACTTTTGTAAGGTAATAGGCTTACCTTTTTTGCAAAAATCAGATGACAAAAAATCACACTTTTTGCAAGGTAATAGGCTTACCCTTTTTGCAAAAATTAGATGACAAAAAATCACACTTTTTGCAAGGTAATAGGCTTACCCTTTTTGCAAAAATTAGATGACAAAAAATCACACTTTTTGCAAGTAATAGGCTTACCTTTTTTGCAAAAATTGGATGACAAAAAATCACTCTTTTTGTAAGGTAATAGGCTTACCTTTTTTGCAAAAATTAGATGATAAAAATCACACTTTTTGCAAGTAATAGGCTTACCTTTCTTGCAAAAATTAGATGACAAAAATCACACTTTTTGTAAGGTAATAGGCTTACCTTTTTTGCAAAAATTGGATGACAAAAAATCACACATTTTGTAAGGTAATAGGCTTACCTTTTTTGTAAAAACGAGTTACATAGAAACATAACACTTTTGTAAGGTAATAGGCTTACCTTTTTTGCAAAAATCAGATGACAAAAAATCACACTTTTTGCAAGGTAATAGGCTTACCCTTTTTGCAAAAATTGGATGACAAAAAATCACACATTTTGTAAGGTAATAGGCTTACCTTTTTTGCAAAAATTGGATGACAAAAATCACACTTTTTGCAAGGTAATAGGCTTACCCTTTTTGCAAAAATTGGATGACAAAAAATCACACTTTTTGCAAGTAATAGGCTTACCTTTTTGCAAAAATTGGATGACAAAAAATCACACATTTTGTAAGGTAATAGGCTTACCTTTTTTGCAAAAATTAGATGACAAAAATCACACATTTTGTAAGGTAATAGGCTTACCTTTTTTGCAAAAATTGGATGACAAAAATCACACATTTTGTAAGGTAATAGGCTTACCTTTTTTGTAAAAACGAGTTACATAGAAACATAACACTTTTGTAAGGTAATAGGCTTACCTTTTTTGCAAAAATCAGATGACAAAAAATCACACTTTTTGCAAGGTAATAGGCTTACCCTTTTTGCAAAAATTAGATGACAAAAAATCACACTTTTTGCAAGGTAATAGGCTTACCCTTTTTGCAAAAATTAGATGACAAAAAATCACACTTTTTGCAAGTAATAGGCTTACCTTTTTTGCAAAAATTGGATGACAAAAAATCACTCTTTTTGTAAGGTAATAGGCTTACCTTTTTTGCAAAAATTAGATGATAAAAATCACACTTTTTGCAAGTAATAGGCTTACCTTTCTTGCAAAAATTAGATGACAAAAATCACACTTTTTGTAAGGTAATAGGCTTACCTTTTTTGCAAAAATTGGATGACAAAAAATCACACATTTTGTAAGGTAATAGGCTTACCTTTTTTGTAAAAACGAGTTACATAGAAACATAACACTTTTGTAAGGTAATAGGCTTACCTTTTTTGCAAAAATCAGATGACAAAAAATCACACTTTTTGCAAGGTAATAGGCTTACCCTTTTTGCAAAAATTGGATGACAAAAAATCACACATTTTGTAAGGTAATAGGCTTACCTTTTTTGCAAAAATTGGATGACAAAAATCACACTTTTTGCAAGGTAATAGGCTTACCCTTTTTGCAAAAATTGGATGACAAAAAATCACACTTTTTGCAAGTAATAGGCTTACCTTTTTGCAAAAATTGGATGACAAAAAATCACACATTTTGTAAGGTAATAGGCTTACCTTTTTTGCAAAAATTAGATGACAAAAAATCACACTTTTTGCAAGGTAATAGGCTTACCTTCTTTGCAAAAATTGGATGACAAAAAATCACTCTTTTTGTAAGGTAATAGGCTTACCTTTTTTGCAAAAATTGGATGACAAAAAATCACTCTTTTTGTAAGGTAATAGGCTTACCTTTTTGTAAAAATTAGATGACAAAAAATCACACATTTTGCAGGTTAATAGGCTAACCTTTTTTGCAAAAATTAGATGAAGAGAAAAATTACGCTTTTACTTATGTGATAGACTTTTCTTGTTTGTAAAATAAAAAGTAATAAAATAACGCTTCTACCAATGTGATAGACTTACTTTTTTCTTAAAATAAGATGCACAGAAAAATAACACTTTGGCAAGGCTTGCTTTTCGGTATAAAATGAAATGCATCAAAAATGCTTTTTTGGTAAGGATATAGGTTTGAATAAGGCATAAAAAATTAAATTTTGTGTAAGCTTACTTTTTGGTTGAAAGCGATATGCATCGAAAATACAAGTTTTTAAAAAGTAAGGCTTAGTTTTTCAGAAGAAAGACATTAAAAATATCATATTTTTTGCAAAGTTGAAAGCGTAAATTTAGTGGAAAATGAAACTGAACAAATATCCTTACTTTTGTATTGTATAGACTTACGTTTGTGTGAAAAACGGCATAAAACAATATGCAAAAAGAACAGTTTCTAAATAATGATAGGCTTAATTCACACATTTTGCAAGGTTAACCGTTAAATTATTGGCGAGAAACGTCATGGAGCAAACAGCACACTTCCAAAGGTTTTTTGCTTACGTTTATGATTATTGACATGCATAATACATCCAGCATTCTGCGTAGATCTAGGCTTACTTTTAGTGAGAAATAATATGCACAAAAAAATCACAGCTTTTGCGAGGTGAATTGTCTTGCATCGAGAAGACAACTTTAAAAAAAATTAAAATATCGTTTATTTAAATTAAATTATGATATCGTTTGGTGAGAAATGACATGACAGAACTGAATGATGTAGCAATGTGCAGGTAACAATATGCGGGGAGACAAAAGATGTTGGTAGTTTATAGAGATATCCATCTTCGATTAAATACGTTAGCTAGGAATCGTTTCCAGAAGGACATGCTTCACTGAAGCAGTCATCAATTAGAGCGTAACATCCACCGCAGACGCGAACAGGAGAATTATATCCAAACGTAGCAATGCTAAAATAGAAAGTTGGTCTCTGTTTATTAGCATTGGCAACCGTTAAGTCTTCTCATACAATGTCTAGTTCAAAGACGTTGGCGTACAAAATATTATCCTTATCTGTATTAATTGCGAACTTGACGGCTGGAAAGGGAACAAAATCAAAAAACTGCAGCTTGTTTTGATGTAGAAATTAACGTCAAGGAGGTTAATGCAGTCAAGTACTCATAGCAATAACTTGCAAAATATGCAGCACTATGAACAGCTAAGAGCGTTACTCAATCATTTTTCAACTCTGCAGATTGTTCAGGTTCAAAAAACGGAAAATTATGAGTAAAACTTTGCAGAAAACAACCAAAACTGAACTTACCACAGCTTGTGTCCGGAACAGCTTTGGCAAAACACTCTTCCACAACAGCGGCAGTGATGTTTTCGATTTGTCTGACTGAACGGCAACCTGCATTTATGGTTCTGGCATATCCTTACAAGTTGATCAGGAACCCACGTCAGCTTAAGATTCTTTTGCAGATGTGATAAATCCTGCTTAGCTTGTTCTAATTCTTCGATTTGTTTTTGATGCTAAGAAAGAATGTCCTTGTCAAAAATCTTTACAAGATCCTAGGTTCATTCATAATTTGTCAAAGCGCTCTTTTGTCAAGGGATATAACTGACCAGCAATCTTCAATTAGCGATGGCAAGATTCAAAGATAACAGAAAACAAATATTTCATTGCGAAAAAATGTGACAGATAAAATTCTAAGAAACGAACAACTAACAAATTTCACTTACATCCCAAATGGTCGTATCAGCTTCTTGACGAACCTTTGCCAATTTATTTGCAAACGAAGCTTCACACTACAAATAGTTGGGATTGTGTAAACTAATGAGAATTGTAGAAATACCTATCACAATTAGGAGACGCTGTAATGATATGGTATCTCAATTCTGGTTTGGTTTGGTATGGTATATGGTAAATTATATCATACCTTTTTAATTTCGACTTCCTTGTCCTCTTTTAGTCGGGCTATTTCGTCTTTAGCTAGTTCCATGGCCCTCTGATATTCCTAAAAAGAAAGCAATATGACCCACATTTGCATCACAATAAATCAAATGCCACACACAAAAAATATTTGATTGTCATTATATTTAATACTTGATTATCGGAATCGATGCAATACTAAACGTTTTACGTGAATGTGAAATTACCTTGCTGTTTGTGGCCACAGATTGCATGAGTTTCCTGCACCGATTTTCCCAGTCTTTTTTCTCTGCTTCCGACTTTATCAGTCGATCTCTCAACTGAAAAGAAATTTTCCCATTAGGAAAATTTTTACTGTAAATTATAATTTCGGTGTTTTTTCACAGTTATTTTTAAATTATAATTGAAAGAGCCAGATGAAACACTTCTAAACTGATAACACATACTGCAAAGTGCTACTTTTCTGAATCTCACGAAAAGTTCAATTAGTTTTTCTTTTTATACTTGAATAAATCCAGAAATAACCAATGCTATTTCTACGTGAGACGTACAGATGCTGAGTCCAAGCCTTCTAGCTGGACTTGTTCGTTTTCCACATCAGGAATGGCTGTGTTTGCTTTTAATATTTGCTCTACATCAGTCATCGGTTTCAGAGACTCGACATTCCCCGGATATTGTTTTTTCATTGGAGAAACCAATCCTGCGGAATGAATACATATGACTTCAATTAAACGAATCTTCCTCTGAAAAAACAAATATACAAAATTCCATGAACAGCCATTGTAAGAACAAGACGGTCGGTTGCATTTCGATGTAAAATCCTCAAATTCATCCCATATTTCGTAATATTTCAGCTGAAACGTGACCCTGGATAAATAAAGACTGAAGCACACTTGATGCATTCATTTGACGACTAGATATCACTACGCTGAGCTCCTTTTACGTTCAGCGTTTCCTAATATCAGGGTATTTTCTACCTGAATGTTTTTACTTATGTTTTAAAGATCTCATAAATATAATTCATTAATGGGAAGGATTTATAAAAGAGATTACCTTCAGAACGTGCCTAACTTAGGCCAAAAATACTCGCGAAACAACATGTTGCTGTGATGTTACATCTAGCAATTAACAATTTAGATTTAAAATAATAACGGAAAGTGCAATTGCGCTCTTCGAGCAGAAACCTTTTATTGGAATATCCCATATCTTGTTCAAATCAAATTTCGATAACCTGTTGGTACGTGGTAAGGCAACTATCAGAAAGCGATCTTTTTGGGGACAAAATATGATTCTTTTCAGGTTCCCATTGTACAGTTATAGAAACAAAACATGTACCTCCACACTTTTGACACAAATTCTTCTTGCCGTAATTCTAAAAAGAATAAAAGAGTATAAAATTCATGCTCAAGACAGGGCAGATATTTTAGAGGAACAACGATTTGGGGGATAGGATAAAACAACATGTTCCTTCCAACATAAGAAACAAAACACGATCTTGTAGGTCTAAAAACGCAGTAGAAATTAGTGATTCTGCCCTCGGACAACATCTCTTAGACAACCCAGATTGTTCTAGACTCTATAATGACGACATGTTTCAGATAATTGGCAGAGCCCGGTCGTCTTTTCATCCAGTAGTTTTGAAATCGATCTACATACAAACAAAAAAGCAGCCATTGTGTAGACAGAAGGAGTTCATTATCTCTCTTGGACTCCATTTGTAATTGTTCTACAGGCACGCAGCACTGACTGGACAACTATGCCGGTCTTGTGCTTGCGTTTTTCTGGTTGGCCAGGTTGGCCTATTTCGATCCACAACTGGGTTTGTATTTTCCATCGTGTACTTTCAGACCCTTATTCTGAAGTTTTATGCTCTGAGGTGTGTCAGACGAAAGAGCTTAAAGTAGTATATTGAGTAAGGTTTGCTTTTTTCAAAGTCATTGACAACGATCTCAAAGAATGACCTGTATCAAACATCATATACTACTGCCACAGAGGGCAGTCTTCATACCGAACAGATGAATCTTAGCTGACTGACTTACCCTGTCTAAGGACGCAGTGCGGAATATGCTTTCATTTGGCACAGCAATTCTCTCTTTCATCTTTCTTTCAACACCTGCATAAAAAGCATTTGCTTTGAAACTGATTAAAAGGAGCAAAACAAAATTAGAAATAATCAAGCTAGGTTGGGAATAGTAGATTTTTCTGACCTTTTTCTAAACTTTCCAACAACCCAATTGATTATAAAGACTACTACTATAAGGACGACGAGCTTGGTTCGAATAAAATCAAAAGAAATATAATCAAACTTTTGCTTGATTAAAATTGAAAGCCTTACTTGAAAAAAGCTACTCTTTTTGAGTTTTTGTTTGCTTTTGATTGCGTTTCTAGAACAACCCTGTGACTATTTGCAAATGGTCATAATTGTTGGCCCAAAGATCGACTATGATCGATCAAAAAATTTTGATCGACTGCAAACGTGTTGGATTGCTTGGTTACTGCAAACGGATTGCATAACAAATTATTGTTTCAGAGTTACGCTTGTCCCTTTGCAATACAGGTACCGTTTTTCCTCTAAAGAACACTGTGACTATGATTCCAAAATCCACTTTTGGATGCGGCGTTTAATAAAGGGCGGCGTTTAATGCAAATGAAAAGTTTGTCAAATGAAAAATAACAAGAAAAAAATGGAAACAGACTTGAAACAATGTTTTTTATTTCCCAAAAACATGCAACAACGATCGCGTAAGAATTTATTTAAAGCCCACAAACGTTACTGAAAAGTCAAGGGATGTCAACATTCCTGTCTCCGTCCGAGTCCTCGTCCCTATGACATAACAACTTTCATGGCTTTCGAATAGTGAGCGTATGAATAATTCGCTACTTCTTGCTTGGAATTGTTTCTAATTAACGCCGCTTTTCAAGGCGTTTAAAAGTTATCAAAGGCGGCGTTTATTACAAATGATTGGCTGAATGTGCGGCGTCATTAGGGGAAATATGGTATACGCAGCTATACAGCTTTCGCAGGAATAATCAAGATATAATTTCTTAAAACGAGATATAAAACAGTTCAGCATTTTAAATGGTTTAAAATACAAGCCATTAGAAATAAAAGGGTTACACGCCAACAAGGCTGAAAAATACAAAACAAAAAGCCAGCACACCTTTATCGTTTTCGTGAAGCTGCTTCTTCGACACGTGGTTCAACAAGCATGTCACCATTCTCCAGACTTTCCGATCTTTCGTACCGAGTCCTAAGGAAAAATCAACCAGAAATGAAAAAATATCAATTTTGATAATCTATGAGCAGCTTGAAACGGTTCAAATCATAAAGATCATTCACGATCATGGCAACCTGTTGCGATTTAAACGATAGGTTAGGATCAAATGTGTTATGAGTAGCAATAAATTACCTTGAAGCGCCTGGACTTTCTCTTTCAAGTATATTACAGAAATTTCAACTAAAAGACAAGACAGAAGACGTCAAAGGAAAAAATCAGGTTGAAATCTTTAAGATATCACTTTATTTCTAATAACTGTAAAATGTCTGAAGCGATTTTAAGATGCCGAATATGATCAATCTACTCAAACAAACGTTTGAAAAAGTTATAAATTACCAAAAACATTTAATATCATCAAAACTTAACAAAATCAAATAACAAGAATTTAAAAAAAGGTTCGAGACAATCATTGCCTAAGTATTTTAATATTATTGACTATACTCAAAGTAGATGAAGCTGACAGAGAAGGACAGAAAAGCTATAATTGCAATAAGAAGATTCCAACCAATCACTACAATCAGCCAATCAATCAATCATACCAATTAATTAATCAATTTATCAATAAATTAATAAGTTAAAGCAGCAAATGTTATAACCTTCAGCAGCTCTCAACATAGCAATGATTTCTTCTTTGCCCCCACAGCGTTCCGCAAGGTCCGCAGCGGTCTCATTTGTTACCGTTTCTGCCAGAGCGCTTACCCCTGCCTGTGGAAACAGAAAAAGTCACTTTGGTTCATGTATCATCCTGTATACAACAAAATAAATCCTGTCAAACGTATTCTTGCAAATTTAACAACAAACTTTATACTATGGAACAAAGAAAGCAAATGACAACAGCTGGAGTACGGCTGAATGGCCATTGAAAAATTAAAAAGGTTGGAGTTGATACTAAATCAACACTTACTTCGAGTAGAAGCTCGGCACAATCAATGTGGTTATCAGACGAACCTTTCCTACAAAATGAAAAATAATCACTCCTTGCAACATCGCATGGCAACAAAGTCTGTGCAGTAATTTGACATATCTTCGTTGGTATTTTGTTTTATTGGTTCTTCGTGAGCCAATGTGTAATTAGAAATCTGGATTTCATATCATCTAGATTTATTCTACATCCATGTGTTAGTTGCGCAGCTTTTAGCTTGCATGTAGTCTTGCTAGCTTGTTGTTTTTTCATGTCAGAATCTCAATTAAAGTAATCCAAGATCGATAAGCTTTGCTTTTCCTGGGTCCCATATTTTGCAAATCTAGCTGTATCGTAAAGTTGCATTGCACAAAAAAGTTGAATTCAATTGAATTGAATCTGTCCTATTTGCGATCCTGAAGGTCTTTTGTCCGTGCGAGGACAGTTTTAGTGCTGCGAAGATTTCTTTTCAACAGCATCATCTCCAGAAGAGAATTACTTTAAGAATTATTTTATGATTGTACTACTAAAAGACACCTTCTTAGACACTCTCTTAAACACTCTCCTACATTAATTAAACCAGCTGCTGTTGCAGACAGCCTATTTCCTGGTTATTTACTAGATTATGAGCGTATACATTACTTGATTGCGAAAAGAGACCCACTACACAGAATACAAGTGCCTTTTGAACCTGGCTTTAAGAAGATATCGTGTGAATGACATTTGGGCACATTAGGCTGAGTCAGATCAAATTGTGATCACACACATAATGCAACCTACCAAGCCACTGCATGAAGCGGAGTCCATCCACACTAAAAGGGAAACGAGATTGATTGAGCAGAGTACAGTGCAGTAACTGAACACGATGAATACTAAAATCTTACAAAACAAGGGTTTGTGAAAAAGGCATGAAATGATAAGGACACTGGATCGAATTAAACACAAACAAAGACAATCAGCGACAAAACAGGCTGGCCTACTGGTTAAGGAAAACTGTAAAGAAAGCAAACTCACGCTGTTAGTGACATTTACATCGGCCTTTCGTTCCTGAAATTTGATGAATGAAACAAATTTATGCACCACCACAACTTTACTGTGTATTAGAAGTGAAATTAGATTTGCTTAATGAAAATTCTATAGCCGTGGGATTATCAACAAAGAATTGCTGGATTGGCTAGAATTACTCCATTGGCATAAATTGACTTTAATAAAAAAAATGCAACGACATTTATAGGAAATTTCCCAGCAAGATGGAAAAATTCTTAATTTCATAGCAGTAAATTGTAGGCAGGTGACCGTTTTTTCATTCTTATTCTTTTAACACATCACAGACATTTAACGACAATGTCACTGACTTGGCATCAAAGGCTAAATCAGGCTGAATATGTTCAGTTTGAACTCAACCTGGCCACTTTAATCAATACAACTAATATAACTGCGTGAATCGCACTGTAGCACACTCACCAAAAGCAGAGCACAACACGTCACGTGACCGCTCTCTGCCGCGTAAAATAATGGAGTGTTTTTGTTGCTATCTAAAATAAAGACCAAAGAGTAATTAGAGGCACAATTTACTATGAAGTGCAAAATCTATCAAATACAAAGACAGAGAGGAAATTCCAAAACGATAGCGTCAATAGTGAACACAAAGTAAATAACTGCCACAGCATATGGAAACAATAGACCTGTTAGGTTGACATCTACTCCCAAATCCAAAATAGTAACCAGCACATGATCATCGCCTGGAAAGATAAAAAATCATAATCAAGTATTGCTACATCTGGATACAAAAGTGCAACTGATAAAAATTACTGTTTACCGGTCAATCGTGAAGTGCTGAAGCCGTAAAGGCAGAGCTGTACACGCAGCTGTATATAGAACAGGGCGGTTCTCCTCCGAGATTCTCGATTTTGTACTAATTATATAATCATATGCTTTAAAACGTCAACACACAATAGTTGCCTGTTTTTGTAGGTTGGGAAAAGATAAACAAAAGGAATCTACATGTTTTCGAAAAGCAACGAGAGGTGATAATGGCTAGCCCTGAATGCATTTACGAGCAAACCAAGATAATCGAGGAGTATAAAAATGATAATAATGATCATAACAAAAATTACCATGCTTAGTAGCATCAAACAAGACATTCTCCCTCTGCTCACCACTCGTCAGTCGGGAATACAGCGTGCTTTCTTCTCCACCTGTGAATCAAATGGACTATGATGTAATCCGGGGAAGGAATATTTCACAAAAATGCAATGCACAAAAAATCTATTGATGTTTCAAGTGGGAAATTCCAAGCTAACCCATGCTACTTTGAAAAATGCAATTGCCGGTGTAATATGCGTTTTGGTACTCTATGCAAAAGTGTAACATTGTGAAACGCAATGTGTTTCAAATCATGTGATTTCATTGCAGTGCGATATTACAATCAATGACAGCGCTAGCCACTAAGCTCTGGGGGGGGGACAAACCAAAAAAATGTTAGCCACGCCCTTTTAACCACCAGAAAACGCCCTTTCACCAACAGGGAACGCCGATTTTATCCGAAGGGAACGCCTGACTTTTGTTTGAAAATTGGCAGTTTGAAAATCATAGGATTACATCATAAAAAGTTCGGTGTCAAAATATTACAACTCCCCAACATTTTCTCATCGAATTCAGACGAAATACAAACTCGATTCTGCTGAGAACTGGGGGGGACGGGTCCCCCCCAGTCCCCCCGTGGCGCCGCTACTGATTACAATGCTTTTTGAGTTTAAAATTTCACACTTTTCAATCAAGAGAACTTTAGAGTCGCCATTAATGTTGTATTTTTTGCATAAACTTAACAAGGGAAATCACAGCACCGCTTCTTGTTAATCCCTCTTGTTAGAAATAGTTCGATTGTTCTTTACATTCTGAACAATATGAACCAGAACATTTGTGTTCCCAGACCGGTTCGCATGCTAAATTCCACCATTCGTTTCTGCGTTTATGTACCGGGACCGTTTTGCATGCGAAATTCCACGTTCATTTTGGTACCCTATTGTTTAAGTGCTTGGGTAAGATTTTGCATAACCAAAATTGCCATGCGTTTGAGTACCCGGACCGAAATGCATAAGGTTACCGAAACGCATATGGCACCGGGAACGGTGCATCAACAATTACCTTGATGAAAACATGCTTGGATAAACCAATGGAATTCTAGATATTTCTCGAATTTTGCGTAATAATTTTTCTCATAGTTTTCATCCCACCTCCACCGAAGTAATCATGAACTGTCAATGACCAATACCTTTCATATAATGACGTCATCATTGACTGTGCCGTCAAAAAGATTACAATTATAGCACAGGGTGAGAAGAATCTCTTCTTTTGACCGGCAAAAATCCTTGATGCACTGACGGACAAGGTGTTGGGGGTACAGCGCCTCAATACCCCTTTAGCGATGCCCTGGCGTTTTTACATACATCATGTCCAAGAAAGGTCCCGTTTACAAGGGAAGAAAATGGTAGATGCGAAACTGGACCGGAAAGCAATAGAATTTTCTTAGGTATTCAAGTGAAGACAACAGGAAGCATAATGTTCCATTTCTAAATGGACCAGAAGGAAATGGAACGAGTTTGGTCTACAACACTTTTGTGATACGATACATTCTAGGAGGATCCTTACCTTTTCCGTATTTCGCCTGTTCGATTGCAATCAACGCCTTTTCCTTACTCAACTCATCTTCCCTTTGCTTCAAGTGGCATCTGGTGCAGATCTTAAACAGCAACGAATCGAGAACGATAACATATAAATTAATTAATTAATTAATTACAAAAATATAATTTTATAGGTTATCATAAGTCAGAATATACAAGGAATCCTTCTATCGATTATAATCTCAACAAAATTGTATGTGATAACATACAACTCATATTTAGAAGTTAAAAATTTCATTTTAAACATGATCACTTATTTATATATACATATTTGTATAAAAAAGAGACAACACATAAGCTTCCTTCAATCATAGTAAACAGACATTTTCATAAAAAAGTTTCAATTTGGAATGTATAATGAACAGTAGTTTATTGCCCTAAATTCGTAAGAGCAGATGGGAAAATCAAAAAGATTTAAATAGCTACTAGCAAATATAAGGCAGTGAAATTTTCTACCTTCCTCCCTTGTGCCAACATGTGACAGGTTAAACAAACAGCAGAGCCACATATTCGACAGTGTGATCTAGAAAGAACAATTATGCCTCTGCTCAAAGTGAATCACATTTAAACAAAGGTTTGGTTAATTTATAAGCGTAAAAGTAATTGTATTTGTAAGAAAAACTTGCAATCAAAATACAACCGAACAATCAATCTTCCAATAATTTTTTCTGACACTTTCTTATTATATTTCACATCTTTCCCATCACTTAATTTAATGTGTAGCCAGATAGCTTTTAGCCTCACCTCCCTTTAACCAAATTTGTTCCAGTGAATTTTCTGAAAATACATCCACATTTTGAGCATGACTACAAAAAGAAAAGGGAAGTAACAGATATAAAAGATTTCAAGATTCTTTGTGAGGTCATTTGTCAATGGAATTTTTTACATTAAAGTTATATTTCAACTTATTAAAACATCTGTCTTTGTGATATTCAAGCATACAGCTATATTTTAGAACATGACTGACAATAGTAAGGAAGTGTTTCATCAGATTCAAGGGAAATACATCCCAGTGTGATCTAAGCTTACAAATAGCAGGAACAGCATGTTCCTTAAAGCAAAACTCTTGCCCATGAAAATAGCCTTCTCGTTTGGCAGATGTAAAACAACAACCAAAATATCTGCCATTGGGCAACATTTTTTAGCAAGCCTAGATTGTGCCAAAACAATAATGGAAATATGTTCTCCTTTCCATTCAAGAAAGTACTTTAACATGGTCTTTTCTGCATTTCTGAAAATAATTGCATTGCTACCTGATTGAACTGGGTCCAAAACAGTCCTAATAAAAACCAGCCAGCCTTACCTTGCATTCGCAATTTCTAAACGACCTTGAGCATTCTGTGCATTTTTTTGTTTCTTTCCCTGAATCACAAGAAGCTTCATATATCAGATCTGAATGTTTTTTCATGTTTAGTATCTTATGCGCAAAAAACCAAATAGCCATTTCAAAAATACTAGAAATCTGGTTATTTCTTCCAAATTAACAATTAAACAACATCAAAAGGGCACTTTCTTAAAAAACACAGACCTTCTCCGCTTATTATCATTGACAATTTTAACTGGAAGGAAGTTTTGTTCACCATATTTGGTATTAGAAAACAACTTACTTACATTTAAATGAAACAGAACTGCAACTACGATCACCTAAAAACAACTTTAAAATTCTGGCTTCACATAGAGTCATGTAGCCCCTTATGGAACGATTTCAGTAAAAATTGTTTTCCTCAGCATTTTAGTACTTCCTAATAAAATCAACATACTACAGACACATTCTTTGTTGTATAATCTACATGCTTGTGTAAAGACAGTCTTATTATTGGCTTTTCTCTCATTCTACACCAGCAACATTACTATAGGCTACTTTTTTCGTGAAAAACTTAGGCCATCGCTCCTTATGGAATGACTCAAATTTAGATAGTGAAAAACAGGGAATTGTCGTCTGCCCTCTTTTCTTCTATCTCTATCATTTGCTAATATCGAATCAGACTTTCATTGAGCCATTTGTTTTCAAATTCAGAGTAAAGAAAGAATAAAGTTATTCCCCAGTTTGGTTTTCTTATTTGAATGAGACTTTATCACATGTCACATGTTCAGCCACTCATAAATGGTCGAGCATCACAACAGGAGCCTGCCTCTCCATCAAAGAAGCCACTAGGCAAATGAAGGCGATCCCGATAAAGAACCCCCATGAATGAAAATTGTGCAAGCTATTGTTGGCTTTCAACAAATATTCATTTTTGAGAGACGAATAAACACGTTGTGGTGTTTTGCTCTATTTTAGCTAAAAAACTGACTGAGGGAATAGCCAAGAAAGTTGAGGTGCAGTAAAAAAAGGGTTGACAGCTACTTACTTTCTTTTACATTCACTTACTTATAAAAGATTATCCTAGCTTTTATGAACAAAATGAAACAACGATAATTAACAAAATTATGAGTAATGTCATCAGCACAATAAGTTCAAAGTGAAAAAATTGAATAGTTCCCTAAGGGGTGACACGACTCTACAAAGGCAAGGTCATCCATGACTCCTCTGACATTGTCAATATGGGTCCTTTGCCTATGTAAAAAATTGCCACTGCCAAGGAAAATATGTTGCATCCTAGAGACTTGATCAGAAAGTGTGATACTCTATAGACTACACAAAACCTGAAATATACCTGACCATCTTTTCGATTTGGCAAGACCTAGTCATCTAATCATTTTTATTACCCAATATATGTCAGTTGAAGGAGAGATTTTGATCAAATCAGATGAAGGTTATATTACCTATTGATACATTTGAAGCAGGATCCATGACAGCAAATTCAGTCCTTAAAATAAATAACAGAGGCACAATTTTAAAATTCATATAGTACAATAAACGTGTCTGTTACAATAAGAGATGAATGCTTTTATGAAAATATTGTGGTAAGTTTCTTCTAAGAGTACAAAGGTTTGATGTCTTAAAAAATATATTTTTCAAATTTACAACCACAAAACCTGAAACACAGAGCATTTTTAGAGAAAATGCAAAATCAATCAAATATATTTTAAACTGACAGAGATATAGCAACAGAAAGTGCCGGGCTTCAAATGGATTACTTTTATAAACATGACCAAATTATTTTACATGGAAAGAGCTTGTATTAAATGGAATTTCACCATGCTCTTTCAGGGTATGTTGTTCAAGATGTCTAAATGTCTAAACTGACATATTTGTTGGTATGCCACAACTCTAGTCATCATTTGCTCATATGCAAAATCTTATTACCATATAAGAATATAAATTTTGAGGGACTGGTGTTTACCCATTTTCAATTTGCTACCCATTTTCAATTTGCTACCAATTTCAGCTTTAAAATTTTCTTACACTGTTCCTTATTCTTCATTGTACTTCATTTCAGTTTGATGAAATTCAAACTGTAAATTCAATTACTTGTTAAATATCAAATGTGTTTCACTCATGCAAAGGTAATTCTAACTGATTTTCATAATTAAGGGCAATAAATGTGACTGCATCTTGCAGTAAGATTTCTGTATACAAGAAACACTACCTTGCAATTTAAAGACATGCCTTGAATTTAAAAAAGACAATTCTGTTCTTGACAACTTGCAATCATCTAGCCAGATCTAGCAAACAGTTAGTTCCAAAATATACTCTTGGGGTGGGTGTGGGTTTGGGATATGGCCTCCCTAGCCACGATCCTATTCCCACAATCAAACAGTCGTTTAAATGGCATTTGTTTATATCGTGAATGATTCATGATTTTTGAGTTTTTTGTTGTTGTGTTGAGTTGTTTGTCGAGAAAATCTTATAACTGTATCTCGAAAAAATAAACGTTAAACTTTATCCTGCATTGCATACCACATTCTTGTATGGGACACAAAGTTGTAGCAAGGTAGAAAGGTGTGTTGAACGATATATCATCAACAAAGACGATCCAGGTTCACACAATACTGTCAGGGATTCCGTTATGATTTACACCATAGTAAAAGCCATGAAACATTCGCAAGGCAAATTAAAACTATTTATACTGTTTGCATACATCTGTCAATGAATGATTATGCTTACCTGTGTTTTTGGCATCAGCATCAGATTTCAGCACAGCACACAGCTTGATGTAGCAATAATTATCAGTTTACCGGTCTCGGCTTCATATCGAGGCAGGTTCCCACAGGTTCCACCTGAGTTTCCAGCCATTTGCCTTAAAATTCAAATATAAATTCAAATTTATTTTTATTTCAGCACAATAACTTAACAACAACATATTTAAAAGTTAAGATTCTACAACTAACTTTTACTGGAATTAATATGAGATTTTTGCATATATACAGGGCCTAGGAAACTGAGAAAAACTGCAAGCGTTATCAAGCTCAGTGGTCTATACGTTTTAGCCTACGGATACATTCTGAGGATACAATACACAGAATTAGTTGTAATTCTGCTAGTCAAATTGATTTGAAAAACATTTTATGTATCAAAACAAGGAAAAGAAAAGCAAGATTAAAATAAAAGGGTCATTTGAAGAAAAAGTAAATCAAGGGAGAAGGACGACGGTAGACAATAGACATATTTCATCGAAAAGACGTCGTGCTTTGCAAGCAGGTATCCTGCTGTATTTGTTGTTTTTAGCAAGTTCTTGAGTTCTTTATTGTTAGCCATTTGCTAAAATGTGAAGAAAATCATTTTGGCTGGATTATGAGGGAATTAGTTCCAAATTCTTACAGTGTTGAATTTTTCTTCGCCATCCATCAAAATATTAAGTAGCATTTTGTTTGAAAAGTTTGATATGCCATGTTTACGTAATTTATTTTCAATGTTTTTCAGGGAATTTGAAGAAACAAAGTGTCTCATTTCGACAAGATTCCAATGCCTCTACAAACTTTCACATAAACATGTTGGACGTGTTATCAAAATCAATTTACCAAGATTTTTAATTTTGTCCTTTTCCACGAAAGGAGTGTTGTCTGTTCTGATTTTTACTTTTCAATGTGATCCTCTACTTTTTAGGGGTAATTAGAAAGCTTTAAATATGTTTAGTGTTAGTCTGTTAGTAGCGAGCCATACTGGCATATTTTCAGCTATTTCATTGGTGATACTTTCAAGGTCACTCAAGTTTCGGTGTGAGAAGAAGATACTCATCTCACACAGGAATGAGAAGATACTCTTCTCAAATCCTTCGCTGCAAAAGGAACTAGCCTTTCCAAACTGGATATATGCTTCTCTCAGCATCGTTATCATGCTAATATTTTCAAGTTTCAATGAGTACGTAAGCTTGTTAATTCAAGAAAATAGCTTATCGTTAAAGGTTATCATTGTGCATATGCTGATCAGGACTATATTATATGCTGTCTTTAAAATGTTCATGGAGAAAACAAAGTAAATTGATAAAGTAAAGTAATTGACATTGTTCATGGATAAAGTAAATTTACGTAGACGTCTGGTAGGTTACAAGGTTACGCAAATTTTCTTAAAAATCGAGCAACATCGAGAGGGACTACTGATTTTGAGAAAACGCAGGCAGTCTTGAGGTTGCAGAAATGATTTTTATTCTAGCAAAGGTTCAAGATCCGAAAAAATTGCTAAGAACTGATGCTTTCCTAAGTTCGGTCTGTAAAAATCGTGTGAATTGCTTTGAATCATCGAATTAGCCCGTACTTCCGACCCCCGACCTGAAGGAACTAGATCTAGAGCACAGGATACAGGCAAACACGCAAATTTCATCTGATTTCGATTCTCCCTTGTGGAAAAGATTCCTTTTTGTGAACTTTGGATAATTTTGCTAATTCTTACTTAACAACGAGTTCACGTGGCTTAAATTGATCAAAGTGTTTTTAGCTGTCTCCAAAATTATGGCAACGGTTAAAGAGTATTGCAACGAAGATGGTCAATTTAAGAAAATGCGATGAACGGCCCATGACCTTGCAAAGAATACGAAACTCGACCATAAACTACTTCACAATACACAATCTAAATTCAATATCTCTAAATAAGAAATTTTCACAAACAGTCCCTAACCCGTTAGATAGAAATAAATTAAATGATTTGCCCCAAGTTAAAAGTGCTGTTGCTGCAATGAAATTGTATTTGAATTACTTCAAAATAAGGAAACAATGTAGATGAGCTAAGGAGGGAACAAAATTGCTAATAAATTCGGGTCCAGAAATTGCATAATTTTCTTAAAGATAATCAAAGTGCCCCCATAAAAAAAATTAAACATGGATTTAGTTGTCCAGCAACAATGATTTATAATTTCTCTCCCTTTCCTTAGTCTTTGACTTTCGGTATCTTTAAAATGGTTCTCATAGCATTTGTGCTATTTTATTGGCTATTTTCTCGACTATTTTCTCGACTATTTTCTTGGCTTGGCCTTGACTTCTGCATTGGTGCCCCCATATCGCTGCCACTCAGCCTCGAATTCACTGCGTGTTATCTCAGCTCCTGACCTCCTTGTCAGGCCACATTGAGTTAAACTCAATTCACACATTTCTAGGTCATTCTTTCCGGCAACAAACAGCAAAACGCCATTTGGGTGAATCTCCAGCTGCCTTGCAATCCATTCACCATCGAAATGGGCATACCTAGAAAGGTTACAAAGATTCATTCAAGACTTGCTGCGAAAGTTTGGTATAACTGTGATGAAAAGCAGAAGACAGCTGTTTAGTGCAGACGAGGGGTTGCAAAAACCATATGGAAACTAACCGAATGGGATTCCCCTACGTAAAAATGAAAGACCTCTTTCTATGATTAAATAGTACGATACGATAAGACAGTATCATGTGATGTAATGTGACGTACCACCATCCGCATTTCCTATATTCGCTGTTTCTGTACTGATCAGCTGGCTTTGCAAATGGGATTCGAAAGAACCTCTGTGGAGGCTCATCTTTGACTTTGGCAACAGGTGCAGGCTCTTGTTGTTTTCCCGGCAACAGAGCGGCCTCTTCAGCTAAGGAAAAAGTGCAAATAATAACATTGCTTACTTGGTAGATTGAAATCAAGCTTGAATCTTCATGCATTCAATTGAATTGAAATGAATTGATTTAATTTACTGAGGGATGTCGGACTGACAATAGTGCACCAGAATTATGCGTTATGTTTCATCTTGATGGTGCTACCTTTCAATCAACCAGTTTCAACGTAATCCAACTAAAACACGTACCATTTCTAATGACTTCAACAGGAGCCCTTTGCTGAGAAACATTTGATGTTCTGTTCTGGGCATTCTTTTTGCGCCAGTCGTGGTAGACTTTCAAACGGCGATGAAATTCCGCGCGGCAAGCAGCAAGGACCTGGATATCTGCAAAGCAGAAAACACCAGTTAGTGAAGAGCTCATACAACTTTGGTGCAGGGAGCTGGCACTGGTTAAACCGAGGCGGTTAATGCCAGCTTTTTACTGCTTCAATTTATGCAGCACATCAGAAAAAAAAGAATCATAAAGGAGGGAGGTGACTGTACCTGTTGATGTGTTAATTATGTGCCTCAACTCATCGTATTTCATGGCTCGCAGATCACTGTTTTTGTTGACCGTTTTGTTTGGCCTGAAATTAAGTATAAAAATAATCAAGATTTCACGCGATTCCTGGTAGAAACACCATTAGTATATTTTCTAAAGTGATAACGTCACAAAATTTGTTTCTAGAATTATTGAATTTGGATCCCATAACCTGAAAAAGCATCATGAAATACCTCTAAATGTGCAAATCAGTCAAATTTCGTTCTCTATTCATAACTTTATGAACAGAACCAAAATAACAGTGATTTGTTAGCAAACTTTAAATATTTCATTGGCAATATCTCAACCTATTTTAGACATCATTGAATAATTTTGCATACTTGGAAGTTTTTCATGGTGAACTTTTATGTTAGGTGATTAAAATTCAAAAGTTCTAAAAATAGGTTTTTGGTGACGTCACACTGTAGAACTCTTAGGCTGTCTAAAATTCAACATGCTTTTCGAACTTTTTCAATTCCTCAGACCTTAGTCCTTAGGCCAACAATAGATTCATTCTAGAAAAGCGACACTCCCTTTAACCTATTTAGAAGATCTGCTGGCAAAATAGATGCTACACAAGTTAAAATCTAAATATTTGTCGATGTACAAGGAAGCGTAACATTGAAAAGATATCGATCATTTACTGGGCCTCCTTCTGGGTCCTTCTTGGTATAACTTTAATTTCATTTAACTAGTTTCACGGAGTGAATCATTGTATGAAAGCAAACAACTAAACTACAAGGTAAGATGATGTATGCAGCATTGAAAACTGACTTTGCTGGTTGTACATCTTCAACAGTCACTTCAGGATCCTAAAACAAAACAATAGTGACGATATTGTATGATATTTCAGGATATTATTTGGTATCATATGATATTTAGGGAAACAACACAACTCATCTCGGTTTAAAAGCAGAAGAATCCAATACATTTAGGGTTTCATCATTTAAATTGCAATTCAGAAACAAACCTCATGAAAGAGCTTGTAATTTTTGCAACAGAATGAAATGGCTCCTTAACTTCTCACTAATGGTTCTGGTAATGAAGATGCTTAATTGGCAAAGCATAATCCTGGGAGCTTAATTGGCAAAACATAATCCTGGGAGCTTAATTGGCAAAACATCATTCTAGGAGCTTAATTGGCAAAACATCATTCTAGGAGCTTAATTGGCAAAACATCATTCTAGGAGCTTAATTGGCAAAACATCATTCTAGGAGCTTAATTGGCAAAACATCATCCCGGGAGCTTAATTGGCAAAACATCATTCTAGGAGCTTAATTGGCAAAACATAATCCTGGGAGCTTAATTGGCAAAACATCATTCTAGGAGCTTAATTGGCAAAACATAATCCTGGGAGCTTAATTGGCAAAACATCATTCTAGGAGCTTAATTGGCAAAACATCATTCTAGGAGCTTAATTGGCAAAACATCATTCTAGGAGCTTAATTGGCAAAACATCATCCTGGGACCTTAATTGGCAAAACATCATCCTGGGAGCTTAATTGGCAAAACATCATTCTAGGAGCTTAATTGGCAAAACATAATCCTGGAGGTTCTTCTTTCTCGAGGTTTAACTGTTTAAAAAGGCAGCCAGAGATTTGGAAGGTTAAAAGTAAACCCTAAACTAACCTTTACTTTCACGTCATTGTTCCCTTCCTAAAATGCAATATAACTTGAATAATAATACATTTTAATTCGGTGACATTAAATTTTTTAAATTTTGCGCTATAACTCCCAAGCAAAGGCTTTCTTCTTTTCAAGAATTATCAAGGAAAGAGAAAAATTGCTTCATCAAGAAACGAATATAAGAAGATTTTGAAAATGATTACCGTGGAAAGACGCATCGCTAATTCATAATCTCTACGCTCTTGCTCCTCTTGGGCTTTTCTAGAAACAAAACAACATGTGTGACATATGGTGAGGTGCAAACATTCAACGGGCCTAGTTGCCAAAAATCTCACGATGAAGGACATGTTTATTTAATCTAAGAAATCATTACAGTTTCAAAAAGACAAATTCTAGCCACTACTAAACTAATTCCCAGAGCTGAAAAAATATTTTCCTTTCTGGGAACCTGGGAACTGGACAAGGAACTGGACAAGGAACTGGACAAGGAACTGGACAAGGAACTGGACAAGGAACTGGACGTGAGGTGAACATCTCAATATTTAAAGGACAAATATGATGTGAAAGAACACGAGGAGGTATTTCAATACCCATCAAAAATGGCTTTGAAAAAACCAAACATTTCACAAAATACTTGTTAAAGCTTTTTCATCTGACACTCATCAGAGTAAAAAACGTCAGAACAACACGATGGAAAATATATACCCAGTTGTGGATCGAAATAGGCCAATCAGAAAAACACAAGCACATGACCAGCATAGTTGTCCAATCAGTGCCTTGTGCCTATAAAAAAATTGTCACTGGACCAAGCGTTTTTCAAAGCCATTTTCAAGTTCTGTATCGCCGAAAAACTGTTCACCTATCAAAAACTTTGCCAAGTCTGCCAAGAGCTAAATCAAAACTCAAGTCTATTGCTAGTATAAAGAAAACTTTGTACGCATTTGTTTTCATAGCATTTTATCTATAAAGAACAAAACCATCGCCTGATGTCAGACAACAAAACTGCACTTTTCAAAACATATAAATTGCCTACTTTAGGTCTGAAGCTTTATCTGTTAAAGAAGGTCCTGGGCAAAGTAATTGAAGGTTGCTTCCAAGTTATACAATTTTTGTGACATGAGTAAAAGTTTTTGTAGAGGTTTCAAAAATGTCCAACTTCTCTATATGATGAATCCTACAACCTGAGGACATTAAGGTTACATTTGTATGAACTTTCGACCTGTTGTAGAAAATTCAGGAAAAATTTTTGCAATTGCAATAAAGAGCTTTTTTATCAAGTTTTGCTGAAAATTTTTTGCCAAGCCAAAAAAATTTCTGGGAATCTAGTTCCCGGGTTCCGATACTTTTTGCCGCTCTGCTAATTACTATTAGCTATGAAGGATACTGGAAAAGCTCCTTTTTGTAATCAATGTTATATTAAAGCTTCCATATAAAAATTCTGTTGGATATATAGAAAAATGTAAATAGAAAACTAGAATTTTGAATGTAGAAATGACAGACGCTCTCTATAGACAGTTTATTGCGATTGAAATTGGCAAATCGAAAATCTGCTGCCATAATGCGTCTACTATTTTTAGAACTCTCGTCCAACAAGGGTCGGCTAAGGGCACAAAATTGCGTGAGTGAATTTTAGACAGATCCGATGTGTACCTTGCTTTTTCCGCGGCCTCTTCTTCAGCTTTTAGTTTTTCCTGCAAACAAAAACCGAAGAAATTAGGCAAATTAAAGCAAAGACACACGATCGTGTAACAAGTAAAGGAGGTTCTTTTTCACAACAAGCCAATTGTCTACATTTGTGTGAAAGCATCATATACAACTACGATCTATTTCATTGAGAGTGTCTTAAGCAAGTAATTTATTGGCATATTCAAGAAATCCTAGCAAGAATGACGTCAGATCGTAAAAGAAGGGTAGCCGAGCCCTACAAGTCCATAGGGAACTGGTAGTTTACTATTCCCACCAACTAGCTCCCTATGATCTTTAACAATCTCGTTCGGGGGTCACCCTATACAGTGGAACCTCTAACAATGGCCAATTTTGGGGACCAAGCTGAGTGGCCGCTGTTTTTGAGGTCATCGCTATGGAGGGGTTTTTTATACATTCTTTTACCAAAAAAATTTAGTCGGAAGAGGTGGAGAGGTGATTAAAGCAAATGATACACTCCATATTACTTAAAGTGTTTTCGTCTGACACTCCTTAAGCTGAATTCACACTGGACGCGTCACGGCGCGGCGCGTCATTGAGCGTCATCGAGCGTCGCGTCAAGTACTTTTTCATGCTATTCACACACAAAGCGTCACGAAGCGTCGCGTCATGCGTTTTTAGTTAGATAAAATGGCTTCATATCAGCAAGATGTGCTTATTGCTCTCGCATTACAAAACCAAGCTATTGCTTTAACGTTATTAAGAGAAAGAAAGAAACGGCGTTCGGTTTGGGTAAGAAAATTATGGAAGGAGCGTGAACGTCAGGGGCATTATGATAACCTGATTCAAGAAATGAGGGTACAAGACCATTCAATGTACTTCAATTATTTCCGAATGCTTCCTTCGACATTCGATGATTTGCTTGGACTTGTAGGCCCATCTTTGGTCAGAAAGACAACAAACTTACGGAAGCCGTTGCCTCCACAGTTAAGAATGGCAGTAGCTTTACGATACCTGGCAACTGGAGAATCTCAAGCTTCACTTTCATTCAATTACAGAATCGGGAGGTCTACAGTATGCCAAATACTTGACGAGGTGCCAGAAAAAATTTGGAAAGCACTGAGCCCTCTTTCTGTGGCCCAACCAAACACTCCTGAAAACTGGAAACGCCTGGCTGACGACTTTTGGAATTTGTGGGGTTTTCCTTTGTGTTTGGGGGCTATAGATGGCAAGCACTGCGTAATTAACTGTCCTCCAAACTCAGGCAGTGCTTTCTTTAACTATAAAGGTACATTCAGTATAGTATTGATGGCAGTGGTTGATGCGAGTTATATGTTCACATTTGTTGACATTGGTGACTTTGGACGTCAATGTGACTCTAGCGTCTTCAACAATTCTCCTTTAGGTGAATGTTTGAATAAAGGACGCTTGAATATTCCAGTTCATGGTCACTTGCCAAACACTGATACAAAAGCCAAGTATTGTTTTATAGGAGATGAAGCTTTTCCTCTCAAAGATAATTTACTGCGTCCTTACCCTGGAAGAAACCTCGAAGATAAATTACGCATCTTCAACTACCGACTCTCTCGAGCTAGGAGAGTGGTCGAGAACGCTTTTGGGATCCTTTCAGCAAGATGGCGATTCCTAAGATCACCAATACAGGCTCACCCAGAAAAAGCCATTAAAAATGTTTTGGCATCGGTTGCTCTTCACAACTGGCTCAAGAAACATGAAGACACGCAGCAAGTTTACGGTCGTTTTTACTGCTCAGTAGGTTATACTGACTACGAAGATTCACATGGAATTCTTCACAAGGGCACTTGGCGAAATGAAGTGTCAGAATCTGGAGCTCTACAGAATATTGGCAAAATGGGAAAAAAATAACTATTCAAAAGCTGCAGAATATTATAGATCTTTGCTTGCAGATTATTTTCTTTCTCCTCAAGGTGAACTCCCATGGCAATATGATTATATTCGCAGAACTTCTTATGATCCAGTTTCTTAACAGAATATTATTTCTAATGTTTTTAATATTTTGATAACATGGTCAAGTTTCTAAAAATTAATCGATTTTCTGAAAGAAGTTCTGCAACGTTTTATGTTATGAGGGGCCTTCTTAAATTAAAATTCTTTTTCGGATGAAGGGGTGTAACATATATAGAGCGGGGTTGAGGGGCCTATGACATCTTTTAGATTAGGGACCCTTTTTCCAAAGAGCTATTTGTTAGATAGAACAATTGGCTAGCCGTGATGGGCATCATTTTCTTTTTTCTTGCATTTTAAAGGGGATTAAACATTAAACATACTTACTTACTTAGCATACTTAGCATTAAACAGCATAGTATGTTTCGCATCATTTATTTGGTCATAAAGTGATGGTTTGTAGCCTCCATCCTAGAATTATGTATTTAAAGGAGTTAGAAAGGCAGAAACATTGTAAAAGTTAGACTGCTGTAGCTGATTTTCAAGGCTTCATTTGTGCATCATATTTTGCTAAAAAAATCTACTTGGAAACAAAATGTTTTTTTAACTTAAAAAAACTCTAGGATAAAAACTAAAAAATCGTGTTTCTACTTCAAACAAATTAAATAAAGTTCATTCTATGCTTGAAGGACAAGGATTTTATAATGAACATTTGCGTATCCTATTTTTTAAAATCCCTTTCTTTGCAAGAAAATTGAAAACAAACAAACATTTATGTCTACTCACTGATTAAGTGAGTTGCGAACCAAAGTATGCTTCTTTAATCTTATCGGAAGGCACATTGACGCAATACTGTATTCAAAATAGATGTGAACAACGTGAAGTCATGAGTCAATATTTAATTATTTGTCAACAATGATTGATACAAAGGAAATCAGGATTATAAAATTGCCACACCAAGCAGCCAGATTACTATGAGTCAGGAGTCTATTCTTGAGTGCTCCACCGTACTTCATGCAAAACTTGTTGAATCTTCAATTTCGCCAAACTTTTTTGATAGGCCGACAATTTTTTTAGTTCTTTTCCTATACTTTGACCGTAAAGATCGTCTTCATCTGGCTCCTCTCTTTTGCTAGCCGATGAAATGAACTGATTGGTATTTTCAATCACCTTCATCAAAAACTGGCTGTTGTCAGGGGTCTTTTCTTGTCTGGGGCGTTTGGGGTTTTTTGGCCGGGTACTTTCTCGTAGAGAGTCCAACTGAGCCAAAGGAGATCCAGCTGCAGCTCTATCATTTTTAGGCACAGCACTCTCGTAGGAAAGCGGAGTGGCTGGTAATTCTACAAAAGAATCCTCTGTGCAATCTTGGGTAACGGTACTATCCGAAATTTGGAATGCTGGCTCGTTACCTTTTCTTGCTTCGCCAATCAAATCATGCAGACATTCGGTGTCAATGGTGCTTTTGATTTTTGATGATTCTTGGTGGCCTTCCCGCTCTTGAAGAACAAAATTTCCCCTTGTTTCTCTATGTTTCATGAAGGGGGCAAGGAACATCAACTGCTTGAAGAATGGCCATGCTGGTTCTATTGGTTCCCCACCAGCGCTCCCAGATGGCTTGTACTCCTTTCTCACTTTCATAAATCTGTTCCTTAAGCTTTTAAATGTTTTCCGAGCAAGGTTCATATCTAAGAAAAAACAGTGTGTCAATGATGGATACTTTCAACTAGATATATTTTATAAGAACTATCCTATCACTTGATTGAAGCAAAACTTTTTTTAAAATTGCCGCTCAAAATTAAAAATATTTTCCTTCGTTTGAGATAGAATATTGCTTAAAGATGAGCATTAACTTTCAAAATCGACGAACTTGTTTAAAAAAACAGGTTTTCAAGTAATCAAAATTCTGTTGAGTAAAAGAACATCAAGAAAATACAAACCTTCGCCGAGTTCTTTTGCACTTTCATACCGTTCTTTAAAAATTTCTTGGCACACAGTCTTCCAGGCATTCTCTCGGACAATCTCATCCTTGTACTCTTTTTTGCTAGTATCGTACAAGCACGGTAATTTCCGAACAGCTTCGATCAGAAGTTCTTTGTTTATGTTTTTAGCTGCCATCTTTCTTGACTTTACTATTGTTCTGGAGCGTCACCGAGCGTCAAAGTTAAATTTATTTAACTTTGACGCGTCGTGACGCATGGCTGAAAAAACGCGATGCGTGCGCATAGCAGCAATTAATGCAAACCATATTTGGTCAGCGTCATGACGCGCCGCGCCGTGACGCGTCCAGTGTGAATTCAGCTTTAGAGTCTAAAACGTCAGAAAAAGGGTCTGAAAGAGCACGATGGGTCGAAATGGAACAATCAGAAAAACACAAGCATGGTCTACGATATCATGCAATGACACTGAATAGAAATAAATCGTGGGGATGGATTAGGACCTGAAATACGTGTGATACATCAAGCAAGGGGAAATGAAAAGGCTGGAAAAGCTAATTATTTTCACAAACATACATAATTTCTAAATAGGAACCAACTTTTTTCCATTTTTTTCCCATTTCTATGCGAAAGGCTTCTGCTTGACCGTATATGGAAGTGAAATAAAGAACCTGGGTACTCCCAAGTGGCCATTTGGCTATTGATTGGAAGTGGCCACTGTACGGAGGTTTATCATGAATTATACAGTTTGGCCATTAATTACTTTATCCACTGGCTGTTGTACTGCAGGTGGCCGTTGCACAGAAGTGACCGTTATAAGAAGCCTCGCTGTATTAGAATTGTTAAAGCAAACATAGTTAACAATAAAAGTAGTTGTTTTTGTTAAGCAGCTATTTCAAGACAGATCAGTTGTAACAAAGGGCAAATTCAAGATGTATAAAACTTACAATTAGTTTTCGACTTGCTTCTTCTTCTTCCTTTCTTCTTCTTTCAAATTCTTCCTCTTCGAGTCTTCGCTGCTCTTCCAGTTGAATCTTCCTGCAAAACCAGGTCATCATGAAGTCAAAAAACTAATCCTCAATATATTTAAAGTTGTTAAAACACATCATTAAGGAGGATCTTGCGAACTACCTTCATGTCAGCTTTGTATGCGCTGGATGCATTTGTCGAGCTCTAAATGAGTTATTGAGTGGAAAAACTTAATCACAAAAAGGTTGTGGGTTTTCATACATCAACTTGAGCCAATAAGGAAAGAATATATACAGTATGTTGATATTAAAACAAACACCTACAAAACAACTTTAAAATGGTAAAAAAGCCAATTTATGCAATCAGTATCATGCACTCAAAAATTGCAAATGTTGATAATTTGATGGCCTTAAAAAACTAATAAAACAATGAATGAACGATGGGCGAAGAACAATGGATGATTTAATGCGACGATTGCAATGCTCTGGGACTTATTCGTCAACAAAGGTCTTCTGAATCAGTTTGCTCTGCTCGTGTGGATTCATGTCACAATGGAAATGGGTCACTCAGGCGATTGTGGCACAAAGAACTTTATAGAAATGTTTCAACATGTAGCTTTAGCAGCTGAATCATACAATGCAGCATCTATTGAGCTGTCCAAGTTTCTTCGAAGGCCTAGCTTCCTCACATTTGGCATAAAGAACAAAAAGGTTTAGAAACGAATAAAAAATTACCTCTTTCGTTCCGCCTCTTCTTCCCTTCTCTTTCTTTCCTCCTCTTCTCGCCTCTTCCTTTCAATTTCCATTTGTTCTTGAATCTTTTTTAGCCGCTCTTCTTCCTTCTGCGCTTTCATGCGTTTTTCCAAATCATTCATTTGTGATGCCATTCTGTTTAGTAAGTTATTGTGTGCTGTGTCAATTTCACTTGCTTTCATCGCTGTATTCTACAAATGCACAGGTTTTCACTTTTAAACTTATTCAGCCTGAATTATGCTTTTAATCAGGTTAATATCAATACTTTATATTTTATTAAACATAATTGAAAATATTTCTGTATGAAAACACAGAAACTATTGACAACAATTAAACGTAATGTGAACAATTGGGAACAATGCAGACAACCAATTTTTATGATCCAAGAACATTTGCGGAGGAAGATGGCAAAGCGAAAACCAACCTTTATTTGTTTAATCAGCGACTCCAAATCACTGTCAAGGGATTTCACCTGGCTTGATACCAAATCTTTGTCTTTCTTCAAGAACGATGCTTAAAATGATGAGAAGTAACCTTGACATGGGTATCCAAAGACGTTATAGAGACGCATGTTATATTACACGCAAGTAAATTAGGGTTAATACAACAAGCAAATATATAGAGCAGCTTGAGCAACGCAAAAAGCTAAGGAAGGAACCGCGAAACAAAAATTGTGTAAGAAGCTAACTTATAGGCGCTAAGTGTTAGTTATCAATAGCAGTACTTTTGGGAGCCAGAAATGGTTTACAGACATTGAGACATGAAAAAAAGAGAGGTCCATGACTTCCACGGTGAAATACTATCGGTAGGCCTAACACTGATCACATTTACTAGCCTCGTATTGATCTTCAAAACAGCTTCAGGAAACAGTCAGATGTAAACAACGGCTGCTGATTGGGATCGCACCGTACAAAGTTAATGGCCGCAAGGAAGGCCTATTTATCATGACCCAAAGCCTTTGATATAAAAAGATGAGGCATCGGGACATGTACTGACCATGCTTGTACAGCTCAGCGACCATGGCTCCCAGCCTTCTGATCTTCATTATTCCTTTGTATCTAGAAAGCAAACATCATTGATTTTTGAGATAAGAAAACAGATAAAATCAAAATACAACCAAAATTAAAAGAGCAAAGCTAACTGCTTTTAATTAAAACTCACCTTGGTCTATGACGAGACACGGCAAGGAACATCCGGACAGTTTTCTGGATTTTCACAATCTTCTCCCTTCTGTATTTGATCTTGTTTGCAACTAAAATGCAAAACCGATACTGTTGCAAAATTGACTTTTTCTGCACATTTGAGGAAATCAATCCACCGTTTTATTGAATAGCTATGGTCATTCCAACACCAATAAGGCATGAGTAATTCCAACAAGTTGTTTCCATGAACAGTAAACAAGTGCGGTTCTGACTTACGCTTTTGCACTGAAACAGCTCCCCATATAGACCTCTTCCACCGGTTGCAAACTATCCATCTTTGAACTTTGGCAACTAACGCATTCAGCGTCTCAGGATCAGATTTCATGAGCTGATCAAACTCTGCGAACTATGGAGGTAGCAATTAGAAACAGATGCCAAACAATCAATACTATCGATCGTTTATCAATACAACATTTACATGAAGAAATGCTCTGGCATAATTCTAATTAACTAATCCGACCAGTTCTAATTCTAATTCACTTGCCCTTACCAGTTAAAAGTCTAGTAACAAGACTTTAACAGTTCATATGCAAGTGATGTAAACAGACGAGAAAACGTATACAAGTGACGTAAGCGGATGACGTTAACGGATGACGTAAGGTGGTGTAGCTTCCTGGAATATTTCACATTTTGCTATGCACGTAAAATAACTTTGAAGAAGGCGACTAACATTGATCAGGCTTTTTGTACGGGGCTTGAAAATGTACGGTTCTAACAAAAAAATTTTATTAAAATTTAAATTTAAATTAATAATTATTTTCAAGGAGATTTTCTACCTAACCCACCAAGATAAAACATGTTTAGAAATTAAACAGGGATCGAAAGTTTCAAAAACGGTGAAGAGGCCATAGGCGTTAAAGCAGTATGCGAAAGGGTGTTTTATCCATCGGCCATCAACTATGCACGCCGAGCCTGTAGTGTCTATCTCTATTGGAGTGGTGTCATGCCTGAGAATGTGACAAAATTCGGAAGATATAACTTCAAGACGATAAAGTTACTTACTTTCCCAGGTCTAAAGAACACTTTGGACATTCCGAACTTGAAGTCGTCGTTTCCTATTCCAATAGCGCGAAACAGTGCCTTTGACGTAATAACGAAATCAAAATAAATGATGGAGCAGTTGTGAAAATACTACCGCTTACGAAATCATAGCGGAAATTTTTTGTATAGCTTTGCTAGTGTACCTTAAAACGAAATCTAAATATAGAATTGCTGAAAAAAAGGTCAAGAATAAAATTTATTTGATTCAAGTAGCACTAAGGTTGCGCGATCTCACCTGGCAAAAAGTTCTTGCGTTAAGAGCGGCGAGTTTTGGCGGTAGATATTTTTTGTATCTATGGAAAAAATAAGCAACATTCATAAGCACTGGAACGAGTTTTAAAGCAGAACCAAAGATATGGATTTTATTTTCACCACGAAATATTTAAACCAAAAAAGTATTTTTTTTCTCTTGGTGCTTGTCAAATCTTTCCTATTTCAAAAACAACTTACGTATTGTGAAAAAATGACATTTTAGATGGGACCTTGTTATGTAAATGTGCAAATTCCAGTGAAAGAGAACTTGATTTAAGCATTACAGGCGATATCCGCTTGAATTCACTCTGGACTCAAAGGACAAATTGAAATGGCTCTTGATCAGTAAGCATCGTTGTAAAATTCTTCACAGCTAAAAAGTGTTCTATTTACAAACAGATGGGAAAATTGAATATTAACTTATGACTGAATCGTACTTTTCGTAAAGGCTGCTAAAGTTTGCTCTGGACGGATATCCATTCTGCATCAGCTCGAGGACAGACACCATCCCTGCGCATTGAAGTTGGCTGAGGATTTGGCCGCCTTCGAAGTCCTTGCTTTTCATTTTGTCATTTGGCTTTATGCACCGAATGAAATTGGACCCCTACCGCATAACAAGACATTCCTGTTAGCTTACAAAGGAGAAGGGGCAGTTTACTTCAGTAGAGATTAGCTAACGAAATACGGGGAAGTGACGGGAAAGTGACGGGAAAGTGACGGGAAAGTGACGGGAAAGTGACGGAAAAATGACGGGAAAGTGACGGGAAAGAATAATTTCTGAATCAAAAAAATTCCTGTTAGCTCACAAAGGAGAAGGGGCAGTTTACTTCAGTAGAGATTAGCTAACGAAATACGGGGAAGTGACGGGAAAGTGACGGGAAAATGATGGGAAAGTGATGAGAAAGTGACCGGAAAGTGATGGGAAAGTGACGGGAAAGTGACGGAAAAATGACGGGAAAGTGATGAGAAAGTGACGGGAAGTGATGGGAAAGTGACGGGAAAGTGACGGGAAAGTGACGGAAAAATGACGGGAAAGTGATGAGAAAGTGACCGGAAAGTGATGGGAAAGTGACGGGAAAGTGACGGAAAAATGACAGGAAAGTGACGGGAAAGTGATGAGAAAGTGACGGGAAAGTGATGGGAAAGAATAATTTCTGAATTAATTGAATGAAAAAGTGCGACAAAATTGCAAGGAGAAAGAAAATTCAGGATTGAAACATACTGTGCTTTTGAGTTTTTCCATCAACAATCCAAGCTGACTCTAGAAACAAGAGCAAAGAACATTAAACGAAGTCTGAGTTTTTCACGATGTTCATACAAAGCCTATGGATTTAGAAAAATACTTAGAAAAATACCATTACAATAGAAGGAAGGTTAAAAAATTTCCATGAATGAAACCACCTAAAATTAAAATTATAAATTAACTAGTAACGAATGAGAAGAATGTTGGTAAATTGTTGAAGAGCTGTACAGGGTAAAAGATCTTCAGATCACAGGCGAAAACTTCACATCAAACGAATTCGAAGTACGCGCGAAACATACTCTCAAACGTTAACTTAAAGTTTTAAACACGGGTTAAATGTTGCATTTTCTTTGTAACCGTGTTGTATAGGGAATTTTTTCAACTTTGGAACTGGGGCAATCAGTTTGAAGGTAAAAACGCCCAAGTACATAAAAACAGATAGATTCGGAAAAATCCAATGCTGAGGTGAAGCAATGGCAAGAAATTCTGTTTACATGACGCCCTAATAAACTAAATAATCTATTGGGACTTATACCTACAAAGATCCAAATAAAAATCGATCATATTTCCGAATTTCTTTCAATGTGAAATCTAGTTGATGTCACTTAGTGAAGCATTTTCAAGCTTACCTTGAACTTACTACTGACGCTCTCGAAACTAAGCTTCTTTTTCGATTTGGCAGTTCCAGCTGGGAACAGGTTTAGGATGAAAGGATCTCTGCTCTCGTGGATCAGCGCTTCCAGGCTTCCATGCAGCGCATCGTCATTCTTTTCCAAGAAACCTGCCTGTGGATTTCAATGTTTTCTTGTTTATCAAAGAGGAAGCGGATGTAGCAAAATATATACACATTTCGTAAGCAGAGGCACATCAAAAGATGTAAAGACGTACATCAAGAGATCTTGGAAATTTTTCAAATTAACATAACCCTACCATATATCATAGTCAAATAACATTCGTGGGTAAGTGATAAGCATAACATCTATTGTGGAATGATAATGTATCGAGGTTAGCAATAGACTTAATAGGAACTAGCCAAAACTTACAGTCTGGTAGCACACTGCGCCTGCAAAGTGTCTGACGATAAAGCCCTGGTCATCCTTGAGTTTCCGATGTGCTTGTAGCGGGGATTTTCTGGGCAGCTGATGATAAATAGAAATGTGCAATGAACTGAATGTGGGGAATATTGCAAAAACGAAGTACCCAGGGTTAAGTAGCAGGGAGAATATTTTTTATTATTTCTATTGTTTTACTGTACACAAGAGTAAGGAAAGGGATTACAAATTACTTGCCTTCATTAGACAAAATCGGCAGTTATATCAAATTGTCAGCTGCAATACTGCCAGGGTGCAACCCTGGCAAATTTAATACTTAAAAAGGACAATTGTCTTCAAAGCAACTGAGTATAACAGAAAGATTGTCAATGTGACAGATGAAATGTGGAAAAATAATAGCTTTGAATCAGATTTTTATTTTTTGATATCACAGTGATTTCATGCTTTTCGTGAGCAAAATCACGAGTAATTAAATGAAGCAGCTGTTTCCAAGAGACATTTCAAGACAGCTTCTTGACTTTTGTCTAACAAAACGATCTGACAACAGATTTTAGAATCATGTAAAGCATTGCGATGTCTTATAATACGGCACTTTATCTACAGTGAAGAATTATTTTTAATATCCTGTGTTTTATTAAAGAAACGAATGTGTTTTATTAAAGAAACGAAAAATGTAGTGCATTAGACATGAAAGTTGCCTACTTGCACTAAGACAGTAAAAGAAATAGGCATTTTAAAATCTCATAGCGTGGATTTATGTCTTAAATCGATAACGTAAGCTAATGCAGGTGGGTTGCTTCACGATCAAGATATAACAAATCAATTATTCAAACATTCGATAAACTTTTGCGGTAACAAATTTAATATAAACGTTTCTTTTGAAGAGCTTGACGTTCGAAGGTAGATTTCGAGGGATGTGAAGTCATGGAAAGCTCTGTTTCTCCGAGGTTAGAAATCTGGGTTGCCTAAACATTCTTTTTTGTTCATTTTGAAGGTTACACAATAACGCCCACATTAAATAATGAAAATAGATATAACATAAAAGGAAAACAAAAATATCATCAAGGAGACAAGGCAAAACAATTTTCTTGGTTAAACACAGCGTTTGAAAAATTTGTATGGATAAAGCAGATGTCATTGCCATATTTCAGTTAACTAACTGCGAATTCCACAACAAAAGAATGAAGAATAAAATCGTGAATTTCTTGAAAGAGCTTAAAATATTTAGGTAACAAAATTTACATGGTAATAAAAACCTGCATTGCGAAAAAGTAAAACATAAAAAATTGATGACACATTCAGGGTGAAATCAAAACAGCCCCGCGATTCAGCGATTCAGCGTCGTCGCATAGCAATGAATACAATAAACGCTTTGAAAAGGACATTTTCGTTGCTCTTAGAAAGAAAAGACACTGGAAGTAGCAGCTATCAACCAAAATAGTGTACCGCCTTATCGATTTAAATACAGTCAACCTCAACGATAAGTACAAGATAAAAAGGAGTAATTGTGTCCCCTAAACACATTTTTCTTGACGTGTTTGTTGCGGCTAGGACAAAACCGCAAGTCAGAGCGTGACACAGGAACAAGAAGAGCGAGCATCAAAGAAAAGTTGTGAAAAGTTAGGCATCCTAATGAGATGCTTTGATAAACATTAATTTCGACAACGGAAGAGGATTTCCATTTTAAGTACAAAACTGGTAGAAGGGACACAAAGAAGGAACTATATCGCAATGAGCCACGAGCTCGGTCAGGCGAAAATCTCGATGCCATTTCATACGTAAACGAGGAAAAAAGTTCACTTCAAAGCCGGTTGCGATTTGAAGCTGCAAAAAGCCGCTTAAAGGCTGTGTTAAGAGGGAAGTGCCGAAGTCACTGAGTTGTTTTCTCAGAAATATCGCAATCAATGCAGATAGGCCGTGAATTGAACCTGCTTGCATTCAAATAAAAATAAACATCGAGAGAGATATGCGAGAAACTTGCAAGAGACCTTTTCGTGTGGGCAACAACGAAATAGGATCATATTATGACATCATACTAAGCGGTTTAAGAAAAAAACGATATTTACCGATATCGGATGGATATTTAGTTATCAGACGCAAGAGGCAAAGGAATATCGCAACATAAACAAACATTGTAAACAAAAGATTGCAAGATTCGGAGATATGCCTTCAACAATGATAGTTAAGATTATTAACTGAAAAAATAGTCGTTTGTTTCATATTACAAAAAGGGTTCTATTACATTTTGCGTGAAAGTCGGCGTGTAACCATGGCGATGGAGAATGGATTCAGTACCAAGATTAATACAAACAGATACATGGTCTTATGCAGTGGGGAAAACATGCAAAAATCTGCCACGACGAACGAAATCACGACTGTAAACAAGGCGGAACTGCGACTGAAGATGCGACCCTCGGTCGAAATGATGAGGCGGAGCACGGTGTCAAAGGACCACAGAGCGGCCACCTTACCTTCTAGATTTCATAATTACAGGTATGGCACATTGCCCGCAAAGGATGGAAATTCGTTGGAGCAAAGGAAGTCAAACACGGGCAGATTCAGGCGATTTCAGTCAGCACCAAATATCAGTGAGAGCACTGAGCCGACATCAAGCCGCCATTTACCAAGTAGACCAACAAGGTTTTTCGAAAATAACAAACTACAAAAAAATAAGATTAAAACAGAGAAGTTGAGCATAGACTATCCAGTCGCAGGCGACGGGACATCAACTCAACAAGTGGCAAGGGAGAAAACGAACATCCGAAGTTCCATAAATGAATTCCTGGCAAAACCAAACCCAGATAAACCACCACCAAGTTTAAGGGTGCAGAGACCAAAAATTGGGACAGGTGGAACAGTATTTTCAAAAAAATACCAAACAGTGAAGGAAACTGATGAGAATGCAGCAAAAATAAACCCGAGCAACGCGCCAGAGATGGAAAAAACTTTTTTCTTTCTGGGAACCTAAGTATCTGGCTAAAAACTTTCTGCAAGATTTCAAGGGGTAGACAAACAAACTTTCTGTTTGTGCCTACAATACTGTATTTAGCTGAAGAAATTCAAGACGTTTATATGAAACTGACTCTGAGTAGGCCTAACTCAACATATTAGACATGGCTGTACTTGATGCATAAATGCACATAAGATGGAAATCAACTTTAGCCAGAAATTTATGCATTTAGTCAATCATCGGGATGGAAAAACCAAAATCAGAAGGCAATAATTTCTAAACATAGTTTCAGAAGAATCAGGGGCAAAATCATTTGAATTGTATGGTGCATTTTACGGAGAAAGCGTAACACAGCCTATTCTTTGACAAGTGTGAAGAAATATATGGTTGAAATGGAGTCCTAATATGCACCAAATTACTTTAACCAAGCATATTAACTTATGATCAATGCTGCTCACACCATAGTACAAGAAATAATTTCCGTGAAAGTAGATTCCAGTCCCTATATTAATCTCAGTCTAAACAATGGTTTGTCTAAAAAGCTCAGCTGCCAAAAAAAATTTTGATGGTGAGTGGTTGAGATTTTTGTGAGATGGTGAATGTGCACAAAGAATTTCTTTCCAATGGAAAGAGGCTATACCCAACAGTCCATTGGCAGCTCATATTTAGATGCTTACAGGCAAGTTGAAATAACATTAAATGCTGATTTGACTTAACTCTTGTCACCAGATTTTTACATTTACTTTAACACTTCAAAACTTTTCTGTGAAACTTTCTGCTAATATTTCCATCCAGAAAAATTTCTGGGAACTACGTTCCCAGGTTCCGATACTTTTTCCACCTCTGCAACGCGCCACTACTAAACGTTTTTGCAGAGCAACCATGGTATTATCAGGAAAAGGCGAGTTGGAGATATCTGAGGATCAAAGAGCCAGCACCCCTGTCTGTTGATAACATATTCAAAAGACCGACTAAGTGAAACTATATTGGATAGCACAAATAAGGCGGTAGCAATACATGCGAAAGTAGCAATACATTATTCATAAAAGGCAGACAGCTGCAATGTGACCATGCACTTGCAAAAAGCAACATTCAGCGACGTAGCCAACAAAGGTTGACACAGAATAAATACGAATAATGAACAAACAGTTTATGTCTACCTCTGGAAAAACTCGACAGCTGGAAAAACCATAAAGGGTGCTGTAAAGACAAGTGGGACCGAAAAAATTGAACCGAGAAAGATAAATTAATCGCGAAGATGGAAAAAACACGTGTTTAATTCGTTGAAATAGCTAGTTTTTAGTTCTATCAACATAATGATCTGGGTGACACGCTCTAAATGGGCGCGAAATTCAAAAAACAGTAGAAAAGACAACACAGTAGTTGCAAAAAATGAAAAGACTTTTTACTCACCGCTAATCTAAAATGCTTGGCATACTTATGGTGTACCTCTGCAGTAAAATGCTCTTCTGAAGACTTAGGGAGCTTGCCCTCTTCATTAAGTAGATCCATTATTCCAACATTTTTTGCTTCAATCAAATCTAGAAATTTCAACACAAAATCGGATATAACCAATGTAATTTAGTGTTCACCAAACTCTGAACTATTAACTTTTTTATAATATTGGAAAGAAAAAGCTAAAGGCCAGTGTCGATTTCTCTTGGGGAATGCTTTAGAAGACAGAGCTTTTTCCTACCAAATTGCCAAGAGACCACCCACCTAATAGCTTCACTTAAAGGCTAAGCTAAGTCTTCATAGCTATAAGATTGCTGTATACCCTATTAGCTAAAACCCTATTAGTAAAAGATAGCAGTGTAAGTAAACATATCTATTTGTACAATACATTGACCTGGCTATATTGAATCATGTTAAATTAGTTTCATCATTGCAAAATTAACAACGATGACTCAATTCTTAATTTTGGAAACAAAGATTTGTGTTGCCTAAGAATGGCTAATTGAAGTTGAGATATTATGAGTCGTTACAGAAACAAAATGAAAACTTTTTTCGCAATTTTAAAACTGGTGCTTACCAATACAATCTTGATTGTCGACATAGGAAACTGTTTTTACCCCAAGTCCTTCTTTGTCATAAAGTTCTTGTTCCTTTCAAAAAAGAAACACTGTAAGATATTGGTTAATGATTAAATGTTATGACCCTTAAATATAAAGAAATGTCGGGAAGGATCGAAGTATTCTATCGAGGTTACTTTCATAAAAAAACATCCACAGGTTTGTTGTTTGGTGGAGTAGAAAGCAAAATCGTGGGTCAGTATAGAGAACAACATTTCTAGTGATCAAGTTACACATTTTGAAGCACATGGCATCAACCTGAGGTGAACCTGGCTTGGTTTATGTTTACAGTATACAAATTTTAGATAATTTCAACATGGATAATTTCGATATGTCATTTCTTAAACTTGAATATGTGAAAGAAAACATGACTTCAAACGTCAATATAAAGCTTACGAAAAACAAAGAGTTCAATCACTATAAAAATTTTCTTACCTGCCGTAAGATTCGTTCATTGAAAAATTGCTGGAGTTTTTCATTGCAGTAATTGATACAAAATTGCTCAAAGCTGTTGACCTCAAAGAATTCTGGAGCAAAGGAAAAATATTTCACGCACTTGCAACCAAAACTAATGAACAAGCAGTGCTCTAAACGAGAATAAGCTGCCATTCAGCGCTTCTCAATAATAAAAAACGCACTGAAGGACTGCCAATAATGCAATTTGACCGCACATTGAAGGAGAAAGCACATTCTAGCAAGGGCAACAGAAAAGCTAAATAAAAACAGGAACTTCAAATCCTGTAAAATGTGAAGGGTTCAAAAAGCAACTTCCTGCAAAAGAGGATTCTAATTTTTGTGAGATAGCAGAGCGAAAGATATTTTCTTCAAACAGTGTGATGGCTATTGAAAATGAACAGCCTAGCCTTCCTGTGCAATTTATCGACCTTGTAATTTGTTTTGTGCTTGTGCATTGATCTTTCACATTCTGCGTAGCACAAGGAGCCTTCTGACTACTTTTACTTTGCAGCTGGAAACAGGAGTATCCTCACAAAATTCAATATAAATCTGTAGCACTAGCAAAAGTGTGTTTTTTCGAAGAAACAATGGGGTACGATTCACGCATATTACCTACATACATCAGGCTGATGCAGAAATATAAAAATAACAAAATTCGTCCCTTTATCTCCTCACCCTTTAGGTACGTATATAAGGATACATATAATGATACATAACACTCACCAAAGCCTGCAATATCTAGCACACCTATGAAACTATCTGACGACTTGAAAGGAAAACACTGATTGATGCAAGAGACAATGTGGTCAAACAACTTTGAGTAGATCGCCTTTGCGAGGGCATCTCGAGCGGCGCAGGCTTGCTCGATCTTCAGCGGTACCCTGGACGTAAAAAGCAACATGAACTTTTATTCCCTTGTTGTACAATGCAATGAAAACAGAAGAAAAGATAGATTTATACTTCTACAGATTAAGTCCCTGCCACGCTATTAAATTTCCTGCTTAGATATCATGTTAACACACTCAAAGCAGCAAAAGAGTAGGCTCTAAGGCAACGCTGTACAGCTTTAATAAGAGAGGTATCTCTACGCTTCATTGTTCCATATATTCTGCCTGATGCTGCATTTGGTATCTATACCAACAATTTACTCCACTTTGCACATACTTGTACATGGTGCCAAATCCACCGCCTTTTGTTGTCGTCATAATTCTGGTTGCAAGGGACATTTTCAGCTCGGCCGGCTCAACGGCAAGCAGCTTGGCAACATCGCTCACGACAGCTTCCGACTTCTCTGCTACTTCACAACCTCCTGCAATAGATACAAAATGCTTGATGCAGATAAGTGGGCCAAAAGGATCTCGGGTATCCATGGCACTCTTCTCGGCGATAGGGGATAAAAATGTTTGGTATACATACATGATAACTTCAAGCTCACTCTTTATGGATACTGCAAATTCACAATGTTAAATGACTGAAGTTGAAAGTAAGAAATAGAACAACACTTTTTCAATGTGCTACATGGTCATACAACAAAGCTTTCTTTTGTGACTTCGTTTGTTCAAACGGTCGCATGAATTCATATGAATCATTGAGAATGGCGTTACTGGGCAATCATCTTTAACAAAGTTGTCAACCAGCCATCCATGCCACGCATTAATCCATATCTGTTTTCTGAAATGGCTCAACTGCAATCATTTATACCTTTTTTGCCATAAACTATTTCTTTTGAACTGATAAAAGCAATACTTCATAACGCGAAACTTTGGGGTCAAAATTAAATTACCTTTCTTGTCCTTCGTGTTTTCTTGGAATTCCACATTTCCAAGGTGCAAAACTGCCGCTACAACACGGTAAATGTCCATCTTCGTTTGTGTACTTATGCCAACAGCGTCCATTGCCTGGTCCATTCGTTTGAAATCGGCGGCATCATTCAGCTCTGCAGTCTTAGGCGATCCTTTAAGATACTGTGAAACAAATTATTTGGTGACATTGTTGGTAGTTGAAACAAGCAAATTGGTTGCAAAATATGCTTTAATTTTAAAGGGTATTTGAATATAAGATGGGAGTGAGCACCCAAACATAAAACTTACATTGAAGGAATCTGGGTTTAACAGCTTGAGAGCTTTTCTCATGTCATCAGGAGCTCCTGTGCAAATTCTGTAAAACACGTGGTAGTTTCTCTCTCCTTTGCTTTGCTTGCATACACGTGACTTTTCCAGCAGATAATGAGAAATGAACGCACCAACAATATTTGCCTGGAAAAGTTCTTTAAATGATAACATCTATATGCAGTAAGAAGCAAAAAAAGAAAATTTGAACAAAAATTACTCACAAATTGAAAACTTGTTTACCTTTCCATCAAAATGCACCTCAACGTATTTACCAAATCTACTGCTATTGTTGTTTCTCATTGTTTTTGCATTTCCAAATGATTCAAGAAGTGGGTTTGCTAAAGAAATAAAGAAACACTTCATGATAATTGCCTAAAGCTAAAGCAGTAGCAAATAACATACCAAGAAATAACAAATAACTGAACAGAAAATTTACCTTAACAAAAAGTATTGCATTTCAAATGTTTTCACAACACAAGAAATAAGGAAGACACTACCTTCCACAATCCTTTTTTCAATATTTCCAGTTTCACCTGCACCAACTGTATCAACAAGGTACCTTGTAATATAAATGAAAAGTTAGAATTTAAAATTTGTAACAGAATTTATACAAATTAAAAATGACTATGAAATAAGCAAACATTTTGAAACATGTTACGAAAGCTTTTCATCTGACACTTTTCAGACTATAAAACATCAGAATATAGATTGTAAACTCTACGCTAGGAAATATATATACCCAGTTGTAGATCGAAATTGGCCAATCAGAGATGTGAGCACATGACTATTGAGGTTGCCCAATCAGTGCTGCTTGCCTATTGAAATGTTGCCAATGGAGTCTTAGGGTGAAAATGAACTTCTCCTGTCTAAACAATATTGGCTGTTCATTCTTGTGCAGATAGATTTAAAAACTGCTAAATGGAATAACGATTGGGGTCTACCAATAATGCAAAACATGTCACCATTATTGTTTTTTGCACAATTTGGGTTTTCTAGTAAATGCTGTTCGTTAGAGAAATCGCATGTTTTGATTGTCATTTTTTATCTGCAAGACCAAGGAGACTATTCTCTTTGGGGGAGTATGATTGTTTCCAATTTATAAATGATTGTTTCTAACGCTAGAAGGGACATGCTGTTTTATTCTATCCTCCAATTTTTGGGGGAAGATTATTGGCATTATACTTTATTACAAAAATTCAAACCAATTAATATTTCACACACATCAATAAAAGCCTTTATACAAGGAATCTGTATCCTTTGCTTGCCTTCACTATAATTTCACGTCATATCTGTTTACAAAAAACATTTAAATCTAGCCTTTCAAAATTTCACATTCTTTTCACCACCCTCTGTTGAGAAATCTGAGATTCAATTTCTATGAAAATAAACATTGACCCCTATGAAGTGCTGAAAAATCTCTCTACATAGGAAGGCCTTTCTATTGTTTAGCCTTGCTACAGATGGAGTTCCACTTTTAAATGATTCCCCATACATACATATCCAACTGATACCTCTAGTTTCCTAAATTCAATTCATATACCTAGTCAACATGTACAATAATTGCAATTTAAATTTGCTGTTTCTTTTATAATAATTGTCCAAATGTATATTGTAAAATTTATAAGTTAATAGCCTGACTCTATCGACTGTACAATGTAAAATTAATAGCCTGACTCTATTGCCATAAAATTTTAAAATGGCAAAAAGATAGAGGCATAAAGCTCGCTTAAAGTCTTCTTGTCTGACACCCTTGAAAGGTATAAAGTATTGAAGAATGATCAAATGTTACCCTAGTTACTCCGATGAGTTTAATGTCTTAGCTATTTATACAATTTTAAAATATATTTGAATACAATAAAAAATCATTAAAACATGCAAATAAACAAGGAACATAGTCTGTTGGGTAGACTCTCTGGATTGTTACTGCAAATATCTTTGTCATATCTTGATGAATAAAAGCCTGTTTGTTACCTTAAAATGAATTTTGTTGATTCAGTCTTGCCAGCACCACTCTCACCTTAAAAAAGTTGAGTTTTTCTCAGATTTTGACATAAATATAAAAAAATAATCTCTACATCATTAAAGGGATGACTTAGCTGAAAAAAGACCATTTTCTAAAGAAAAGAAAGAACTTCTTACCACTAACAATAATTGACTGACTCTCTTTGTATGTCTTCATCTCACGATATGCTTTATCAGCTAAAAGCAATAGAGTTAGAGAATCTCAAAATGACAGGTAAAAGCAAAGAAAGATTTCCAAAATGTTAATCCAAAGTGTCACAGTTAAACCATTTAGTTGAAAATGGTACAGTTAAACCAACAGATATCACAGGGCCTCAAACAAAGGTGGCCAGGGGCCATGCCCCAAAATTTTTGCAAAACAATAGAGCATTTTTCAAAATCTATTGCTATGATTGCTAAATTCACCCTTGCCCCCCCCCCATTTTCCAACATGCATTGGAGTTCATACAGTTTCTACAGTTTCTTGCCTTACCCAACTTACTTCATTTCCTCATATGATACTAAATTATAAATAAAGTTTAAACAGTAAGAGTAAGAGCTCACCTATGGCAAAAACATGAGGAGGAAGAACGCCAATAGATTTTCCTTTGTACTTCTTGATAGAGTCCATGCTATACAAATGGCCAACCTCATGGTAAGGGTTGACTGCAATAAGGATGTTCGCAACGTAAGTCTGCAAAATCAGAATAAGACCATGAATTGTTGTGGAAAAAATTAACAGTCACACGCAACATGGTATAGCAATTACAACAAAAAGGGCACTTTTCAGCACAATTTGAAAACACAAGCAAAAGAAAAAGGTTGTTGAGAAATAAGAGCAATTTAAGAATGATTTGAGCCAATGAGTACTTACGTAGATTTGGTCTTTTTTGTATCTTATTTTCAAGTTGTGTAACAGGGTTGCTTCATTTAGGTACATCAGAGAGCCTTAAAGGTTGAAAAGATACTTAATGACTACTGAATGACTGTGGTTACATAAGTTGGGCTTAAGAAATGTAAACAGAAAACAAACAAGATGGTTTTCAGTACATAAAGTTTATATCAGATAATTTTGCTCTATCATAGTACATAAGCACAATTTTGAAAGAAGCATTCTCAATTTTAATCTGAGGCCTATGGCAAATAGACAACAGTGTTGCTGGTTTCTGGGAGAATTTTAGGAGATTAGCAAGATTAGCAATGCATATAAGCATTTTCTCAACTATACAAATTGGCTTGCTTGTAAACCATAAAAAAGTGCAAATATTTACAAAGCATCTTCAGACAAAGTTTGGATAATTTCAGTCTGTGTCACATAAAATATTGTCTTTTAGGCAAAACTATTAAACAGATAATTTTTCACGCAACCGCATATAATTTGAATGATATTGACCAAAAGCAACGATAGCAGAGGTCTAGCATGTTTGTGAAGTAGATCAAGCAAGTTCAGTAAAAATTAGTTTTAATTATTCATACATACAATTGTCATCAACATCATGGGTAAGATCATCCTCTGCTGGAAAAACACGGCTGTATGGGGCTTTAATGACCTGGCAAAATGCAAATAAAGTGTACAATCTATGAGTACTTTGGGGTTTTAATGCAGATCTACAGGAAATAATTTTCTGCCACTTAGCTTGCATGTGGAACAAATCATGTTGCAAATTAGCAGGTTAAAAGATGCAGGATTTTATTTTTAAATGGCATTTATAAGCTTTGTGGTGAGGCTCTGCACGGGATTCACACAAAAGTCTGTGCTGAACTTCATGGATAAATCTAAATTTGCAAAAATGTGGGATTTGAGAAAGAAATTTTTCCTGTGCATACCCAAACTTGGCATATCTATAGATACAACACTAAATTCTATTGATTGGGAAGATTTACCATTTATTTACTGACAAGAAAAACTTTTTGAGTTTTAGTTATACTTGACAAAATAGTTTTTAGTCTATCAAACCATGTGACATTTGACTCATATACAATTCCAAACAGATGTTATGAAGATTTTGCATCTCTCTCCCCTAGTTCTATGTTGCATCCCCCTTCCTTGATATTCTAGCATCTGTCTTAAAAGCAATGTCCAAGAATGTAGGACTGTGTCTAGCCTATTTGTCTGATAACTGACATAAGTTTGAAAGCAACTATTTAGAACTGGGTGTAAGACAGGATTTGAGCTATATATCTAAAGGTGTACAGTTCTGTCGTGGCAACAATCATTCTACAACAGACAAGTGACTCTTCTTACATTTATGTTTTCATTAGTATTACACAGTTTTCGGATAACAAAAATATTATTAAATGAGGTAAATCCTAATGACAAGCACATCCCTTTAAACACTTAGGGTAGTAGTAGGGGGTGCATTTATTTTTTGGCAGTAGGAAAGTGTTGCAATACCCACTGCACAGTTGATGAGCATTGGAAGTTTTTGTGCAAGGAAGCCCCTAAAGACTCAACTCTTTGCTTACAAAAAATTTAAACCATTGATGAAAATTTTCTATAATTTACAAATTCTAAAAGATGTTATCAAATTCATTTAAAATCATAACATTTTAAAATAAAGTATTTTTGTACTATACAATACCTAATTTTTTTTTGAATTGATAGTAGTTTCATTTTGCTTTTTGGGCAAATTATTTCTAATAGTTACATGTTATTGTAGGCGGTGGAATTTTAGAATGTGCTACAACTGAACTGAGAAGAGTCCTTTTGTTAATTGCTACTAGCTGCTTGCCCCTTTTCAGTGGCCTAAATTGAGCGGGAATAGTCAAAACGATGAGAAATCTTATTTACTTCTACACAAATTGAATGTTTAAGGCAAAGGTGCACAGTTCAAGACTGTAACATGGTTTTGTGAAACCTGTTAATCCTCATCTGTTACAAAAAAGGATTGCCAACATGCGATATCTTCAAGAAAAGAATACTTAGCGTTTCGAGCAGAAAACGAGTTTCAAAACCATAACGAAACAGCCGAAGTAAGTAAAAAAGTCTAGATAATTTTCTTACCAATAGATAAACGACGCTTTTTATCATTTGTCAGAATTTTCAAACTTTAAGCACCAAAACAGGGTTTTGCACAAAATGAATGCCTAATAAAATGCTCGGGGCAAGCAGGAAAAAACTTACCTTTCCTTTCCCATCTAAAGGCTCGACTGATATATGGTCTGCCCCAATATCTGCTATTTTGCCGAGTAAGAATCCGTTGGCAGTGTCGGGCGCCCATACAAGCTTATCGTCCTCCATCGTCCCCAAGAACCTTCGACGCCCAAGATGAAAGAGAAATTGGAAGGAAAGCGTTCTTTCAATTGCAACAACAGCAGTAACATAAACATCCCATAAAGGCGCCGCTCCTCCGTGACCCCTGTCTGGTAACTTCTTTCTCAAATCAATACATTATGTTACGGTACGAAGATCGAACTTCTATCACGTGCTGGTCCACGTGGTTATCAGCGTGAACATCCTTTTATTAACTTTTATGCTTTTTAACTATTGTTCTATTCTAGTATCTAATTGGCTGTTATCATGTTCTGTTTTGTTATTGGCTAGCTGTATTTTAGAAAGGGTATAAAGGAGCTTGCCTGTTTTAGAGTAGGAGGCTTTTTACTGTGGGCGTTCCCGCCTTGCCAAAAGAATCGTGGCCGCCGTTTCCCGATGAAAGTCGAAGCGTGTGTCGCTTGAAAGACGTCGCTGTTGCCATTCGAAGTATTTAATTCAGAGACGCCACAAGTCGCCAATACTAAAGCAAGCAAGCTAAAGGTCGTGAGTGCTTTGTTTTCATTGTTATTCTTAGCTTTTCTATATTCTTTATATTAAACATTTGAGACTGATTGCCTATGAAGTTATTCGTTGACTCACAAACTGTTAGACTTAGAGGCGTAGTCTAATAATTATTTTCAATAGCTTTAAAAACTTAACAAGAGGTGGTGTGGTTTGCTATTAATCAAAAGGAAAGTAGATAAAATATTATAAAAACACAGGTTAAATTTCGTTAATTAAGATCAGAGATGGGCAAGATGATGTAAATAAAAGTAAGGTCACGGTAGCAGGCTGCTCGACGGACTCCGATGGAATTCTTGTGGCGAAAAAAGTCGATAAAAAATGTAGCAAATAAGGAACACCGCAACACACGTAAATCAACTGTGGCTAATATTTCGCCCCGGGATGCGGGGCTGTGTACGGGGCTTCATCAGAGCACAAGTCCATTGAGCGAGTTACTCGAGAGATAGGTGAGTACCTTATTACAAGAGAATGTTACTGATGAAAAAATAAGTATCGTATTATGTATAAACTCTTACAGAAGTATCTGTGATAAAATTTGTTCGTTGGAAAACTTAAATCCCCACAGCACACCTTGCGAGGCACTTTGCTTGGATACTGCCTCTGTCATCTTTCGCTATATTTCTAAAAACTCACCATCCAAAGTAGCGAGACGCTTCTAAGGATCTTTTTTGCTCGACGGATTCAACGTATAGAAACTGCGCCAGTTGTCATCCTAGCAAGCGATGTACAGCAGCATCAAGCGCCAGCGTCTGTTACTCCACTGAGTTTTATCTGCTTAACAATAATGCATGAACATTAGAATTTCAACAGAAGAACTACTCTTAGGTGCCTAATTGCCGTCCCCCCGCTAATTAATTTTCCAACCCCCCCTCCCCCGCTCTTATTAATCCCACCCCCCGCAAATTTTTTTGGCAGGCACTTTTTGTATCTACTGTAGTGAAAAAACCTGTCGGCAAAACCGTTTGTTTTATCAATTTCCTTAGCTTCTAAACATTTTGCATAATCATTTGTTCTGTTGATATGGTTTGTTCTGTTAATAAAAATTGCATTTTGAGTATTCAGTATATGTAACTTCATAATTTAGACCCCCAGTAATTGGAACCCCCCCCTGCCAATTAATCTTTAACATAAAATTCGATCCTCCTTTAATTCTGACCCCCCCCCCCCGGAAATTAGGTACCTAAGAGTATACTTCTAAAAATAAAAGGCTTATAGATTTGTGAAGTTGATTGGTTAAATTTTTCCGTAGTAGTTATGTCTTATATCCAACCTTCATGAGATCAAACAAATCACTTTGTTACACAGAATTTCAAATCATAGAATTTCGGTAAGCAATAGTAGATTGCCAAAGTATACTATTGTATTTCCCTGCACTGGGTTCCAGAGTGAAAAGGGTTTTCAATGGGATGCAGAGAATCTTGGTTTGGATTTACCCTTCGCACCCCACCCAAAGAAGGTGTATTTTTGTCACAATATAAAACAAATATAGAATTTAAATGATTGTCAAAAATTAATTTTTCTTGGTTACTACAGAAAGGAGCCCGAATTTCATGAATGTTCACCTCGGTTATAAACCAAAGCGCTTATCTGGGCCTTTAGCTTGTTAAATAAATGCAATAAAGATCGCATTGAGCAAAAAAAGGCAACCCTAACAAAGTCAAAAAACGATTGAACAGCTTTGAAAGAAAATATGATAATAATAATAATAAGCTCTTTATTTACAGTTGGTTTGAGCAATAGTTAATATACATAGATAATTATGTAAAACTAATTAATACCAACTATTTATATACGTAAAAAGAAAAAAGTACCATATTGATCTACCTATTTACATATTTTACAGCTACATTTGTCTCCATTCCAGGTAGGTATGTATTTTTAAATTTAGATACGTTTTCCACATTTTTTATCGTATTATGCAAGGTGTATCAGGCCAGAGGATGCTACCCCGGAATGCTAATGATATCGTTTCGGCAGGCGGAAGTTGCAGCATATTTTTCATTTGTAAGTTACAAGTCAATTCCCTTTGCACGAAAAACTCTCTCATGAATGAGGGACTCTCATGATTTAACAATTTGTATATCTCTATCATTAATTTTTGTAAGTTTTTGGTGTGGATGGCTACTTCATTGTTCTTTGTGAGGAGACATTCAAAGGTGGATTCATAATCACATATCATTAAGACGGAAATTAAAGCAAGTATAAATTAAGAAGGGAATAAAAGCAGGTATGAATTTAGAAGGAAATACAAGCAAATATAGTTGCTACTTTGAAATAAGCGAGTGGGTCAAAGCAGTGGCGCAGAGAGGGGGGGTAGGGGGGCAATTTGCCCCAGGGCCTTGGCCTGAAAGGGGCCCCAAAATTATTCTGAAATTTTTTTTAAAATATCTTCTTTTGAGAAACTGAAAATGCATTTAAAGATATATTTGTTAATATCGAAAATGATGGCAGTAATTTCATTGGGTCCGTACACTGAGTCTTGTTTGAATTTAAGGCCTATCAGCTTTATTTATTGAGTCTGGGGCCCCGAGAAAAGCTGAATAAACCTTAGATCACATATTTTACGGATTTATCTTTTAAGCTGAGTTTTCCTGAGTTTCGCAAAATCGTACTTATTGGGGGGAGGGAGCCCTGATAAGAAATTAGGTAACCCATATAATCTTGTTTTAATCTATGGCCCGTTCAAATGAGTTATGTTTGCATTTAGACTCGTTGCATAAAGCTATATTATATTTTTGGGGCCCCTTTCAGCAAACTAGCACTAATAAAGAACCGCTTACGTTCAACAATGACTCAAGACAGACTATCAAGCCTCGCGACTCTTTCGATCGAGCACGAACTAGCAAGACAAATTGATTACGACAATATCATTGATCAATTTGCAACTGAAAATACAATCGTGCGCAAACATTTGGGCGTTTTCATTTTATAAAGGGCGTGGTCTCAAAAATTTGTTGTATCCGACTCTAGGGCCCCAACCGGGACTTTGCCCCAGGGCCCAGGCCGCCTCTCGGCGGCCCTAACAACAAGTACTGTGCTTCCTGTGAAGTAACGCCTTTTTCTAATCCACTCCATCTGCAGCAGCCTTTTTCCAATATTCTGAATGAATTTGGACAAATAAGTAACTATAAACATTAGCTTCCCAACCATTATCAACACCATGATCAAGGTATTTAACTATTTCAGCATCAAAGATACTTTGTTCTTTTGAGGTTCTTCTGTATCGACAATATTGACAACACCCTTCTTACTTCCGGGAGACCTAAATCCTGGACAGATGATGTTTCAATTCTGCCTTCCCGTCCTCAAGCCCTTTCAGTGATATATCTGTTATCAAAATACTTGTATGCAAAATACTTGGGTTTGTGTGCATCTTTAATTTTGATTTTGCACTAGTTGGGAAAACAGGCAAAAAGGTCCACAATTTTTACAGTACGAGTTTACTACTGACATAGCACCAGTATTCCTAGAAAAACAGTTTTGACACATACTTTATCCACAGGGGCATTTCTAGCAGTTATGAAGTTTGTTTGTTGCTTGCCACCACCAATCGGGATAGTGGAGCAAAAATATTCCTTTAAACAATCAACTATGCAGTTCAGAGCCAACTATCTCTTTTTTTGGCACATTTCCGTATGTAACTCTTTGTAATAATACGAAAAGAGTGTGATAAATGTGAGTCTTTGTAAAAATACAAAAAGGCGGGTGGATAATATGTTACAATATTCGAGTCCCATCGTTCTTCTCTGAATAAGCGACCCAGATTGTTCATGTTCTTTCCTGAGAGGTTTAAAGAAAACCAGTTATATGAAACAAAGTTCGATATCGTGTACTCCGTTTCTTAACGCACAAGGAAATTCCAATATTCAGTGCTTCTTAACTATGAGTTTCTGAACTAAGATGTCATTAATTCTAACGTTCGGGGTCCTAGATTCATTTTTCATGCCGGGAAAGTTTCAAGCAGAACCTTACTAGATCGGGTTTTCGCAATCCTAAGCAGCGAGACTCGTCAATGTTTCCATTGTTTTTAAATGCTCGTGCTCTTTCTGTCAAGAGATTGGCAATCGCTAATGCTGTACATGTTTAGAACTTGTTCAGGGCTTTATGATTTTAAAAATTCTCTTCTTTCTTAATGTATTCGCTAGAGTGCTGAAGTTTCTTAATTTATTCGTCGTTATCTAGTACAAATTTCTCATAGCGAGTTTCATATAGAAAAAAATCTTTCATTACAAGATGGACTAAGAAGTGTTTTACTCTGCACTTCTACATTGTATGTAGCCAAGGGTGGTGGTCTGACAGACTTCTTACATTGTGTTTTTTCATCGTGTCCTGGCGAGGTAACAGATTGAGGGAGGGGCTGAAACATTTATGGGGAGGGGGGGGGGGCTAAACATGTTGGAAACCAAAAACAAGGCAATTTTGTATGGTCGGGCAATTTTTTTGGGGGAGGGCAATTTTTGTATTGCCCCCGCTTCCGCGGTCCCTGAGCAGTCTACATACAAGTACATGAACCTACTTTGTCATCTGCAGGGCGTTTTTTTCCTCGTGACCGCACCACCATTGGTCACAGAAAATAACAGGAAAATTATGTTTCTCTCACAAAAAACCTTTGTATAGACTATCACGAAGAATTCACTAAAAGTTGCTGCCAAAATCTTAAATTCTGTTTTGCATCATGTATCTTTTAATTGTCTTCAACAACACTATTTTCATTGCATACATGGGGAATTTTAATATCACAAATTCCAAATTACGCTATCATCGGAAATTTTCTTCGAACCTTTACGGTCACACGAAATCTCTAAATTAATAGCACCCTGGTCATCTGTTAAAATTTCATTTTCAATTAGAACAGGGTATTTTTTAGAGAATTAACTGGTGGAACATTTTGCTTGTCCCATCAGTGAAGGAAAAATTGGTACATTTACCCCAGTGGCCAAGTCAAAAATGGGGTTCTTTTTTCATTATTCCTCGTAAACAAGAAGTTGTTCATTATTCCTTGAATTTTCCAGATGAAATAAAATCTCGGGAAATCACCTATCAGAATTGCATAAAGAAATTTTTGTTGAGAATGAAATAATCATAATTTGTTTATTCCCAAGGGCATGTCTTCCTTACCAGCGTCATTCTTTTCGGCCTTCCCTTGTAAGGGCATGGTCACGTAGACTGTCCACAAGACATAGCACTATAAAAGTTGTGCAGTGCTCATAACGGTTGTGCCGTACCCCCAAACAGTTCTGAAACCTTCCAAGAAAGAAAGAATTTATAATCTATGATTACTCCATGCCAAGAGCAGGAGATGAAATCAAAAGTAAATCTAGCATTTCAACGAGCATCTCTAATAAAACACTGACAAATGCGATATAAATTTCGACATGATTCACCCTAAAGGGTGAATGTTCCCAATACGCACTATGCCCAATACCTCGTTTCTCAAAACGACTCTCATCACGCCCCTCAACTGACCAGTAAAGAAATCCAGAAAAGCAAACAGATCCGATCTTTTTCTCAATTGATTCTGAGAAATTTCATTGAACGGCTCCAATCTTGGGGTATACCGTGCTCAAAATGCATGGAGAGATGTGCTTTTTTGTTTTATACTTAAGCGGCACACGTATTGCAAAAATGTTCTGTTTATCAAGACAACTCTTAAACGTAAGATTTCGTCTTTCCTTTCTGCTTCAAACTGCCACCAAGAATATCCCAATGACGAAGAAGTAAAAAGATTTATACTTGCAATCAAATAGTACATCAACTACAAGAAGGTATTTTCGACCTCCGTCAGGCCTACATAAATAAATGGCAAGAAGGCAAGGAGATCCTAGTATTTTATAGAAGGAGGAGACAACGCTAAGAGATGCAAGAGTGAGATACAAAGGGTGAGATGCAAAGGGTGAGTTGCCCTCTCCTTATACAAACGCTGCATCAACTGCATTTTTGGAAGATATTGCCCTTCTTTCTTTATTTTTCAATCGGCCTACTATATGCGTACAAAAACCACTGTTTTAGCTGGTGTAGTGTGTATATATAATATTTAATGAACTGAAATGAATGAATGTGTTTTGAGGTAATGGTGTGAACTGCTCATAGGTGGGTTGCACAGCATTCTCGTCATCTTGCATCTTAAAATTTACTGGCAATAAAACGAAAGTTTTCTTAAATTTGGACTAATTCGTGAGCTACCGACACTAGATCGTTTCAAAAAATAACTCAAAAAATATCTGAAGGCGACTCTTGAAATGAATTTTCGGGTGAAACAGCAATGATGAAGTTCTATCGGGCTGTAGTGTTTTATTCTTAGGACTTCAGTTCTGAGGTTTTAACCATTGTAATTAGATGCTATATAATTAAACTTGCTGAAGGGTTAATATGTGTGTAAATATCATTAAATGAAATGTGAAAAATGAACGAACCTCTTTCCAACCAAAGTTACTCCAAGTTAATCAAAGCTTCACCATCAATCAAATGCATAGAAATACCTGAACCTGGTCACCCAGTCAATTTTCTGTTCTTCCTGTCTCTAATCAGAGTCATTACAGTATACAACAGTATACAGATTCAAACATTATCTTGACCACAGAAGGCATGCCTCGGGACACAATTCGTACTTCTATAATTTGCTAAACCACTGTCAGCAATGAGAAACCTCTGACTTCTTAAAGATGAACCAAATTATAGACATAAAAATAAACAGCAAATGAAGAGCTAATTTCTTTAGGATTTACGCTGCAGACATCAACAGTGTAAAACGGCAAAGATTACCATGTGAGATTCAATTTTTCATGAAAATATCAAGTGAATTTTTTAAAATATTTTGCTCTTAGAAAATATCAACTGCAAAAGATTATCGATGCTAGTTTTGACAAAATAAATACATAAATAAATGAAAAGAAAAATTAATTTGCATATAAACAAATTCATTTTTGCTGTCTAGACGCAGAAGCACTCAGTGGATCTCAATGAAAGTCCCGGTTGAACTGCTACAATTACAGTACTTCACTGTACTTCAGTCCTCGCGTGCGGCAAATATATTTCCACACGAGCCTTTCGACTCTGTTGGCCTCAATAGAGCTTCTGCTTCCAAGTATCTACAAAAAATGTCGAGGAGATCATTCGGTGGAGCTGAAATGAAATGGATTCAAAAAGGTAAACTGATGTCAACAATGTGGTTCTCCTTCGCTTTGCGAGGTGTGTGCACTGTATTTAGAGAATGTTTTACAGGTATCATAAAATTAGAAGTTATCGGCTATGGATTTAACTACAGTTTATCGAAAGAAAGGGGTTTGTGAAAAAAAGGCCATGGAAACGAACGACTTTAGGCTTTACTGAAATATTGCGCTAGTTTCAAACTCAGTCAGTATAATTTAAGGGAATTATGAACTTCAATTACATATAAGATATTGGATCTGGGGTATACAAAGTCTGCTTGAAAACCAACCTTTACGACGCATTTTTTCAAAATCAATTTGTACTCAGCTCCGTCTATTTCACCGCTCCTAAAAACCGGTTTTAACACCTTCTTCACTTCAGATTCAGCAAGGTTAAGACGCTGCAGCCGACTTATGCCCTAACGTAATAAAGAAATAAATGCGAACTTATTATCATAACTTTTCACTAAAAATCTTTAGCAGCTACCTAAACGATTAATTGAGAATAACTGTTTTTAAATTGTCACGACTCTTTAGATGATGGCGACGGTCCCCGAAAGAACAGGGACTGAACTAACTTGTTCTCAAGTTCACCTGGAGAAACAGAAACATAAAAAAACATTTTACAAATGTCTCTTTTCCTTGAGTTATTCCGTTGAACGTGTGACTGCCAAGGATAAAAACAATGTACTGTAAAAATGGGCATGTTAGCAATTGTTATTTACAAGGTGGGGGCTAATTTAAGAAGGACTTATACCAATCAGCTTTTCTGGTACACTTTTCAATAAAAGGGTTGATAAATCAAGCAATTTTTACCAATTTAATATACACAAGATAGACCTTACATGCCGAGAAGAACATAAATCGACAGCAAAATAGAGTGTGGAAGTATCTCGTTTCATACATGAAATTTTATTCCGCTAACCAAATGTCGAGAAGCTCCATAAATAAATTGACAGGAGCGTTCATGTCGTGGTTGCAAACTTGTTCCCTAGGACTTAGCTTGACTTCGGTAAAGAGACTCTATTTATCCAGCAAAGTGTAAACGGGGTCTGAAAAAGATGGGAAATTGAGAAAACTCACCCTTTTTCTAATTAGGGCTCGGTCCTCTTCTGTGATCAAAATATGCCCATCTGAATGAGGATTTACGGTTTCTGAATTCAAGCCATCGTGAGCGACAAAGCGTTCTATTAAACCACCAACTGAAGGTCCAGCTTCAGAATTGACTTGTGTTAAACGCATGTGATGCAATGGACTTGTCTCAATTCTGTCACTTGTCGCCAAGTCCTGTTCTTTATAGTGTCGCTGCAATGCATGCGAGGGAATCGAAACTTTACTATCTAATCTCTGACTAAGAGAATCTTTTCGCTCCTCAATCATTCTCATCAATCCTGTCCTACGTCTCCCCACTACATAGGAAATTTCAGAAGGTGGGCTCTCGCTAAGAACATTTTCGTTTTTTAGGTTCCCTTTAGAAACCTTTGAACACGCCTGCCTTTTACCATCAGAAAAAAGTTGTTTATCATCCAAAACTGAACGAGAAACAGCCCAACTTGCAACTTTTTTAGAATCTCCTTCGATGGAACTTCGGTTTGCTGCAATTTTCCCTCCACTGCCTGGTAATAAAACTCTAGGCGTTAATCTATCAGGAACTCTAGACATTGCCTTATTGTAAGACGCTACTTTTGCACCAGCCTTTGTTATTGCCTCCATTTTGGGCTTCGCGGACGGCGTCCATGGTTGGCGAGCTTTACGAATAAGCGTATCATGGTAAGCATTTTCTTTTGTCGCTGAACTCGTCACTTTGAAACTTTCTGTTGATGAATTTTCGCGCTTCTTTGGCACTTTTGGTATTTTGAACGACTTGAACTCTTCGACAGCCGGCAATGGCTTGTACTCCAAAGCATAGGAATGTGATCGCCAAGACTTTAGATCTGTTGGCACAGGTGCATTTGGCACACATTTTGCGACAGTTGATAATGACCGTGGTTGACAACCGTTAGTACTCCGAGAAGCAGTTGGAGCAGAAGAAATCACAGTGGAACAAGACGTTTTCACCTCTCTGAATTCACGGGTTGCACTTACATCTAGGGGCCGATACTCATTATGATTCGCGACTTCTTCATCTGACGAGCTTTCCTCAATCTGACGCTTTACATTTGAATGCCTAACACGCAACTTAGGCCCTTCCTCTTTTCCCGTACTTGATTCAAAATGGACCTTCTGTCTTTTCTTGATGTTGTCAAATCCCTCTCTTTTTCTAGAGCTACTCTCGGAATCACTGCTATCTGAATATATTACTCTTCTAGCCGAGTATTTCTTTTTTTGTATTAAAGTTCCATCCCTGGCTATCGTGACGTTTTCCGGATCAAGACTGCCAAAACCTTGGATTATCCCAGAAAGCACGTCAGGGTTGTTCGACTCAGGCCTGAAATTCGAAACAATTATGTCAATATAAAAAAGTCTGAATTGGGTACCGTATTTCCTTTAAGGAGCACTTCCTTCTAATGAACGTCTCCCTCTTATAAAGTTCCCCCTCTCGTCCCCCTCCTATAAAGTTATTTTCAAATTTATCATTCTGTAGCTCACATACTCAAACCAAAGTGCCGCAGCTTTTCTTCTTTCTCGTATATCTACACAAAGAGTCATTGCAATCGATTTCTTTCATATAAAAACAGTAAGTCACATAAAAGGATAAGCCATGCTACTCGTTGGGAATTTCTGTAAAAACAAATAACATGAAATGACTATACTATTTTATTGTTAAGTTTAAAGAAATTTGTTGATTTCCGATTGAATTATCCAATGATCCGAGACTTGGAAAAATATTTGAGATACCTATTACCGCACTGTTTATGGAAAGACAGGTTGATACTGTTGCCTTCGATAGTTTTAAAAGCTAAATATTTCAAAGAACGCAGGTAAAGAGCAAACTTGGCATTACTGTTGTACTTCAGTCTTGGTTACGGGTTGTTCATCTGGTGGTTCTTCACAGAACTCATCCAAATCAAACGGGTTGCCTCGCAAACTGAAGCTCAGCGTGGGTTCAAGGCTGGCAGACCCCAGCATCGACAACCTTCGATTACCTCCTGCCTCATTTGCTCCAGCCCCACTAGATTTCTTGATCGTTCCACTACTTTTTGTTGACTCTTTCTTCCTACTTGTCACAGATGTGGTCTTTTTCCTCTTCTTACTTCGTTTCTTTCGAGAACGCTTTCTACTCGGATTCGCAGCTGCACCAAAGGAAAAATTCGATTATAAAGTTCCTCTTAACATCTATCCTTTTATGGTTTTCTCTGGATTTTAATTTTGACCAACTCAGCATCAAGATTAACCTCGTAACTAGCCTCTCTTTTCCAAACGTCTCTAACCCTGCCTCGTAATTAGTTAATTGATTCATTACCTCAATAAGTAAAACAATAAATAAATCAATGAAACAGAAAATCACTTCGATCAATATCAAAGGCTTGCAATCATTGTAAGACAGAAAATGGGAATATTCAATTTTCAACATTGGTAACTCAAATAAGCCTTCCATACTGTAAAATTAAAAAATAGGGCGGGAAGGCGGAAACATGTCATATTGAGGTACTTTTCGTCCGACACTGCTTTCGCTTTGCTTCGTTTCGTCTGCCCAACACAAAGTATAAACGTGATAACGACCAAAGGTAAGCAGAAATTAATACCCATCAAAAGTGACTTTAGGGGAAGAATGGCACGTTAGGTTGGAGCCTTATTGTTGACCAATTGGGAATCAGTAACCCCTCACCTGTGCCGGACCAAAAGATCTTCAGCAATATGACATGTTTCCCCGTTCTGTTTTAATTTAAAATGGTACTTCAGTCAGTGCATCTATCAAAATCAACACTCACAAGAATCTGTTTTCCTCGTTTTTCTTTTTCTCCTTCTCCGAAACCCACTAACATAGAATTCCCTGGAAGCAAGCCGGTTTTCTAAAATAACAACAAAATAGAAGGATTAACACTTTGCGTGCACTTTGAAAACTTCATCTTTTTGATTAAAAAATAAAGGTGAGAAGGTTAACTTTTTTATCTTTTGGAAATATTTCGAAACCACATGGCAAGTTTGAAAATGACAAAACGCAAAATCCAGTTCAATTTGAACTACTAGCATAGCAGTTGGACCATATGCAAAATGCTCCTTTTTCTAAAGATATTGCCGGGGTTCGCTTAAACTAGCTTAAACTGTTAATTTGCTCTTTGAAAGCAATTAGCAGTCATTCTTGAAAACCAAGTTACAGTTATGCAATCATCTGACTAGACCTTACAATCAACAAAGTGTCTTTAGCTTACGCTTATCGCAGAAAATTTTCCCAGAAACTCCTTATGCCATAACTTCCGAAACAGCCTTACCTGTAAACCAGGCTCTGACAAGCCTAGCATAGTTATTCGAATACTGCACAGTTCTAGCGCCTCTGCGACGGCGTCTTGTTGGGTATGCCGTTACAGTGACGACTTCTTCATCCAACGGCCGGCTGGGGAGGCATCTAGGGCAAAACCAGTCACCAGAAGGAACCTCTTCCAATGGAGGATCTAAGCATTCAAGGTGGTATCTACAAAAAAATTACTCCCATCGAGTACAGTCATTTTTGACTGGAAAAAAAGAATTTTACTGTATACGTAAACGACAATTGACTGAGAACGACAATTGACTGAGATCACCGTAATGCTACAGCAATTATGGACTCACCCACGGTCACATTCATCGCATAAAAGCATTCTGTCTTCCCGGTCTCCCATGTTACAAATCTTGAAAAAGAATTCAGTCTTGTCTTATTTTCAGGCATTGAAATTCATAACCCAAAATTGTATGAATCTGAAAACAGTTTTATAAAATGTTTTTAATTACCTGGCAAAAGGTTGGGTCCTCAAAATCGGAATCATTTTCTTTTGGTTTTACATCTGCAATATGCAACTAGGTAAGAAGATATCAAAATGCAAAAATGCAACAAAAATCTCAAAAAATAATACTGCTCAGAATTATACTGCAAACTATTGGGCATTCAAATCACAAATTACAGATAATTCAAAGATTCTTTAGAGGAGGGCATCCTTACCCCCTCCTCCAAGGAGGGCATCAGGACCCTTATCCTCTCTTTCAATGAGGGCATTGGGACCCTTACCCCCTCCTTCAATGAGTGTGTACTTGGAAGTGAAGGCCATTGTCACAATTTATATGTGAACCCCTAATAGTTTATGATGGCCATGTTTTTCTAAATAGGAAAGACCTGTGTTCACATATGTAGAAATAGCACATAGATTAATACATCCAGTACCCAACATCTACAAGTTAATACATCTACAAGAGAGTGCAGCAGATGGATAGGGTGTGGACATGGGCGTGGCAAACAGAACAAGCCTAAAGAAAATCTCACTGTCATAACTTTGTACCACAAGAGAAGCTCACCATGATTCTGTCTTAAATATTGATCAGATGAAGGACTAAGATACAACTGTAAGTTTCTTAACCATGTTTTAGTTTAGCATTTATGCAACTTGAATGAAGCTGAAAGTTTGAGAAGAAAAATAAGAAAAAACCTCTTCAATAAGTTGACCATTTACACAACTCTTTACAAAGAGTTTGTTGAACTTCAACCGATCTACGGGACAGCTGTTCACATTCTGTTGAGAAAAGGTTGAAATTAAGAAATTAATTATGATTTCATAAAATCATACATAAGAATTAAGTTGACAGCAAAATCAATAAAAGACAAGAACTAGGTGCAATGCATAAGCTACAATTATGTTTGAGAATTCATAAGAAGTGTAGTTGCCCATAGGTCTGTGATTACCACAAGATGAGTTTCATGAAAAAGCAATGTCAGCATTACCAAACCTCACAATTAAAGAATATTGAAAAATGATATTCAAGTGCTTCAAAAATACATACTTTGGACCATTCTTTTATGCAGTCAAAACAAAATGCATGCCTGCACTTCTCTGGCTCCCCAACTAGTTGATCTATTAATTCACCAAGGCAAATAGGGCAATCTTCTGAGATAATATCTTTTTCACCTTTTTTCCCAGAATTAAATACTTTGCTATCATCTTCACATTTTGCAGTCAATGGTGAGGTCTTTTGAGAATCATTAATACATTTCTGTACCCCAGCCATATCAATACCATTCTTGCCAACATCACTTGGGCCCTCTCCAGAACTGGCTTCACTGCCATCAGCAATTTCTTCTTCGTCATCTTCAGAACTGTCTGTTGTCAATTCTAAAAATCAAACAGCATATCCAAATAGATACAAATGTAAATTGCCAAATGCATATGTTGCCAAAATACTAATGTAATTTATCTACTAAAATAGCATTTGATTATCAACAATAACCAATTAATCCCTTATAACATTTAGAAAATCATACAACCCTCACAACACTTATTTGTCAGCTACCTTCCTCACCGCAATTTACTTTTATCCTTGAAGTCAGTATTTGATTATCTGTGTGAATTAGTGTTTGTTGCATTAACATGTTGTATATTCAATGGTTACTTATATGAAGTTTCAGGATGCCCAGCTACACAAGTCATGAGGTGTAAGTAAAATCACTGCTACAGTTTTCATACAAGGCTCTGAGCACTGAAATTCATAAAAACATCATTTAATTAACAAAAACAAAGGATAGAAATGGATGAATCTAACTGGAAATGAATCTTATTAATATTTTCACATTGGCATTGGCAATGTTGGCAGTGGATCACATGGAGGTCTTAGTGGAGACTTTCTAGAGGAGAAAAAGATTTCCAGGTTGCAATAATGGAGCTTAGTTACTTACAAGATAGTCCAATTGCAACTATTTGAATTAGGATTTTAAATCTAATCTGATGATAAGGATGTGTTTTCATATGAGAAATTTGACTTAAATCCATAAAATTGTTTGCAAAACTATATAATAATACTGAGATAAAGGAAACCTTACCATCATCAGAGAGGCTGTTATCATCTTCATCATCACTGTCGCTTTCAGAAGAATATAAATCTTGCTTCTTACGTTGAGGCACAGTGAAATCAGCATCATCAAAATCATTATATTCACTCAATGATATGTCAATATTGCAGCAAAATCTCTGCCTTTTTCTTTTCCCACCCATTTTAATTTGCTAGCTCATTCTTGCCAATTACATACATGTTGACAGCAACATCTAAACAAAATATTTGTATCTTTTAAATCAGCATTAAATCACTCCTTATATGTATATATTTTTATAAACAGTGGCATATGAAGCAATTTGAAGGGATTCAACTGTATTTGAAGCAGTAAAGATTCATCAAGCCATTGAACACTTCTAGAAAAAACATTCCTTCTGTCTGATCCTATTGCTTGACATTATTCTTAATATTCGTAACGACCAGATAATGTGTGAAAATTAATGACTAGGAAGGAAGAGGGATAAAATTGTATTTTTGAGATTTTCATACCTTAGGACTATATTACAAATTGAATTAAAAGGGACTTGTGTCTGCATTTACACATCTATCTAATTGTGCAACAAACTAAAGGAAAACCCAGTCTTGGTCATTTTATGCATACAATCACGCAGGTATCAAGAGAACAATTAAAAATGTTTTATTTTTTTCTAAATTGTATTTAAAAAAATTATTTGCAGACAGCAGGTCCCTATCAGCTGCAAGCTAGCTGCAGGCCTGGCCGTTTGTATCTTTATAGGTGAGCTGTGAATCGCTCCCCTCATTTGCTGAGGTGAGCTAAATCAGTAACACATAGAATGTACTTTAAAGACAATTGACAGATGACTTAATAAGCCCCTTTAGTATCTGTCGGTTGCCTTAATGTAATTGCCTCAGTCAGAAGTGTTATGTTTTACTTCTTTCAATTTGTATTTGCTTTAACCGTGACTTAGGCACCCCCTTTACCTGAAGTATTTGAAAGAACAGACTCTCTCCGTTTTATGTAAAGCTGGTACAACACAAAAACAACAATTCTCTTGCAAAACAACCTTTTTGTTGTACAGAATTTGAAAAAGGGCTTTGAAATTTTTTTTTAAAACAAGCTGAAATTACACGTTTGGCACTCTTCAGAGAATAAAACGTCAGAACATAGATGGAAAACTCTACGCTAAAATACCCAGTTTTGGATCGAAATAGGCCAATCAGAAAACGTGAGCACATGACTGTTGAGGTCGCCCAATCAGTGCCGCTTTCCTATTGAAAATGTTACCAACTGCTACATAGATGGAACGATGATCAGGCTTTGCCAATAATGCGAAACATGTCGCCGTTATAGTTTTTCACCCAATCTAGGTTTTTCAGTAAATGCTGCTCGATAGTGGAATTCCATGTTTTGGTTGTCGTTTTTGATCTGCAAGACAGAGTACCCTGTTCTCTTTGAGGGATAGTTTTGTTTCTATTACTGGAAGAGACCTGCTGTCTTATTATATCCCCAATCTACAATTCCTACAATTTCTTCGACTTTCTTTCCAAAAATATGCCTGTTTTCTTAAGATTGAAAGGTTCTAATCGCTACAAACGTACCTTTTGGTTAACTATCCTTTTCCAAATAGATCGAAGTTTATGCCTATCATCGTCCAACAAGCAAAAAGTTAATTGCAAAAAATGCAATGGCGGGAGAAATCGCTGCTACAAAAATGAACCAATTAACCTTGTGCGTTTTCATAATTCTCTGAATAGGAAATTTTAGGGGAGCGATTCTTCCTCCATGTTCTGTTTAGGAGAGCAATTCATTGCTCGCCTTAGGTTGCGAGAGGAGCGTGGAGGCAAGCGCGAGCTATCGCTTGCCTCAAACGGCCAGGCCTGTAGCTGCCATATGTTTAACCTGCTTTAACAAATAAATATGTATATATGTATGTATGTTGTATGAATGTACTAATTGCCACATACAATGAATGTACTAAACGCTAATAATGCGAACAATTGATCACAAATGAATTATATATTTGACCATTGTGTTTGAACTCATTACATCTTACCCTAAGACAAACCAAGCTTAAAAAGAGAAGCAAATTTGTGTGAAAGACAACAATTTTTGATACTGAAATTTTGAAATAAAAGCTTAAATGTATTCCTATTGATGCTGTCATCGAATTTTACTCCCTCTTAGTAACTTGAAAAGCAAGATAGGCAAGAGTGTGAATTGCATGCATGAAATAGGGTAACAGCTGGATAACCAAATTTTTATTGGAAATGTCCACCATTGTCACCAGAGTTCCATTTTGAGAGACCACAGGTCATGTGAGGGAGACCACTGAAAGAGTTGCTGGTCTCAGAGGCCATGCTACTTGAAGGTGTGGGGGATGTGACACCCCCAAGTCTTACCAATTGATTCTTTACTCATTAGATTTGGCACTATTTGAGCTTACTCTGTAAACTTGGTGGTGGCACAAATTAAAAAAATCAATGATAGTAGATGGTATATTTGATTGTTTTCATTTTCACTTCGATTTGATCCTCTTTGCTCCTCTGCACATTAACATTTCAACTGTTAATTTGCAAACTGAAACCAGTGGGAACCAAACTCCACATTACAATGTTTCAGGGTAGGGTATACGAATGATAAGAATGATTTCAATAAAATTGATTAACATTAACATCAGGCCTCTCCATGAATATTTTAGTGGGCTCGTGCTCAAACCCGTGCCCTGCCTTGCTAAGGCACGTATTTTTGTGATTGTGCGCCTTAAACAGAGAGCCCTGTAACATCAAACAGCTTTCTGCCTAAGGATATTAATTCTAGGGGAAAAAGTACTTTAAGGTTGGGGATAAACAGAGGGTTTTAAAAATGAGCCAACCTTCAAAATAAATGAAAAATTTTGAAGCTTTATTTACACTCACAGAAGGAAAACAGAAGGCCCCTTCTTCTTTTTTTGACATCAGAGTATACCTTCATTTAATTCAATTGAAAAATCACTGACTCTGCAACCTGACACTTGACACCCCTTAAAAAATTTTTCAATCACGGCCCCTGGCTGGTCTCCAGCCTAAGGACCATAATTTTATTGGAATTGTCCACCACTGTCAAGTTAATTACATTAGATAATGCTGCATCATTAATAGCTCATTTATTGCAGGCATATCATGCACAACTTCAGCTTCTAACTTACTTTAGTTTAATTTCAACCAGCCAAATACTGGATAAGTCGAAATTAAGATGGCAGTAAGTTTAGAAATAAAGCTAACTATAGTAAAATCAATTGAATCATACTTGTTTGTTTATTTAAACAGCTTTTTATTCCACATTAAGTCTGCAAGGAACAAGACGTTATTGGTAGTGGAAACAACTGACATAAGTTCTTGTTTGAATTTCAGTCAAAATTATTTTGCAATAAACAAGTGTAATGTCCTGCAGTTCAGCAGTTTGTAGGTCCTTTCCTTGCAAATTCAGCAAAGGATGTGACCTATTATTTCATGCAAAATCAAGTATCTCCAGTTCACTTTTTGCTCATTCTTCTGTTCTCATCAAATCTTACACATTTCCTATGTCTATATCCAAATTTCCCGTGACTTTTCCTATAAATTCACAAAAGATGTATAGAAAATGAAACATAACGCTATTACTATCATTTGTATTCAAATTTCTAGAATCCCGCCAAAATAGCCAGTTTATTCGAACAATGTCAAAAATTCGCCTAAAATGGCTCACTTCCTATGCAAATCAGTTGAACAATTTGGATAATAACTTACCCAGACAGCCTTGTAATAGTGTTGACGGAACAACCAGCCAACTCGGGCAGGGCTCAGTGTGGACAAGACCCTATCACAACATTTTGCAACAACTACCAGTGGCCATTATGCATTCCATGAGTCAAAATGAGATATTCTTGAAACGAGGCTCTCAGATTTCCTTCAGGAAGACTCATTCCCTCCAACTCAACTTCAACTTCAACTTCAACATTTCGTTATCAGTATATTTTAAATAATTAAAAGTGATACGGTAGTGCTAACATAAACGATTAGAAGATTTAAAAAGCATAATTTACATGAAATTGTCAGCAAGGAAAAATTAAACACTCAAGGACACGTAGAAATAACTCTGAGGAGCTTTCGAGCTACGCGCGATTTTGTATTTCTACAGGTTACATTGTATATATTTAAAGAAACAGATTCAAGGAAAAACATGTATGTGAAGTTGTATCATTAACAAAAACAGCAAGAATATATAATAAAGTTAACAACTTAAAGAAAGTAAAAAATAAAAATTGATATAAAGAGAAAAGAAAGTGGTGGCAACACTGTGTGGTGGGAAAAATCGCCCCGTCCTTTTTATTTTTTGATACTTCTGAAGACTCCCGCTCCTTATTTCAACCAATAGCCATTCAGCCCAGTAAACAGTTTGTGCTCCTTCTGGTAACTACATCCTGCAAACTTCTGTCCTGTGCCTGGAAGATGTAATCCAACGAGGGAGCATCCACCAGATGTGCCCGAAATACTTCATTTGGGACCACAGAATTTGACTCAACAAGCATGGACGAAAACGTTTGCCTAAAACGTTGAAATTTAAAATGTCCTTGTAAACACTATCAATAATACTTTCTTTCGCTCCAGCTAAGGTCGACCCTCCGTTTATGAAAACTCTCAGGTTTATTTAATTTTGGATTTTGCCACGGTCCCCTGTTTATTTGAACAACATATTCCACTTTTTCCCGACCTCAGAGTAGCAATAATGTCCCCTAATTTTTTTTATTAGGAAACGGCTTTGAAAAAAGCACATATTTCACAACATACTACTAATTTGGGCGCACAACCCAAATATTGGGGGATAGGATAAAGCAACATGTTCCTTCCAACATATGAAACAAAACTGACCCTCAAAGAGAACAGCCTGTTCGATCTTGTAGGTCTAAAAACACAGCAACAACTCGTGACTCTGCCATTGGACAACACCTTTAAGACAACCCAGATTGTGCAAAACTCTATAATGACGACATGTTTCAGATAATTGGCAGAGCCCAGTCGTCTTTTCATCTAGTAGTTTTGGAATCGATCTACATACAAAAAAGCCGCCATTGTAGCGTTTTCTCTCTTGAACTCCAGTGGCTATTTTTCTATAGGCACGCGGCACTGATTGGTCAACTATACCGGTCTTGTGCTTGCATTTTTCTGATTGGCCTATTTCGATCCACAACTGGGTATGCATTTCCCATTGTGTTCTTTTGGACCCTTATTCTGACGTTTAACGAAAAACCTTTTAGTATTATGTTGCGAACTGTTTGTTTTTCAAAGCCATTTTCAAGTTCTGCACCGCCAAAAAATTATTAGGAAACGTTATTCTTATATGTTTATACACTCAAAACAGCATTTGTTAGTGAAAGTGTGAAAGAATAACTTTGCATTATCAAAATGAATTGTGACTATCACAAGAGTTAGAAAAATTAAATTCCAGAAAACAATTTGTGAAATATTATCTTATAAAGCTTTAAAAAAGCTAAAATCAATTGAAATTGAGAACACAGTCAATTCGAACAATTAAGGTACGATTCAAAGAACATTTTGCTCCTACTTTTCAATAGAAAACAATTACTTTGTTACTACCTGCCTCCCGAAGGTCGTTTTCGGACACCGGGAGGCTATGTTTATCGAGCAGTGTCACATGAAATTGCAGTGGGCTGGGGACTCCCCTCACTCTGGGCTGGGCGAAAGTTTGTTAATGTCAGGAGCTAGAACCCAGACCCTTGGATCTGTAGTCCGCGACCCTAACCACTGAGCCATCCTTGTGCCTAATGTTCTCTTGGCTCAAGAGCCTGTTGATATGGAGAAAATCATCCCACCTTTCAGCCTGTGAACCCTCCTATAGAATCCTTTGTATTTTTAGTCTTGCACTTATATGGCAAACGAGTCAGCCCGGTTAGGTGAGATCCAACTATGTGGGAGGTGGGTTCACACTTGAGTGGGATGAATTTCTTCCATATAAAGGCTGGAAGGTGGAATGAAGCTGGAAGGTGGGATGAATTTTTCATATACACGCCATCATAATTTCGTCCCACTTGTCAGCACATAGACTGGTAGGTCGGGTGATTCTCTCAATATACAGCAGGAAGGTGGGATAGAATCTGCATGTAAACATTCGATGGGTTGGGTAAATTTGCTCATATCAACAGGCTAGAAATGAAAAACTTCTGCAGGTTTAGAACAGCGCAAAAACTAAAGCAAAGTTAACACAAAGCAGAGTTAACACATGCAGCTTAACATGCAACAACTATTTGACCATAGGAATGTATATCAAACTGCATTGCAGTCCCTTTTAACGGTTTACAGACAATAATCAAGAGATGGGCCTAGCCGATGTTTCGAATAAAGAAAGGCCGATATGCTCCCCCTGCACTACCGAAGCAAATCAGAAACGGCAGAACTGAATATAAAAAGCACTGATAAGCTTAAATTTTCTGTTCATCTTCTGGCAAATTTAGGAAATATGAAGTGTTGAATTGGAATGGGCGTAGTTTTGATAGATGCTGGCATATCACAAATCAAAATGTTAATATTTTGGCTACTTTAAGTACCAAATCTGATAATTACAAGGCGTCCTGCAGGGTGGGCAAAATGTCTATTTGTCTTCCGCCAGCCTCGATTGTGCATGCAACCTCAAATTGCAAAAACAACCGTCCTCATCAACTCTGCTCTTCTTTCTTCCATACAGGGCATGACACTGTATCTCGGTTTCTCCGAACCGTGATATATTCTAATGGGTTGTCCTTGGCCTTATAATGTACCAACAGTTCTTCAATTGCTTTCTCTTCGATCTGTGCAAATCAGAAATTAGATTAGCTGATGACATTTGATAAAAAAAGCGATATTGAACTGCGAGAGCATGTTTTTGCAAGTTGAAATGCGATGATTATGGCGAAGCATTCCTTGGGGCTTACCTGAATAAGCTGCAGTGGCTTCTTTAGCATTCTGAAAAATCAATCAACAAGCGGTCACAAATGCAAGTACCTAATTGAAGTTACAGAGCACAAGCAGCTTACTTCTCATCAACAGGTGGCACTTGATAAAAAAATAGAAGAGGTTCAAAAAGCGTTCCCTAAAGGAACATTCATTAAGTCATTGAAGAGCTGTTATTTTTTTTCAAAGCGGAAAGACAGAAGTTTTAAGAACTAATGAAGGCAGGATTTTTACCTGGTGGATGAATCTCTTTCGACAATTTGAGACTTCATAATTGCTGACAAACTCATAGCAGAGGAAGGAGGACTGGTGGCTAATGACGTCATGTTCCAGGCACTGAAAAAGACGAAGATTTCTTATATGTTCATAAGACAAAAGACAGTTTCACACAGACAAAAGGCATAAGAAATTTTTAGGGATAAGCCGATATTCTTGTGGATTTACAAAACACAATTATTTGAGTAGGTGCAAACTTTTAGAATAGTTTCCATTAAAATTGAACAGCAAATATCTAAATTAAGTTTATTAATTGAGTTCATATCACGTCCAACTTCAAATACCTCTCTGTTGAAGGGCGTTTTCCAAATTCATGGTTTTCGTCACTGCCTTTCTTCCAACTACGGTAAGACAAAATAACTGTTTAGCTCAGGGATGTCCAAAGTTTTCTCAGCGAGGGCCAAATGCAGAATAATCAACAAAGGGTCGGGCAACACACTACTGGCAACATACTGATACGAAAATACCATGTGTATATTTCTAAACGCAGAATAAATTGTTCCTAAAATTTGAAGGAAATTTATTTTCATTGTTTGAAGAATTGCTCTGTTTTGTGCTGAAAGATGGCTGATAGGTCAGCAGAAGTTGGGTGGTTGAGATACGAAGGACTTCACAGTTATGGCTATTTAGCAGAAAAGACTCATCATTCTATATGCATGGCGTCTCGTGAGAGGAAACTTGTCATTATTCAAACTCTGATAGAAGTTAGGAGTGATGAGAAGCTGATTTTGACTCGTCAGAGAATCTTGCACTGCATTTCAATGAACCCCAACTGTAGATCCTCTTCCACTTCTTCTATATCCACCAGAAAGGAGGTCGACCACGGCTTAATCTCTTTCTCAATGACAGCAAAATCTTGAAAACCCTCGTTAAATTCAAAAAATGCAATGACAGAAACATATTTCTCTCTCTTAGCAGAAAGGTCAACCGTTGGAAAAGCAGACTTGATTTCAGACAGGAAAGGAAAGCGAGGACAGTTTGTTTCCACTGAGGACAGCTATTTGAAAACATCCATATACAATCTTTAAAGATTATAAATGGCAGAAGAAGTAGTGTAAAACTACCAACAATAAATAACATCAGAAATAGGGCGTGTGTTATTGAGGTCTTTAAATGCTTGGCACCGCCATACTTCATGACGTACTTTCAGAAAATTAAGCATTGCAAAGCAAATCGTGAAAGCGAACACAATTCATTGCTTCCAAAAGTGAAATCTGAAGCAGGGCGGAAAACGTTTGCCTTCAGTGCAAAAATATCCATTGAAATCCCAAAGGAACACATAACATAAGTTCTAAAGTTCATAAGTTTCTGCAAGGATTTTGACTTTTAAAATTTTTCTTTAGACTTAATCATTGCTTGCTTCTTTTGTAAAACGTATTGTAAACATATTTGTAAAACATATTTAGACTATTGTAAAACATTCTATTTTAGAATTATTCAAAATTATTATTGTAAAATATTATAGGAACACTAGCTTAACAGGTTTTTGATTGATAAGCAAATTATCTTGCTGGACAAGTTCACCTTTATAAATATGGCTTATAAATATATTATTATTATTATTATTATTATATCTTCTGTTGTCGAAACAAACCATGGCTAAGCCCCGAACTAATTGACTTTTAAATATTGTAATGCAGATAAGCCAATTATATGATGCCTGTAAAAGCGAGTCGTATAATTGTAAATTTAAAATGTATTCATGAAAATGAGATGTTTAAAAAAAAATTATTATTATTATTATTAAGTGTGTAGTTGTAAGTTTTGTAGTTGTGTCTAAAACATGCGGAGCTTTATACAGAAGGCATACAGGTGTGGCACCAGCAGTTCTTTGCATTTTGGCCTCTTGTTAAGGGTATTCAGGTGATCCAGTTATGTGCGGGCCACATAAGTATTTCAAGAACTTATTGCGGGCCAATAAAAACTGGATTGCGGGCCGCAGTTGGCCCGCGGGCCGTAGTTTGGACACCCCTGGTTTAGGTCCACTGGGCAAGGTCTTTGGAATACTAACGTCGCATTTTCCCTTCGCATTTTCCCCCACACCATCAGAAGAAAAACAGTGCCTGTTTTTACCTTAGTTTTCGCCTGACTTCTTCGACGGGTTTCCTCTCTCCACCACTTTGCAAACTCTTTCGAGTTAATTCCATTTTTGACTCCTCGCTCATAACATCTTTGAAGCTTCTAACTTGGGACTGCTCAGGTTTCCCCCTAAAATATTGGGTTGAAAAATCAGCAGAAATTCATGAAAATCTTGATAAATTTTCTGTTAAAAGCATTTGGTGCAATGACAAAACAACAGAGGAATTGGAATGCCTGTATATCACTGAATATGATTTGAAAAAAGGATGCGATGACAAACCATGGACAAATAGGATCTTTCGTTTGGGTTGCTTCCTCCATTATTGGAGTGTTATCTGCGGTAGGGTTTAAATTGCCGTTGACTTTGGTGGCCTCTTTCCTCTGCCTCTGGGATTTCTTCTTAGACATTTCCCATTTGATTGGCAGACTGATACTGGCTTCCACAGGGCTACAAACAAAACCCGATAAAAGGTAAAATGTTGATAATCATTTTCATATATTGTTATCATTTCATTTTATTGGCCTTATAAAAAGAATTTACATGGTGCACAAAACTCGAAAGTAGCAACACATATCTGGCAATGGTGACAGCACAAAAAGGGTGGATATAAAAAGAAATTCCCTTTGTTGATTTTTGTTAAATAGGCTGTAAAACAATTTGTGAAAGAAATGATCAATTTTTTAAATAAACGATAAATTTGATGAATGCGTAATAAACAGTAGAATCGATAAAGGCCGAATAACAAATAATAAAAGGCCGTATGATAGATACATCAGTAGTATAAAACCTCCTATTTGTTTATCTCGATCTCTCGTTATCTCGAGAAATATTTGTGCCATTTCTTTCTTTGCAATGCCCTTTACCAATAGGTACACTTTTCAGAGCTGTGAGCGCTGGTAAATAAATGCAGTTTCTATTCGAGAGCGGCTTATATTCGAGGGGGCTGCTATTTGAACGCGGCTTCTATTCGAGGGGGCTGCTATTTGAACGCGGCTTCTATTCGAGGGGGCTGCTATTTGAACGCGGCTTCTATTCGAGAAAATACAGTATGCATACAAATAAAGGTTCTTACCTTCTTTCCAGTTTAGATGTCTGTTTCAAAGCACGTTGATTCTGTAAAAAAAACACGGGTTATATGATGATCTTATATGAGCCACTAAAACAGTTTCAGAAAAAATTGAAAATTAATTCTAGTTGGTTTCTTATTTGCTGTCTATCTATATATTGTCAATAAATTATAAGCTTTTCAGTCTTTTAAGAAAAAAGGAACAGAGAATGAGCGAGCGAATTAAATTGTGAAAGCTATAATGCATGCTGAAACATGCTTACAAGTTTGTTTAGTGAATTCTTCTCTTCCTCTTCCATTATTTCTTTTAAAGATAGCATTCCACGTGTAGGTGACTTTGCAATCTGGGCAGGCTTTAAATTTTCAGCTTGTTGATCCTGCAAGAAAGTGAGACCATTTTCGATTTCCAGAAACGAAATCTACAAACCGAAAACTTAGTTACCTTGAACGTTTAAGTGAAAATTAAAACCACATTGCCACAAAGATAAAGCTGTATTATTCAACGTAGACAAAAAATTCAAGAGGACGTGCAATGCACACAACTAGATTCGAAAGCGTCACAAATCTACCACAGAAAGAATTCAATGACCTAATCTTTTTCCAAAGCTAGAAATTATTTTTCCACAGAATAATACATTTAATTATTCCTTAAATCATTGTAGCGCATCTCAGAGTTGTAGGAATAATTTCAAGAAACAAAGAATACCTCAAGAATGCGTTGTGTAACGTCATGCGTTTTGTCGGACCCCACCGTTCCATTTGCATACTTGTCTTTGATACTCGAAACTGGCAAATCCTTGGAAACATTCACCGTCTTTTCTGAATTGATGGGAACAGTACTGCCTTCGTTATGAACTGTTACCTCAGAAGACCGGTCTTCTTTCGTGGAGCTCGACTTACGTCTTCTTCGCCTTTTTTTCGCGGAATCGGCTTTGTCTCTTGGTGAAACCACGTCGTGCTTACTGTCTTCATGGAACGCATCAGTTTCCACTGGAAAAGCGGCTGCAGCTTCGTCTACTAAGTCTACTTCAACATGATCCATCAAGGGCGTTATTCTTCGGTAGGCCATGTTGGGAATCTGAAAATGGGTCGCATTTTTAACGAGCAATAATTTAAGTAACATAAGTAGGTCAAAAAGCGAGTACAACAAAACTTTCAAATTTAGATCTTGTTCTATTAATAAGGGCAGAGAATCAAATATTATTTTAAATAAAAATGCAATTTAGTGTAGAGAAGAGAAAAATTTTTATCGCAAGAGAATATCTCATTCTCGAGAGTAAACAGCCAAAAGACAACAAACTCACCAGTGATTTGTAAACATTAGACAAATCTGATAGCGCATCCACCGGCAATGTATCCAGATTCCTACAACAATTGGCAAAGAAACAATTTAATTATGATAGATTGACGTCATCTAATAGCAATAAAATATAAAATAGGGAGTAGCAAGAGAAACAAATGGTAAAAAGGAGAAAATACTCGGAGAAAAAAGGTAAAACGAGAAAGACAAGAGGAAAGGGCATGCCAAAAACAATGTTAATGGCATTAATTTGCATTACTCGAATGTTGATGGAAAAGCGATGGATTGGATGCCAAATGAAAAGAAACTGAAAAACGTCATCATCATGGTATGGAAGGGATTACCAAGAAAAGTAATTCACAAAACTGCAACAAATAAAGCACTTTTGTGTAAGTTGGCCGTGCTAAGGCAGTTGCCAGAAGGAAGATCACAAGTTGTGGTTGGATGGCCATACTGATATTTCAAATATACTTTGATTCAATCACCTTGTTTCCAAAAAATAGGTCAAGTTATTGCATATAAATTCACAGCAAACTGTCTGCAGTTGTTTTGCGTTGTATGTAGAGGCAAATTCCAGTATTTCTATACAGTTCTTTAGCGAAACTGCAAAAATAGGTAACAACATCAACAACACATTAAACTAACTTACGCTAAAGCAGAGACGAAACGAGTCGCTCTCTGTTAAGTATCAATCGACACAAATGGCTGTGATTAAAGAGCCAGACAATCAGATGCATAAAAACTATTCATGAAAAGAACAGAGCACCTTTCCAAGAAAAGCCTGACAGTCAACATTAGCTAACTGTAAGATTTTTAGCTAACTCTACATGGCATGAAATCTTCCTTGAGAACAACACAACTGAAAACGTACGGTTAAAAAGAAAATAGCCTTACTTTGTTTGGCAAGGGAAAATTCGCATATCTCCTTTAATCGGACAGCAAGTAGCTGCAAAATGGAAAGGAAAATAACCAGTTACATCACTTAAAGCTAATCGACATTATTCACTTGATTAGTCCTTGCTCAGAGAAAGCTCTATTCAGTAATCAAGAAATGCATAATTAGACGAAATTAATGTAACGATTTGGTGTATAGAACAGGGCGGTTTTTAGGTGTAAGATTAGTGCAAAATACATAATTACACAAGGCTGAAGTTAATGGAAAGAATAAGAAGAGCAACGAATGACAGAAGATGGTGGCGGGAGCTTGTACAAAATTGGGCTCACGGCAACGGCAAAGATGATGATAATGATAGTTAATCCTTTTTATAATCGTAATGTAGGCATTCCAAGAAAAAAGCTTAGCCTGTGCATCTTTTGAATGAGAAATTTTTCTAATTTTTTTATTCCTATTAATATCTTCATAATTTAGAAACTCTCAGGCAAAGGGAGATTTGTAGTTTTTGCAAATTTTTGCAGAATAATTAGACATCGAGCCATGGTGTTAATTTTTCAAGTGTGGTTTGCAAATTTCTAAGACTACCAAAGTTCCACCAATTTTCTAATCGTCAAGGCGAGTGTGTTGCGAAAAATCAAAGGTTGAAAAGGAAAGAAGATTGACTCAAACCTGATCGGCGTAGACAATTATTTGGCAAAGCAAATCAATGTTTGTGCAGTCTAAATGAAGAGATACGATAACAGGATTAACAACTTTAGAAAAGAATTAATGGATTGAAAGCAAATTTACTACTATAAAGCTAGAGGACATAGAAAGTTCACCAAATAAATATAACAAAATTCAAATAAAATTCAAATAAAAAGGACACCAAATAAAATTCAAGACATAGAAACTGAAGCACTTCTTTTGTAGATTCAATAGACATACATCACAAATGGAACAAGAAAACTGGCGTCAAAATGGAACTAACCTTTAAGGCAAAACTTACCTTTAAGGTTATTCGCTTCGCCAATATATACGAAGTCTAAGATAATTTTTAAAATATTCTCCGGTATTGGCATCTTAATAGTACTGTGAGCCCAGTTCGACTCCATCCACGGGTTTCCCAGCATGCCTTGAAAGTAATCTAAAAAAAGGGAACCATTGTGTCACATATTTAAATATCAAATGAAAGACATTAAAAGCAATCATAAGCAATGGCTGTTCACCTTTAACCTTTACAATGTTCACAATAGATGGTCGGGCGGACGTCAAGCTGTCGAGGAGGGGGCTTGCTTTGTTGTACTTTGAACTCAAAGACAGTAGACGAAACCATTTTCCTTTTATAGTTATTCAAACACCCGGTTATACTCTAAGAAAAATGGCTGCTGATCGGTGCGAATAACAAGTTCAGTTAACGTTTCATGAAATTTTTGAGTATGAACGTGCATTTTTAGATATTTCTCAAAATGTTCCCCCACATCAGAGGGCAACAAGACTTACCTAGTCTTGAAACTAAGATGCATTTATGACAATGGAAGATTGAGCCATTTTCAGCCTCTATCTTTATATCGGAAATGCTGCCCATTTGCTGCCAATTAGCAAACCCTCGATTGATTTGGCCGACAGCTTTGCTGCATGGAAAAGCAGTTAAACATCTTCAAAAACTATACAGGTCAGAGTTTTCATAACGTGTATCTTACGATTTTTGCCACGGCTTTTTTGCACACCACTCATATCATATTTTCCAGGTATCAACAAAAATATTTTAAGCAGCAAGAGGGCTAAAGGTGTGTTGGACTGAACATAGGCAAGCCGGAACCTACAAATTTGTACCAACGAGAACATAACAGTGTTTGAAACGATTCGATACAGTTGAAATTACTTGTGTTTAATGCGTAATGATAATGGTTGGAAGACGAGAGCCTCGTGTTGTTGCTGTCGCACGGTGTAGCATGACGCTCTCTGCGATTTCGATTCTGTGATTTTTGGCTTGCCGGGTAAAACAATGATGGCTGAAAATAGAGCTCTAAATGAAGGGGAGGGATACCTTCGATTGTCCTGATGGTTGACGGCTAGAAAGAGCAACTGACAATGGCGTCGTTTATTACTTATTGCAACAAGCAATTACAACTATTTTAGAAGACAAAGCAAGTTTTGTTTACCTACGCTTATCCTTTTCTTCGTGCTTATTTTCTTTACCCTTTTTCTTCTTCTGTTTTCTTGGAGCAGGCAGCTCCTGAACAAGTTCACCGTTTTCACCACAAACAATGCGTGATCCTTCGAAATCCGGGTTTTCCAGGTCTTGCAGACAGAATCTTTGCATGGATTGAACAACCATTTTATCAGCTTGATCATAAAAACAGCCATTGATTGAACTATCTTTCTTGTCACCAGGCATATCTCTTGCCTTTTGCAGAATCTTTCCATAATCATCAGGTTCAAGCACGGTAGATTTCGTATTCCTATAGACATCAATCAGCCAGGATTTCACGGTTTCCATATCAATTTTCGTTAAATCCAGCACATACTTGCCAATATTGCCATCAAAATTTAAGCGAGATTCGAAGTCACTTTCTTTGATTTTTGAGGCAATTATGAATCTGTGTGCAGGTAGCATGCCGTCACTTGCCTTCAAAAAAGTGAATACTAAATGTTATGGTCAATGTGAAAGATACAGTTCCATAGAGAGCATTAAATCATTCTTAATTTCCTTTCTATCAAAGTTTCGAGGGTTTACAGAAAAGGTATTAAATCAAGGAATTCAAGAAGGACCTATGTTAACTGGTTGTTCAGGGTAATGCTTTTAGCCAATAAAAGTGGGTATTCCGTTGTACTCGTTGTATAAAAAATGATCAACAATCGAGAACAATCAAGACCATATACACTTTTATTTGCATCGAGGTAACTAGGCCTTGCTGAAGCCTAACCTGATTCCAATGCACTTTGCTTTCAATGCTTGGAGGTTCGAGCAGTGGGTTTGAGACGGTACGTGTCTGCTCACTGTGGCGAGAGGCAATGTTGTCAAATACGTCACAGGAGCTAGGATGTACAATGTTTTGGCATTTTCCAGCCCTGTTGCTCAATTTCAATGCCAACAGACAACTTTGAAAGGGACAAGCAGTAGTACGATATCCAATAAATAAATGCTGTCTATCAAAGTCTTTAGGTGCTTGTCTAAATAGCCGTTTACTGCCTTGCAAGTTTTATTCTCTTCATTTGAGACATTGACTGACCGTTTGTCTGCAACTCAACATGACTATTCTCAACAAGAGTGCATGCCAGCCAACCATTTAGCAGGTGGCCCACATTAACGTTTCGTATTATCTTTACATTTTTGCTCGTCGAAAAGCAAAATCACTAATAAAAGAGGTCCTTATTCGAGCACGAAAAGCTTTTCAAACATTTAGCGACACTATGAACTTTGCTACGAATTCGCAACATGGCAAAACATGAAACATAGACTGGGAAGCGAAATACCTTGATCACAACATCGTGTATATTGTCAAACAACTCTGCCTCGCCTAACATTCTCTCTAGATCGTCTTCTAATGTTCCAGAACGTAAACTCACGACTGAGTTAAGGCCAATTCCTGGATCATTTTGAATGACAGCAAACGTTCGACTCTTCACATCACACGCTACACGGTAGGCCCTATACAGAAGAGGCACTCTTTCTATCATAACTTCTTCATTGTCTTCGCTTCTTCTCTTCACTTTCTCAACTAGTTCTTGTATGCTCAAGGAACATTTCATTGGGCTTTTACTTAAGCCACTCTTCCCTCCTTCAGGGCTCAGTTTTGCAGTTAAATTATTTGAGATATTGCGAAAGTGACCATGAAATACAATTCCCGAGTCAGTTGCAATGACTAGATGCTTTCCTAAACAAACATCAACGATCTGCCACTCGTCTCTTTTCTTACCAGCCCACCAACACTCTTTGAAGTTCGTATACCCTGGTCTCCAGCAGGAGACAATGCCGTGAGTGGTAAGTGCTGCCACGCAGAGACTATCAGGCTGGTTATGCTGCAAATCGGCTAGGGCTTTTGACTTTAATTCACCGCCCACCATAACAAGCCGCTTGATATTTGCCATCCGAGTAGCGATGCGACGACATTCGTAATCCTGCAGCACAAAGACATCGCCATTGCTTAAAAGGCAGCAGGTCGCCCCATCTGAGACTGTGACCAGTTCAATCTGGTAGTCTTTTTTGCAAAGTCGAGTGACAAGTCGAGGGGTCGACTGCCATTCATCGCCCTTGAGGTGCCCTGCAGTGAAGGAATAGAAACATAAGAAGGCTTTGGTAGTTTGCTAAGTGGTTCAAAGGTGGTAGCCTCAATCACGGACCAAGAATGAAAAGGTTGGAGGGGAGAAATCAACGGTAAGTCTGATTACCTAACTGTCCAGCATTCAACCCAAATGTGAATAATTCGTCTTTCGTATGAATTGCACTATGAAATCTTGCAGCGGCTACTCCAGTCATGATCTTTCCTTTCAGAATTTTGTTGCTTATCTTGAAAAATAGGAGATGAAAAATAACTCACGACTACCAACATACTTGAACACTTTGCATTGAAACCATTAGTAGATCAAGGCAACAAAAACGTGCAGTTGAGCATTAAGGAATACAACATACCTGTTTGGGCGTCAAATATTGCTGCGAGACCGGATAATGACCGAGTTGGTGATATGCGTTTAGCCCAAAGCTGTAAACCTGTCCCATTTGATCAAGTACAAGAGAATGGTCATTTGCATTCGACACAGCCGTACAAAACATTCCGTTGAGCCCTGCAATCTTCTGGGGAGAAAGAACGGTTTGCTCATTGCCATGTCCAAGGCGGCCACCACGCCCCTGTCCACAAGAAAGAACAGTGCCATCTTCGGTTAGAAAAATTGTGTGGTACTTGCTGACAGCAACCTAAAAAAACAAACTTTTTGAATCAAATTAATATCTGCAACGAATTAAAAAAAAGACTACTCTCGTATATGTCTGAGTCTTTTACATATTGAGAACTTGATTTTCATATGGTGTCGAAGCGCCAGGTCCCTGGCTGAACTGACACTCCAATATTCAGGAACTCTCTCATTCTAAGGGGCAATGGGTTCGGCAATCATTTCTGGAGATTAGGTACACCTGACAAAAATCGCAGTAACGCTATAGAGTTTTCAAGATTTACCAAGAAATTATCAATTTGAAGATTTAAAGTCCACAAGGACAACAAGCTAAGTATTAACTTTGATTACGCTTCAGTGGCATTTAAAGTTGTTTCGTCATTCGTATGTTGATGCTTAGAAATGTTTCTTCATTCAAGATAATGGTAAAACCAAGAATGCTAAAAATCACCTCTTTAACACTATATCTTTGGCTGTGTAGACCTTTAACAAGCTCAGGAACGTCTCGGTTTCTTGTATCTCCCAGACCCAGAGTGAGGTTCGAGTTGTTTCCCCACGAATACACGTCAGACTTATGACCTAAAATGAACAGTAAAATGGCCTTCAACACCCATAAACTTTCAATTAAAAAGAGTATTTGTCAAAGACAGATAATGGAGCATTTTCAGTGAGCTGTATTACTAGCCCAAGGGTACTGAGTAGCTACAAGTTTACATCATTGCTACATATTTAATCATACAATGTGATTCCTGTTCCTAGAAGTACGAAGCTGACAGTTTTCAATCAGTGATGTTTTTGCTTATTACAATCAGGGATACAGACTACAGTTGCTTCGATGCAAAATGGTGCCTTTACTTCTAATATACCCTACCACACAGCCACTTAGAGGGTGAGGAAAACGTAAGTATAATTCACAAAGTTTAACCGCTTTTTCAATAGTACTACCATGTAAAGCCATTCAACTAGGACTGACATAACACATTTTGATACTGTGTTCATACCAACATATTCAGTTCCTTGTATATCTCATCAGATTTGATGAAAAAACAATATTTTTTTAGAAAGGCAGATAAAATAAACAGTAGTGACTGAAAGCAAACCTTTATCTGTGAATGCATCATCAGAAAATTCACTTGATTTTTCACCAAGAATGGCAACAAAATTCAACGGGAATTTTCCTTTCTCTTTCGTTCCAGTTTTTCTTCCAAACCCCCATCCTGTTGACTTGTACTCTTTTATAATATCCACCAGCTCGTCGATCTCCAGTGACAACTCACCTGGTTCTGATGCGTGGTATGGTAATATGACTCTGCACAACTTCAAATGATCATCTAGCATAAGATGATAATATTTAACAACTGGTAATGGAAAAATCACATTGAAGCTATAATGAAAAATTAATGGACTAATGTGCTGGTGAATTTTAATCATGAAATTTCATAAAGAGATACCTTACCTTTGAACGCTTTTGTTCTCTGGGAGTCAAGAAGTACAATCTTTAAAGGGCTAACTCCATCTTTATCTTGAATCGAGAAATCCAAGCCTTTCTTAAAAAAAAGTTTAAGAAATGAAAATTTTACTTGAATTTGGCTTCTATCAAAATGAAAGATCCAAAATTTTGTTTCTGAACTTCAATATGATTTGAGCTTTTCACATAAAAAATAAAAATAGCTGTGCATTACTTTATCAAAATTAAATCCAGATGATATTGGCATAATTTGCAATGTTTTCATGCAATAGAAGAAAAATTTTAAGATCAATGAATCTGTTATCATAGCTCGTAAAGTATACCTTTAATACGAGAATTGCACATTGAATATTTCCATAATACAGACTTCTATGAAGGGCATTCCATCCTGACTCAAAGTCTCTAGCTTGAATATCAACAGCACACTCATTTATTAGCCATTCTGCTATATCATACTTTCCACAGGAAACTGCAATATGCAATGAATTTCTAAAAACAAAAAACATTTAACACAAAAATTGAATAGGGATGCCATTAAGGTTTGATCTTAAATGCCAGAAGGAACAGAAGCTTGGTGAGACTGTATGCTGGCCTTCTATAGTCTTGCTGTCTCGCCATTAATTTTTCTATTGAGCATTAGGGAGAAACAATACAATAAGATAATATATATCAATATTGGCAATGTTTATTTGTTATGTTTATTATGTCTATAAAAACATATGATCCTGTCATAAGGTACTTTACTTTAAGATAATATTAAATGAAAAGATATTTAATGCACTCCAAGAAAGATTAATTGCCCAAAAAAAATGTGTTTCGATTTCAAATTTCATGTACATCACAAAGGTCATATAGACGTTATTGCCAGGTGATCAGAAAATGTTGTTCCAAAACTTTTAAAAAAATGCTAGAACGGCCCAGAAGATGTTCCAATTGCTACTGTAGTTCAAATACTAAGTGCCTATAGTAATCCTAAAAATTTGAGGTGGAATTGAGTTTCAAATGCATTCTTCTGTTAAGATTCAGTTACTTATGTTTCCTGCGTTTTGATATACCACCTTTGTATTGTCTGTCATTTGGTTGGGTCACAAAGATGACTAGAAATGTGTTAATTCGTGAAGCATTTATTCCTTGCAATTTACTTTTTTGCATGAGCGATCAACTGCTCTCATGGTTGACTTTGCGTGGGTGCTAAGGCAATCACGAGTCATTGCTTGCCTTAAACAAAAAGGCCACAGCAATCAATACAGATTTATATAGTAACTAAAAGAGCAACCTTTAAAAATGAAGTGAAGTTGACAGGCCATACCAGGAATGAATTTGCAGGAATGAAGTGAATAGCATTCTTTGTCACATCAAGGGGTGCAATAAGGTGCAATGGGGTGCTATGTCCATAAAATTTTTATCAGAAAGCATATAAGACGACACAAAAACGAAGGCTTCTGAATTGCTATCAAAAGTAGATATCTACAAAAGTAAGACGAAAACAACGAAAACAGCAACAGAAACAGTGTGAACAGTCAAAACCACAAAACAGGAATTTTTTACTTTGTGCACAAAAAGGGGAGTTTTTGAAAACGCTCCAAAACAAATTTACAAAATGGTAGCAGTGGAAATGGTCAAAACCAGAAAAATAGGTATCTATATTTACTCTGTTTGTTGTGAGCAGTGTGGCTGGGAGTGCAAAACATTTGCTATTAGAAAAAAGCTAGGTCATGCCTTTTTGTCAGAAAGGCTGAATTCGATATCAAAATTAAAACACAGTATAGCAGTCTGGTACACTAAAGCATTTTCATGTAAACAGAGCACCAAATCCAAGATGAAATGAACATGAAAACATGTTAACTGGCAAAAATTCTGTGTCAGGTTGGGAAACTAAATACGACAAGAAATGAAAACGTTATTATTGTTTAAATAGGGCCTCAGGATGTTTCCTGTAAAGGTGGTTACACATAGCCTTTATAAGGCATGTGATAGACTGCACTTATTGGGAAAACCAGGAGGGTTCCAAGGTGTGAGATCACACGCCTCAATGAGGATGGCCTGAGTTGACTTTTATTTCAACCTGGTATACAGGGCTTCATCAAAGTAAAATGAACAAAATTTTCTTCAGATGTCAACTGTTAAACTATTCTCTGGGCAGGTAATTTTTTATGGATTCACTGAGGCAAAGTCCCTAGGCTCTCTGCCATACCATACACCTCTATGATATCATGAATAAATCAATTAATGTTTTGCATCTTGGTATACATAACATACAAGATCTAACAGCAAAAAGGTCATGACTGCAAACATGGAACATGGATATCCAGTTATAGAAAATATGGGTTTACAATATGGATAATCTTCAATCCCCGCATTAAAAGAAACGTAAGACCTTTCTCAAAAATGGACTTGAGATTTGAAATCTTCATCTTAAAAATTAGTTTATACTAATACATCATGTCATTTGGGTAGTTTAGCCACAAGCTACTTTGTTTTGAATATTTAAATATTTCTTTAGATTTGACCAGAATTTGCTGATAAATGAACGTTTGAGAGTAAAGGAAAATCAATGGATTTTCCAGAAGGTAGGACCAGATTGCAGAGTACAGCAGTTTCCAACAAGATCTCAGGTGTGCAAAAGCAAAATTTCAAGTGTGCAAGTGTGCACTTTGGTATAGGTATAAGTGTGCACTTCAAATATGTATATAGTGGGCACAGCATCGAGGCAGACAAGAAAATGAGCATATTTGATAGTTGCTTCGTATCTATCAAACCAGTGAAAGATTATGTCCATGAGGAAACATAATTCTTCATTTGCCCTATTAAGCAATAGGAAATACCAATGTCACGCCCAGAACTCAAAATGCCACACCCTTTACCAAGTGTGCAAGGACATTTTATAAAAATATCTCGGGTGTGCACTTGCCATACTCTGCAGCCTGGGACCAGGTAGGACTACAAAGTTTTAAGACTGAGAATAACAAATTAAAAGGAAAAATACCTTCCAAAACGATCAAATATACTTCCAGGGTTTCCGAGTTTTTGTTTGAATAACCTCTTCAAGGATGTCAAATCTTCTTTCGTCACACATGATAAAATGTAATCTGCATCGTCATTATGCCACCTCCTCCAAGAGGACTGAGTATCTCCATGTCCCGCCATTTTTCCTTGTCACATTGTCACGTCCTTTTTTATGCACGGTTTACAGCATCATCGAAATCAAAAGATCTTCATATTTTGGTGCATGAACCTTTTTGCTATTAGGGTTAATAATCACTGTATTTGGAGTATAAATTGATTTGAAAAACACTTTTAATGCGCTGGCCATGTTTACCACGTCGATTAGGCCAACCTCAAAGCGAGGTCCTACCTGGATCGAGACTCTTCGTCCAGGGTACCTTCATCGGCCATCATTAATGAACGCAAATGTGAAATTTTTATACCTGTTTATTGCTAGGCAGACTGAAATATTTGCCAGTCTTTTGGAAGAGGAAAAGCTCTAGAAATAAAAGGCGGGAAGACGTCGCCGAGGAAAGGATACCCAGGGATGCAATGAAACAAAACAACGTTTTTTCTGCTGACTGCCAGCATTTAATAAATGATGTACGAAAAATAATGAAATCAATCTACTTGCAAAAGCACTCATCATTCAAGTAGGCTGCAGGTCAATTTGCATCCAATGAAGATGATTTTCTTCAGTTTACTTGAAGTAACAACAGATTATTTAGGCTGCTGTATTAGACCGTTGTCAATAGAAATCTGTAGTGATTCAATTTAGGCCATTTTATACAATCCATCATTGCTTCTTCTGCATACCTACGTAATTCTATATCCATTATTCTCTATGTTAATTACACGTCATTTTAACCTAATCCATCACACCATTGCTAACCATCGAGCATATCCTTTCCTTTGTATAACTCTTAATTAAGTTTGCCAGTTTTCTATATCAATACGCACTTTTGTAAATTATAGTCAGTCAGTAGAAATCACGTTACACACTGCACAAACAGTTTGCATCTCTCTGGCTCCGTGTCCTCTGCACGTAAAATAAGATCGCACTGGTTGAAAGAGCACGTTTGTCGTTTAATGGACAATTTAGTCAATCATCGATCGATGTTCCGATGAACACTAAATTGGTGACCACGACGTGACCGCGGCTGCATCGACACGCACATTCTACGACGCTGTTTTCAACGCACCACAATGCACATGCACCATCATCAAGCAGCACTCGAATCACCTTAGTGCCAACTCGCAACAAGCGAACACAGCAGCGCTCGACTCACCGTAGTGTAACGCTACACCATTCGCATCAAGGCAGCAAACAGCATCGGACATTGTCTCACACGCCTCACACAGCTACAGCAGGCAGCAACATGGCATTCGTTCTTTGCTCACACACACGCCTCCAATCCATCGCAGGCTGGTCAACCCACGCCAAGAAAAAAAAAAAAAAACTTCGGCACCGCAAGCACCACTCTCCGCGCACATTCTGCAAGATGTCAATTCACACCACAAGAGCTGGCAAGTAACACGCACAACCAAAAATGAACATTTAATTTCGAACTCTTAAACTTAATTCGTTCTTGTCATTGCATTTTTTTTCTCGCTTTTCTCCCTACGTATCGAATGCTTCACACTCGCTTGCATTCTAGGGAGGGGGCTATTGTAGTGATTCAATTTAGGCCATTTTATACAATCCATCATTGCTTCTTCTGCATACCTACGTAATTCTATATCCATTATTCTCTATGTTAATTACACGTCATTTTAACCTAATCCATCACACCATTGCTAACCATCGAGCATATCCTTTCCTTTGTATAACTCTTAATTAAGTTTGCCAGTTTTCTATATCAATACGCACTTTTGTAAATTATAGTCAGTCAGTAGAAATCACGTTACACACTGCACAAACAGTTTGCATCTCTCTGGCTCCGTGTCCTCTGCACGTAAAATAAGATCGCACTGGTTGAAAGAGCACGTTTGTCGTTTAATGGACATTTTAGTCAATCATCGATCGATGTTCCGATGAACACTAAAAATCCATTTAGAACTGAGGGAAATGCTCTTCATTAAAAGCTTACCCGCCCGCAGAAAACATTTCAAATGACATAGAAGTCATGGGAGATGTCTCTTCTGCCCCCAATAACTCTCCAAACAACTAGAAATTGTACATCTTTTGTCGTAGTTATTGCTATCCGTCATAATTGGGTCCTTTTCGCTGTTAGCTTCAGATGCATACCAGATGAATGTACTTCCTGCCTCAAGGCAGTGACGCGATTATGCTTGGCAAGTCATTCTTTACTGCAAATTCAATAACAGGCATCCAAATTAAAATAACTAAGCTCATGGATTTCACTTTTTTCATACCACATACCCAAGACATTATTAATGCCACTCAAAACCATAAATAAACTATAAGCGACAAGGAAAATAACAAACGATACAAATTCTACATTAGCCATGGTACGATAAACATCTCTAGACATCTGTAATGATCTGTATTTAGAACTGTTTTTACTGTATAAAGACAATATACATACTGAATATAACTATTAGTTCTATTAGCAATTCTTTGTGAATTCTTAAATGTTCGTGAACATTGATTTAAACGTCGCATGGTAAACGTGTGCTTGGTTGGAGTTATCATTCCAGCGTTAAGAGCCTCTCTCTTAATGTTCTGCCAGATGGCAGGTGCTATTCAAAACTAGTCTCTTCTCTGCTATTTGCTTCAAGCCCATATGGAAATATCAATCTAGTAAATGTCAATTATCGGCAAATGGGCAAGAAAATAACCGTGACATCTGGCTGAACTGACGCCCCTAAATCCACCATAAGACAGAGGGTACAGTGCTGCATCGATTATGTGAACCTCGATAAACCGAATCGCGACCAACCGAACCTTAATTAATCGTAAAAAATTTGGAATAAAAAAAGAAGCAATGAATATGTTGGACAAAAACTTGAAATGGGTTCAAAGTCAGCCAGGGATCACTGCTGCAAGCACGTCACTTGCTGCATTGTCGAAAGCTAAAAAATGAGACGCAAGCAAAATGGCAGGCGTACATTAGACCATTTTTCGTGAATTTGCTTTGTATTTCCATATGAGTTGATATGAACCACGTCAAACCTTGCCTGAGAATAATTGAATTGACCGGTTTTTCGGGTTATGGAATCGTTTCCCAAATCCGTTTTGACGAGGCGTTCAAAAAATCAATTACATACTGTACAATATACAAGATACTTCCTAGCTATTCTCTGGTTGGGTGGCATTATATATATGCATGAATAGTCTTAAACGTAATTAAAAGAAAATTTATTTACAAATATAGGAAAGGTATTACACTGTAATTATAATAACATTTTGGAAAAGATAACTGTCTACAAAAATCCTTTCTCCCTAAACTACGACAAAACCCCCGTGCTAGAAAATGTTTTTTCTTATGCAAGTAATAATCCTAAATACTTTGTGCTAACACCAAATATGTGTCTCAATATACTTATCAAACTATTTAACGTCACAGAGCAAAGCGACCCCTCTCAGCGTCCAGTGGTCAGGATGCTGCATCGTCTTCAGCTGTAAGCAAAATATGTAAGTCAGATCTGTTCTCCTTGGCTTTTTATACACTGGGCATTCGTATAACTTTGGGTCTTTGCCCACCACTGAATTTACAGCATACACGTGCACGACAGGAAGTGGCGTGAACAAAACCTTCGGCTGAGGCTCGACTAGTTTGCAATTTCTCCTGTCCCAGCCTGCACCGTCGAGAAATAGGCCATGGATATAAACACCTTCCTGTGGGGATGAGGTTACGTCTTCTTTCATGAATTTGGTCACATCATTGGCAAGCACAACGCTGTCCAAGGCCCAGCCCTTGTGGGCTCTCGTGATTTCTTGTCTCATTGCGGTCAGAAATCCCTTGAAAAGTGATAAAATACGATAAAATACACTATTATATTTATAAACTATCATGATATTCATAAACCGTTCTAATGCTTATTTCATCACATATTATCAGATATGTAAGAAATAACAAAATGTGACAGATTTGGACCATTGCATTGCATCAAGAAAATGTATTCGTCTACCTGTGGGTTGAAAAATCCTGTCATCCAAAAATGTTTTGGCCTTCCTTCAAACAACCAGGCGGAGAACTGTGCGTTCCTCTCGATCAGCTCGGTGAACCAGAATCCAAGTGTTGTTGAGTCCCAAGAAATCTTTAAAGAGAGAGAGGATAATCTTTAATAAATGTTTTTATTGAAAGTTAACCAAGAAAAGTTTCATGTATTATGGAAAGTATGAGGGGACAATTTCAAGTTGTTAAAGATAGTTAAGAATTCTACTCCAAAGAGGCTTGTCGCCGCCCCCCCCAAATACTCAACATTATATAATTAATTATTCAAGAATCAATTAATCCAACGGTATTTAAAATAAATTTCTGCGTAAACTTACTTTTCTCCAAAGGGCAGGCACACGTGCGTCGAATATGTTATCTAAGGCATCTCTCAAATTCTCACTCATAATTATTGTGCCGTCAATCGCAAGTTTTAAGTCGACCAACGTTGATCTTACAATAGAAATCACCCTCTGCATTCTATCAACTTCTTGTCTCAAGAATATATTCATTGGCATCAAGGCACCCATCTTTGAAAGTCTCGAACGAACCTGAAATTCAAATACGTGTTAGTGGTTTTTAAAAATATGAAAAAAACTGACTACCATATAAGTTGCATTAAATACCTGCAAAGAAATTAAAATTTCAAAACCTACAAGCAGTTAATTTCTGAAAAGTATCTTGTTTTTGAACATGTTCATTCTGAAGGGCAATGTCCTATAAACCATCCATTATGAGGAGATATCTTCATTGCAAAGCACTACATTTAGTATCAAAGTAGCCCATTTTCATGACTCTTCGACCTTGCAGCTCCTGCATGCTTCTCCGAAACGAGTTCCACGTACAGTCTGACTTTTTTAAAGGAGGTTCTTTATATCGTGCACATCTTCCATTTTGTGCACGACACTAAGATGCGGTTCTGATGAGAATAACATTCATTATAAACTAAGGGCAGATGCCAGCCGACTTTCCAAGTGGTTGTTGACAACCAGATGAAACTAAATGATGCAAAATGCCATTTTATGTTATTCGAAAGTGAATCCTGACAGCACAGGAAATATTTAACGTATCTAATGAATTAATATAAAATTCATCTCTGAAAGAGTCAAACTATTCTTGGCTCTTGCTTCGAATTTTAGGGCATGAACTCTTTCTTACTCTCAGTGAATGTACATTAAGAAATTGCAGGGCCAACACCTGGTAACATCTTAAAGGTGTATTTTGCTGATAAGCCGGGTCGTTGGCAGCTCATTGGTTAGGGTCGCTGACCACAGATCCAAGGGTCTGTAGTTCGTGTCCAAGACATAACGAAACTTTCACTCAGAGAAAGGAGAATCACCAGCTCTCTGTAACTCCATGCGTAGGAACCATGAGGTCTGTTTACATTGAGCAAAGAGACCAGGACTCGATAAGAAAAGCTTCTCCATGAAACTTGCCTTCGGAAGGTAGGTAGTAACAAATACAAAGGGTTCACCATTAAAAAAACATAAGCGAGCAAGTTTACCACCTACAAATACTACGCACAAGTCATTACGGTGACGATTAGTGTTACTGTTGACGCGAACAACGTACCTCATGAGGTATGTAGTCGTCAGGAAGCTTGTCAAGCATTTCTGTTGCTTGCCTTGCAACAACGGATTCACGCGTTTCTCCGCCACCACTTGTGCTGTCCTTAGGCTGAATGTTGACTATGGTGTCAAGCACATCTACTGCAGTCTTTGTTTGGTAGGTAATATCAGCGTTAGGGTGCAGTCCAAAGGCCTAAGAAAAGCAAAAAGAATGGAAATAGCGAATAGCAAATAGGGCCTAATGCCACAAAGACAAGCTCACTTGCGACTAAAAAATGACACGGAAACTAAACAAACCTCTGGAGAATCAACGATTGGTAGCTCTTCAATATGATTTCTGAAGTCGTTCAACGCATTGCATTTTGGTATAGAATATCCTTGGTAGAACTTGAAGCTGTCGTTGAACATCGTTTCCAAGAACCAGACTCGACAAAAAGTGTTCAATAATCGCTTGTCGAAATCATCAGTGACCCTGCCACCATACTGTACTTCGCCAAGCATGTAGCGGACGGTTGTCCAGGAAACACCCTGAAAGAAAGAGAGCTGTGTAACAGATATGACGATTTTGCTGGCACTACTGTTCTTTCACGGTTCAAAGTCCGTAGTAACAACCTTCAACAAAGCGATTTGCAAAACAAAATACAAAGCACTTAGCTGGTAATAGTGTCAGAATCCCTGGCATGGTGTCAAACAGAAAGAAAAAGCACTTAAATACAATCCTGGACCAGCTCATAACAAATTACCAATTATGTGAAGAAATCAGGAAGAGGCAGAATTTACTGATAAGACTGAACCCTCAAAAAAGAATTTTAAATAGCAAGTGAATAATAGAGAACCAAGATATGAAGCACATGCAACAAATAGAAAAGAGGTGTGCATTTTACCTTTTTGTCCATATCATCTAAATGATTTTGCACAAACTGGACACTTGCTGTGAAGTCAGATGAATTGAATTCATATGGGATATTCCAGCCAAGCGGGCCGAATTTGCGTCTTTCTTGAACAACGGTGTGCAGGAAGGCGACGGCAAAAAGCATTGGCTTCCACTGCGGCAAATTTATGATATCGAGCTGATCCTGTAATGCAAAGGAAAATGCTGTTGAAATGCAGACCGAACTGTACCCAAACGTGGCCCTCTTATTGCAGGTCAAGAATGAAGCCTTTTTAAACACATGACGTCATCGTCAACAAGTTAGTTTTTCAATATCTGCATTTACCTGGGTTATACCAGCATAAGTTCGTTTGAGTCCGGCTTTTATACCTTGCGGTGGCTCATTTGTAAACTTGATAGACATTTGTAACATATTGATCGGGAACTTGGGGTGGACCTCTGTTGTCATCCACAGTCTAAAGTTGTCATGAGGAGACTCTGCATCGACGATCTAGAACGCAACAGAATAGGGCGCTAAAATGTAGACCTTGTTTCATTTTCTATATAGGATGATATCCTTCATAAATATCTAAAGAATTTCACCTCTTTGCAGTTATAAGAAAAATTGACAGTAAAAGTCAATCTCAGTATGACAGGAAAAACAAAGCTTTGTACCGTATCAAGAAGTTCATCCATGAAATTTAGACCAAGATGACAGTTTTGAAGAAGGACCCATCCACCTTCCGACATGAACTGTTGCAGCAATCGACGAGCATGGACTTCTTGGCCCTGTCCCATGGAAATCGCTCGACAGTCTGTGGATAATTGGCAGCGTTAAACTAAGAAATTACTCTAAGGTTGTGATACAGCAAAGCTAACTATCAACAACCGACTGTTTAACAACAATTAGCTACGCTATAACTGAAATACTTTTTCTAAACTTTGAAGCTTCTTCGCTTGGATTACCAGTGCAAAAGATAAATCCATATACGATATTAATGGAAATATGGCCGAGTCATCTACATTGTCATAAAATTTATTACTTGAAAAATATCCACAGAAATCCTCTTTTTATTAAACAAGATGTGACTTCATTCACCTCAATGCTTACTGAATCGTCAACATCAACTTGAAATCATTAAGGAGGAAAATTCCAGAAACAGAATTGAAACAAGTGGACTTACTGAGGTTTTTCCTCTTAGCCAGAGCTTCGATAGACGACGTTGGATCAGAGCCCATGGATAGGAGACAGATCATTGGCGTGCGCATGTCACTCTCTTCCCACATTCCTTCCATGCTTAATATCACTCCTTCAGCATACTGAAATAAATGCAATTCAAATATACAGGGACCATCGACAGAACTGAATGAACCAAAGAAAATCGAAATTTGGTTGCTTACTTTGTACTGCAAAGTGGAAAGAATGAATGTCTAAGGGGAAATCATCGATGTATTTCAGGAAAAGGTATTTATTCATGTAAGTATATTCATTCATGCACGTAAGAAAAAGAGGTAAATGTTTTTTTCTCTCTAAAGGAACATGAAGGTAGCCTCAATAATTTCTACAAAGCTACAGAATGAATTCACAATTCAATTTTCATTTTGCGCCCTTTGATCTAACCAAAATGATCAATGGCCAGCATCTTATTTTGAATTTGTGACTTATTTTGAGCTCGGTTCCGAGCAGCCGTGGCCCTCTTCACATTCAAGCAAAGCGCTCCAAAGAGAACAGACACTTGAGGACAAGCCAACTTATTCCACTTCTACAAGAAAAATTCTCTCATTCGTAAGTATTTCCGGCAATTTTATTGCAAGGATATGAATATTTTCACTTCCCGCACCGATCGGGGTAAAAACGAGAAAGCTTCAATATAGCATGGTATTGTTCACCTACCCTAACACCAATTGAATCAGCAATATACCGTCTTGCTTGGTGGACAGTACGGTCTGGGCACCATGACCTTATTAGCAGCAGCTTCCTAAAAGTATCTAGAGAATCTCCATAACCATCAGGGATAACCTCTTCTTCTGGTGTTTCGCTGTCAAACCATATTTTCCAGTTTTTGTCGTTGCGAGCCACCTGAAATGCACAGATTGAAAAAAGGATTTAACATTCATTTGTATTGCCTTTTTAATTAAGAATCTTTTTAAATGTGATTATGAATATTTTTGCATCGGTGGCCACTTGAAAAATACCATATAACATGGAAAATGCTTTTAACGTCCTAAAACGGCAACTCCTAGTCAATTATCTTTCAAAGTGAATATAGCGCAAAAAAGCATTCGAACCTGGTCCAAAATTTGCCCAAACTGAGGAAGTTTGCTGAGGGCAACGAGATTCAGCCATGTCATATCTTGAATCCATTTTTTCGGCTTTGGTTCTACTGCATTCAGATCTAGAGCAGCTCCACCTGAAAAAAGAAATGGCTTGAAAACGAACAAATGAGCTTATTCGAAAAAGACTAGCAGCACTAAGTGACTAGAAAAGAAACGAGGAAGTGAGCGATAAAAGAAAGATTGGCATAAATGAAGAAATTGCCATGAGAAGTAGGAATGGACGGTTTTTATAATTAGGAAAATGCAATAAAAGAATAGCTACCTTCATAAAAATCTACTGGAAGCAAAATCTACAATGTAGATGCCCAAAGTAATTCAGACCTACCCTTAATAAGTACTTGAAACTCTTCTTGTTTCACTTTCCTTTCTTGCAGAGCAATTTTTAGTGCTAGAAGAAGCGTGAACAGAAACTTGTGCTCCTCGTAAAGACCACGAGTCGTGTACTTGAAGACTTCGTACGTAAGGAAATCAACAATGTTCTGAATTCTTTTCGATGGAATCGGTGACTTCGCTGAGCGGTCCATTGACAAATCAAACAAGCCCAAGAATTGCCGCAATGCAGTCTGGTACATGATGTTGACGTAAGACATTTCGACGATTAGGAAGTAAAGAATACTCCCTCTAGTTGCAACTGGAAAGAGTAGATATTACATCAATTGCTAATTCCCTGCTTGGCAGCCAGCTGGCTGAGTAGTACAAAAACATTTTGCGACTAAAATTGCAAAGCTAGGATTGTACTACCAATTGCCAAAATTGGGAATGAACTACGTCAATCTACATCAATGGTGTTTAAGCGGAGTATAAAGTATAAAGATTTTAGGAAAAATTAAAGGCAAAACGTGAATGCGAGTGATGCTCAATAAAGCGGCCATGAAAGATAACCTTGAAATATTGGGTCTAAGATAACTTCACCGTTTCTACCATTACACCGCTTACGATAGTCCACCCAATTGTCTAATAGTCTAACCGACGTTTTAAAGGAAGTCTAGCAGTTAAAGCAAAACGTGGTTTGCTATTGCTCGCCCACCTGGCCGGTACTCCTCCCTGGCGGTGTTGATTTTTAACTCAGTCTCGGCAGCGACGATTAGTTTTTCACTGACTTCCTCCGACGTCTGTTTGGTTACACTGAGGACCCCGATCAAAGATTCGTCATCAACTAGAGAGCCTTGAGTACTGGTGAGTCGGTAAAGCAAGTTGTCCTCCAGGTCTTTCATTTTCCTCTTGTTCGCCGTGACCTCCTCCATCAGCTTCACTCGCTCTGCTTCAAGTTCCTAAACAATTAAAAATCACTCATTAATCGTTTCAATCGCACCAATTTTTTTACTAAAATGCTTCATCAATAGTTTTACTGGAAACTAATTTACAACAAGAATTTAAACAAAACAAAGCAACGGAAAATAAGTATAATTAAAAAATAGCCGATTAATTTTAAGTTATCTATGAAAAAAGAAAACAAAATATCTACACTGTATCGAAAACTCAGGCAGATGCACATCTTTTGCTGCGAATTATTAATTTTGTAAGATTTTCGAATTTATCAGCGGCTCTGAATTTGCCTGCGCAATTTTTAGTCAAACAAAGGATGTTTTGCACGTGTTTCATTCTAATAATTTGATTGTTTGGTGATTAATTTTTAACGGAGAAACAATTTTTTAATTCAGAATATAAATGCAAAAAAGAGAAAATTAAAAGTTTAAAAAATCCAGCAACAAAAATAATACCTGTTTTTCTTTGAGAATGACCCTGCCGAGTAGCTGGTCTTCCAGTCCTTTGATGGTGACAGTGAAATCAATAATGGCTGTTTTGGCACTCACTTCCGGGGTATACGAAGGGTTTGGTAGCTTTGTGGTGACATACAACTTGAATCCTTTCATGACATCAACTTCCTTGTCACCAATTTTTACCTACAGATAACATCAAGTAGCAATTCAAATGCATAGAACAGTAACAGAGTAACATCAATGTTGTATTGCTTTTGAGCAGAATCATCAAACTTCACCAAACATGGCCGGACAAAGTTCTTTTCACTGTCTATAACATTTAACTCTTGCAAAGAACAACCTATTTCAAGAATCATTCTATTCTCGGTTCTTACTTCAAAGACACAAATTGTCATTCAAGGGTCAAAAGCTCTTTTTCCCTGAGCTATATTCCAAGATATAAGGGGCTAAAAGATCTAAAATGTCTTAAAATTCCGAAAATCCTTGAATAATTCAATCTCAATTTTTTTCTCTGAGGCACAAAATTTGTTATGAATAAAAATACAGAAATTTGGGGATATCGCTGTAAAATCACGAAACTTAGATATTTTCCAACCATAAAGGTAATCAAGATACAAGGTGCCTTATGATAAAGGCCAGTTTGCAGTTCTTAAATTCTTACCTTCTCCTTTGCAGGGATTTACTATATTTCTTAAGGTTTCAAGATACTTTTTCCAGCAATCCTTTTATAAATATAACACAGTGTGACTTATAAAGAGTTATTAGTTTAGTACTACAAACAAAAGAAGCTGTCTCTACCTTTAAAGTTTTGCCAGATTTGATGAAATTCTTTTCTAAGACATTGTCAAGGGCTGGATCGAGCTCTTCGCCGACATCTTCGATAATCAATGGACGGCCAAGAGAGAGACAGTCTTCAAGATGGGTTCTGAAGTACTTGTGATTTAGCGCGGTCACCTGTAGCTCGTTGCTAGCTTCTTTCTTCTTGATCCAAGCCTTACCTTGGCCCTTTAAAGAAAAACTTATATCAATCACACTGCCATGAAAAGTTAAAAGGTTTGGCAAATGTTTGGTAAATGTTGGAAACTGGATTAGATTTCAGACATTCATACGTTTTACTAATTAACTTCTCTTTCCTTGCATTCAAAACGAAATTTCCAGGCTTAAAACATATTTATTTATGATTTAAACCAAAGAAAAACGTAAAGGTGAGGTCATGGAGATCAGGCCATGGAGAGCTTACCTGTGGATCAATTAAGAGTGGGTATCTTGCAGCTTGGGTGACGATTATTCCATTTTGAACAGAAAGCTCATCATTGGGGAGACCTTGCAAAGACCATTCGCCTATCGTTGCATTATCAGCCAACATATTTGTTAAATTCAGATCCTATAATGGAAACGGCAAAATGAAATCAAGAATAAGGATTGAATCTTTTAGCTGGCATGCTTAAATAAAAAAAATCATTAATTAAGTAATTATGACAATATGTGTTCATTTCATTTTATTTGCTAGAAAAATTACCTCTGAAAATGGGATCTTGGTTTTTCTCATCTCCTTTTTCCAATTGCTTAAAAGCAAGTCTCTAAATTCTTGGTTGAATGGGCCAGAATACGACAAGAATCCCGTAGCAAGCAAAACATCACCAACTAATCTAAAAATCGAATTGAAAGTGAAACTTAGTTGGAATGACAGGAAAACGCCGCATAGAATAGTATTTGCAATTGTGGCAGATGAAATTCTGATTCAATACAATTCTTATGGCTATAAAGAGGCCAACCTGTTGATTTGTTGCTCAAACATTTTACTCTGTTCAGTCCAACGCACTTTCTCGCCACCGAGACCATCAATCAAAGCAGTAGCATTGGTCATCTTTCTGCGACAAGTCTCTGCGTCATCCAGCAACGTCTACAAAAGCAAAAAGCTTCAAAATCTTTGTACACCTTTCAAGTTGAAATGCAAAATGTTCGGAAGTATCGAATACAAAAAGAGCAAACAAGATGCCAACTTGCAATGTACCTGCTTTTCCTTCATGGCATTGTCAAACTTCTCTCTGACAACAGCCAACTCGGATTCCTTTGCGTCTAGCTCTTTTTGTGCCTTCTCCAGCTCTCCTTGGGCTGTGTTCAGTCGAGCCTCTTGTACAATCAAATTCGCCTGCAGAAACGAGAAAGCTTGAAGAATGCAGCGACAAAATCTAAAATATCATGCTATTGTTAAGATGAAAAAACAGGTGAAGTTGGAAGCTCTTTTTGGCATTACCTGCGACGATTACAAAACAAAAGTAACTAATTGAACAAAATCTTGGAATCGGTGAAGGATACAAGTTTCGCTAAAAGCATAAACAAGAATTCAGTGCCTTTTATTATTCCCTTTTCACGTTAAAATTAGCAGCAAAAAATTGTTATAATGAGATATCGCAATTCTTATTTAAGAGGCATTGAGTGGAAATAATCTGGTACCTTCAGTGGCAAGACTTCCTTATTAACACCGAAGAAGAAGGACATGGCTTTTGTCCATTGCAGCAATCCAGCAACGTCACTGCTGACCTTCTTAGCACTGTCCAGATTGTAGTCTTCCATTTCCAAATAAGGAGCAAGCAACTCACAAGTTTCCCCATTTATGCAGTCCTAAATTAGGAGCAAACAGAAAACGATTAAATAAACACTCTCGAAAGGTGACACTCTTACAAATCAATCTAACAGGATTTTATAAAATCTATTTTGAAATGAACACAAACGCCAACAGTTGATTTGAACAACATGGTAAATTTTACCAAATCTAGCATGGTGCAATGGCGTCTAGCGCATCTTCTTGTTGCAATAAAGGCTAAACGTTACCAATCCTTATAGTTTGGAAATGCTAAAAATGCAAGCTTACTTTTGGAAAGTTCATCAGCTGCGGCAGAAAACTGGTCTGGCTCATGAGTTTTAACGACTCGCTCCATGACGGCTTGACAGAGTTCTTTTCAGGGTCCATGACAACAGGGTCCAGTCTCAAGTTGAACAATATGAGCACAGCATCCATAACTCTCATGATAAGGTGAGGTGGTTTCGGAAGCTTTCGTACGGATGCGATGTGGGCTGGTTTGATAGTCTGAAGGGCAGATTCTGCTTCAGCAAGAGCTGGCTTGGCAGCCTCTAGTTTTGCTTCAGCAGCAACTTTGTCTACCTGTTTACAGAGTACGTCATCGATCAACACGGATACAAAATATGTCACAGAGACGTCCCAGAAGCAACGCACCGAGGAAACAACTTCAAATACATGGTTTTCTTTCAAGAAGGCATTTAAAATCGAAAAGAATCGTGAACCAATAATTATTCGCCAAAGAAACACGTGGCTGTCGAACATCCCCCCTCCCTCCTTAAAAAGAAATATAGGCTACAAGTTGCTTTCCTTACCGCAATGTCATCAACAATGGCCTGAGCTTTGTCCTTTACTTTCTGCACTTGAGCCTTGACTTTCTCGGCTGCTTGAGCACTGGCAGTAACTTCCTAAATCAAAGCAAACACCTTCATCAGGCATCATAAAATTGATAGACTCATACGAGAACATTTTTTTATTATTCTTAAGAATTCATTCAGCAACAGCAGTCGTCAGGGTTGAATATAATTGATAAAAAACAAGCTTCCCAACTAGAAAACATTTTGCAAACGAAATTCACGGACGCGACACTATTGGCTGTGAATACCGTCATTCTGCACTGACTTTAACCGGTTAGATGCAACATGATGGGGCGAAAGTAGAGAAAAACATTACTGTATTTAATATTATTTAATAGCATAGAATAATTCATAACAACTGCAAACAGCTAATATTATTCAAAAAAGATATCAGGCAACACTACAAACACAGATGACAAAACCAACCTGCAGCACTACGTCAGCCTTTTTGGAAGCAATGGCGAGTTCCTTCTCCTTCACAGCCAACTCCTGAGAAAGCTGAGCTACGGAAGCACTTGCTTCAACCAGTTTGGCTAGGCCAGTATTCATGCGCTCTGCAAGAATCTCAATGCCCTGGTGCTTGTCTTTGTAAATGCCTTTATAACCAGCAATGAATGACAAGTAGGACTTTGGGGTCACGTGAGTCTGGCGTCGATACCGATCAAAATACTTTAAGCATTCTTCTGCCACCCCGTCCTATAAATATTAAAAAATCTAGTTATTGATTAAAGTCAACAAAATCTAATTCAAATTCTGTAGGAGATCGTGAAAAATTCAAATTACAATAGAACAGATTATATAGGTTTTCCTAAGGTCCAAAATTTAGCATTACTTATCTTTAAATCTCTGTATTATAGTCTTTTTCCTTACTATTTCTGGTTTAGTAGTTTTAAACAGAGTAGTTTCAAACAACAACAAAATATTATATAAATCGCTCTGGTCCTTAAATAATCAGCAGTACAAAATTTAAAGCTCCACTAAGCAGGGGCAGCAGAAAAGGAATACCATGGCTCCCATACAGGGCCATACGAATTAAGCAATTGCTCTCGTACATTGTAGTAAGCTGCTGTTTAGAATTGATAGGAGAACTTGTTCTACTCTGTGGCCTCTCCAGGTTGAAGTTCAAGGGGCGGCCTCAGCTGGGATACTAAGCGCACTAGCAATGCAGACTCACGTGGAAAATTCCCATTGTGTGCACTATTGACTCTTTTGTTTCTGGGGTGCAAACAATTTCATAAGACGATAGGAAATGCCGGGCTACAGCTACCAGGGCATCTTTCGGCCATCGGCTGAACCAATCCATTGTGCAACCACTGAACAGCCCGGGGAATTTTAGCGACCGATTCCGGAATTTCTCACCAACCTAGCAAGCAGACATGAAACAGCGATGAGGTACGACCGTAAGTAGAAAGTTTGCAGCAAAATGGTTATGCAAAGATTGAAGAGTTACGAGTTGCCCTGTGCTTTATCTACTCCAAAATGTGTCATTTCTGTCTTGAATTAATATTGCCAACGGCAGCAAACAATTTCCAAATCTAATTATGATCATAAAATTTAAGCGCCGGTTGGCAAGTTAACTCTCACACTGTCTCTTGCCATACAACATCTGCACAGGGCACATCATTTTATTATATTTGAACTTCAGTATACAAATTTTGAAGCTGACAGTATACAAATGCATACCGGTGAGAAGCAAAGGACAACGTGAAGGTTGTTTTTCACTCTTGTGATGAAATATTCGTACAAATTCTCGTTGGTCGGCGGTCTGCGAGGATACTCTTTTTTCATCACTGGAATCAACTCTTGGGTGATTTCATCTATTTCGTCTCTTGCAAAGAGATTCGAAACCTGGAAGACAAATAGAAAGAAGTAAGAAAAAACAGGCAAACAGAAAATTAAGAAAAAGAAGTTAATGTCATGAGTTTTCTTCAAATGATAGAAAAACGACAAATTTCTTTAAAAAAATGATAGCTAACCTCGCCGGATGCAAGTAGATTGTTCATGTACTCAAGGAAACCCTCATCCTTGATCTCATTGTCTGTAAAAATGAAAGTTATTCCCTTTCCTTTCTGGCCAGCCGTTTTGTAGAGGAACTTCAGATCATCCATCAGATTGCCAACGTTGTATGACCTGTGATACAGAGATACTGTGATACAGAGATACTTTAATACAAAGACACTGTGATACAGAGATACGCTGATCAAGCAAACATCAAATAGCTTTTTTTAAAAAGTGCAAACAATGGGAATGTTCCACACGAGTCTACATTTAAGCTTTCTTTTAATTACAAGAGAGCAGAAACGGAATTGATTAGGAAACCAACTAAAAGTAACACACTTACCTTGTCAGCGTGATCTGGAAAGTTTCGAAGCCAGCAATAAACGAAGCCAATCGGGTCAGGCTTTGTTTTCCTGAGCCACCCACACCAACAAGCAGTGCATTGCCTCTTGGTGTCCGAATTATTCTAGATACCTTAACTAGGTGAACCATTGCATCCTGAAAAAATCAATCTACAATGTTAGAATCGGAAAATTGCTCGGGTGAGCTGGTTCTAAACCGACTCGACCAGCTGGAAGCAATACACGAGCCTCATTATGAAGATTTAAATGAACGCTCAACAAACTGTTGCTATAGAGCTGTCATCAAATATAACAAACACTGCCAACCTTAAAAAACACAAGGTCCAGGCCAGCTCCTCTTGTTGTTTCATTGTACATTCCCATAAACATATTAAGTCTTTCTTTTAACGACTCAAAATCAGCAATTGGCTCATAAATTTTGGGATCTTCAATAACGGCATCTTCTGGTTCATCGCCTGAAAAATGCATAATATTTGCGAATGAATGGGAAAACTTGTTGAGTTTCTACATGTAGGAACTGTCACATATGTTTAAGTCAATGCACTTATAAATAAAATTGTTTCCGGCTACTTTGGGCAAGAAGAAAGAGGATGGGTAAGGTGAATACCAGTAATTTCAGGCGCATCTCTCAGGAAATCCACAAAGAAAGGCTCCATCGCAACGGATGCTGCCACCTCTTGATCGAGCTCTTCAACCACAATTTTGATTGTCTTCTCAAACCAGTCTTTATCAATTGATGAAATGAAGCGGTCGGCAATAACGCGGGTACACTCGTGTTTCCACAGATCTAGCAGAATCTTCTGGCTCGTCATAACCTCACAATCCACAACAAGCATACCCTGAGTCAAAATTGATCTAAGTTATAGCGACAATGCGGCAGAGAGACAAAACATAAGATTTTCAAAGAAAGATTCAAGCTGTTAATACCGTACATTTTGGAGAGGGTTTACTTCAAATCAAACAAACTCTTTAACCAAAACAACTTTAACCACCATGAAATTTGGTGGATATAAGGATTCAATAAAGATAAAAAAATTGATTAAAGCCTCCAAAATAAGATTTTTTCATTCTTTGGGCCCTATCACTTACCTGCCAAATACGACTGAGATCTCTCAAGTTGAATATGTAATGGAATTTAGCTGGAGTAGGCAACATTTTGACCTTGGTCTTTTGCCAAAGGCTTCTTGTGCAAGACACTAAATCATTGACAAGTTGAATAACATCAGGGTTAAAGCCTCTCTCGCTGCAAAAATGCCCGCAGCCTATTGTTCTAAAGATCTTGTCAATAGAGGCATTTGACGGTATTGTACAGTTTATGACAGTGAACTGTCGCTTCAAACGCTGAGGTATGTCGTTTCTGCCACCTCCAGGGTGAATCATGGCGGCGATGAACTGAATGTCAGCAATATTTGTGAAGTCCCCTGGCTTTTCAAGACTGTAGAATCCCTGCACTTCCATCACTTGCCTCACAATTTCATTGGTGACCTATAAGCAAATGAGAATCAGAAAGTTTGAGTGACCATGCCAAAGAATATTCTACCTGCCGCTCTTCAAAGCAAAATAGCACACTCCAAAAATTAAGGCAAGCTGCCTACAGAATCGACTAACCTGGTCCTATTATCAATAAAGACTAACCTGGTCTCCCCATTCGTTGATCACTGGCATATTAATATCATCAATGAAGACTGTCATCTTTCGGCCTGCCGGTGGACCAAAAGTGTTGCCCATTCTTTTGTCAACGTAGCTCTCTATTGTTCGCTGTAATAAAAACCGATTTTTGCTGAAACAACATTCTTTTTGCAGATTTATCATCGCATCCATCATTTAATGTTTCAGATAAACGCAAATTGAACGGTTCTCTTCACAGTGTGAGAATCAATATTCCAAACATGGATGATTGAAAACAAACCAGTGAGATAAACACAAGTTTAAACTAGAAAAAAGCAAACACCAGCATGCCTACAATCACTGTTCCCTTTTCAACAAATGGGTTTACACACCTGAAAAATTAGTGGGGTGGTCGCTGACGAAAAGTTCATGGTTTTGAAAAGGTGAAGCTCTGGATCATATTTCTTGCAATAATTTTTTACTATGACTGTTTTCGCAGTTCCTTGTTCTCCAATTAGCATGATAGCCTGTAGAGAGGAAGACATGAATTTGAAAATTATTAAAAGAACTCAATCCAAGTCATTACTTTAGAACAGAGACATAAAAATTAGCTGATAAAATGTGACTGAAAATGTGAATACAGTATCTTAGAAAAGATCTGATAAAAAGCTCAAAAAGGCAACAGACGGCTGAGCATTTACAGAAGCTGCTAGCCCTAGCGCGCAGACCTTACAAATATAAGAGCATCCCCTTTTCCCAAGGTCTGCATGCAGTTAACAAGCTGCTAAGGGACAGAAGTAGTGAGCTGCTGACCTTTCCTTGCTTCGAAATGGCATTGATAAGGTAGTCACTTCTTGTATTGTCCACATTCGGAACCAAGATTGATGAGTATTCTGGAGTCGAGTCAGTAGGATAGACGTATTCGGACACCTAAAAGGACCAATCAACCAATCAAATCACTGGAAAATACACATGAACAAGAATGCAGGTAATTTCAACTTGATGATATCTCTCTGTGCAATTTGCCCATTACATACATTAGACTTAAGCCTAATACGTCTAGACCAGCAAACTAGGGGTGACGTCCTAGAAAGCTAGGATGGAGAGCTGTGCTGTGAGGAACATCTACAAACTATTTACCGATTCTATAAGGCTAACTGAACTTGCTCATTAATGCAAACTCAACAGCATGAAAAGCGGTTTTTTCACATTGCCAAGTCGCAACCAAACTACGTCTGGCTTGTTAAGGGCCCCAAATCTCTACTAATTTTGAGAAAAGGGGTCAACCCCACTAACCGCCCTCCACGGCACCACTGCATTAAACTCAACAGCAAAGCAAATATAAAATGAACTGACATTGCACTGATAATTGGCCTTTGAACTGATAAGCTTTACTGTACATGGAGTGCACAAAACAAGAAGGTTCAAACTCACTCTCTCATCCCAGTGCTCCCACTGACCATCCTCGTTCACGAGGAATTCAAATATGGTGTCTTGCCCCTTACAAGGAGGAAGATCCAAGCTTGCAAAATTCTCTCGTATAAATTCTTCGAGCTGTTAAAAGAATGGCAGTTAAAAAGCTTCCTAATAATTGACACTGTACATTTTATATCAAAATATATAGCAAACTTACAGAAAAAAGGGCGAGAAGAAATATTTGAGAGCTGCAAAGCTAGGAGGATCTTGCCAAAAAGGTGGTAAAATAGCAAGGAATTTAACAAAAAAGTTTGCTGTTAACTAAATGCCCATGGCAAGACGAATATTTAAAACCAATTCAGCATGCAATCCTCACAATAACCAATATAAAAAGGATGAATCTGAAATACCTTTTTTCGATCGTCTAATTCAAGCAAAGCTCCTGTGCTCCACATGAGTGCAAATACAAACAATTTGCTGATAAACTTGGCATCTGCCTGCTTTGGAGAGTCTTCGCCTGGTATTAAACCAGTTAGAAGGTTGATGGCTTGAGCGACTTGATTACATTCTAACACCTAAGAGGGAATTCAGCTAATAAGCAAAATCGCTTTTATACACTAAAGCTTAAAAGAGCAACAATAGAAAGACGAATTTACGAAAAATTCAAGCCATCAAAAAGGTAACCAAAAGCTCAAATTCCTTTTCCTACTCCATTGGAATCTTAGAGATGAAAAGAGGAAACCAACATGTTCTGCCGTAAGTAGCCAATAGACGAGCCGCCTGGCCAGCCGTCCGTCACAAAATTAAATGATCGTGCCAGAAGCCAGTTATCATTCGGCACAGCATGTTTAAAGAAACAAAGGTTAAATGAAATCGTCACCTCCATCTTTGGGTTCAGGTTCTGTGCCACAAACGTTCTAATAGCCGTGAATGTTTGCTGAAATAGTGGCATCAAAACATCTCCTTGCATATCAGGCCTCCCTTTCAGCCACGCTTCCAAAATTGGTACGTAGTTCAGCCCAGAAGAGCTCATGTAAACCATTCCGTTTCTACGATTTACAATATGCTAAATTAGATAATCTCTGAACTTAAAAGCACAATTTAAAAAATAAGCAATCTTCTACTTCACTGATAAGATGCTGTATTGAATATAGAATCAACAAGAAATGGCTTTGTCATGACACGAAAAGCCAAAATCTAATTTTAAGCAGCAAAAGGGGTTTATTTTTAAATTTACCTTGAGACAGTGGCCGGTGACGCATTGTCAATGTTGTGAGGCTCAAAAATGATCTTGCAGTTGGGCGACATTGGGATACGATCCCCGTTCGCCAGGGTTAGCGTCTTGTTATCATCCAAAACTGAATTTAGATTTTCAATCCAAATGGCATCCACAGGTCCATCTAAAACTATCCACACGTGTTCTCCCTGTTAAATGATAATGGAATAAGAAAACTCAAATCAACTAGAGAAAAGCTGAAACAAAAGTTCGAAACAAAGGACAGATGACCGATCAAAATGTTTACCACGGTCAAGTTAATGGAGATTAATTGCCAAGAGCGGATGCCAAATGACTGGTCTAACAAAACACTGGAGTATGCCAAAAAGGGTTTCAGTCACTTTGTAGAACCCAGGAAATGTGTCCCCACTACAACAAAAGACACAATTTTCTTTACCCCATTTACAAAAGTGAAAGAGCACCTGACGAGCCGAAATTTATTCAAAAAATTAAACACAACCTTCCGGAAGATCAGTCATTCTCCTTATTTTAGTTATTTCGTTATTATTTTCTTGCAAACCAAATATCAATTAAAATCTAATATTACATTAAAAGAGTATTGTTAGAACTAATAACAAGCATTATAAGATACAAGATACAAATAGCTTAAAACAATTGCTAAACCCTTAGTACGCGTGCGCAATAAGGCTGTTTGAAACTTTCATTTGATGTTAGGCGTTGCTCTTTTATGCATTTAACGTCAAAAAACAGTTTATGAAGGTCAGGCCACTAGCATGTAAAAAGTTGTCTAGCATCGAGCACCATGTTCTGCTCCTATCCCGAGCCACAAAAAGCCAAATTTCCCTGTCAATCGACGCAGGCGCCAGCTCTATATCAATTTGCTTAAAAATGGGTTGAGCGTGTGAAGGATTGAATGTCAAAATATGCTTACCTTTTTCGTTTTTAACGTTTTTCTCCACAAAGCAGAGAATATTCCGTCTGTCCAATCATTGGTGGCCACATCAAGCCTTCCAAACATCTGCGGCGCTGTAATGGCCTTAGGGTTCATCCTGAGTTCCCTGTGGGGCATGCCACAGACTGTCATTGCCTTCATGAGAATGTGTATGCATGTAGTTTTCCCTGCGCCACTCGGGCCAAGCGTCATCATACCATGGCGAACGCGTTGGGTTTCATACAGCTACAAGGGACATGCACATGAGTACTAAATGATACAGCGATAGGAGATCGTAGATAGTGAAAGAGCGTAGAACTTAAGGGAGCGTAGCATAAGCATAGCCATATCAAGCAGCTCTGGCTGAAGGGAAAAACTTTAGCAATAAATTATCATTGTTTACCTTTGCAAAACCAGCAGAGTGTAGGTTGATGTTTCAGTTTTTATGGAGGCCTAGTTCATTAGTATTTTTGCATAAAACATTTCATTCTATTGATTATATACTTGACAGTAGGAGCACAGTATCAAACAAATAAAATAAAATGCAAAAGACATTAAAGTTATAAAGAATTGGCAAAAAACTGCGGAAGTGTATTTGTTCCATCTATTGACATTCTGCATCACAACACCATCACATTGCAATTCAATCTCAGTCAGTGCTTACCTGAATAAGCTTTAGTTTCCATGGGGGATGATTGATCAAATTTGCTTCTTGCACACAGTCAGCGATCGCCTGTTCGATGTCAGGGTAACCCGCTTTTTCTAGAGTCAGTCCTGGGAACAGGTCTTCGATGAGGCTCAAGAACAACGGCTCATCTTCATCGACAAGTTTGCTTAAGTTCATGTCACGCAGGACTCGCATTACGATTTTTTCTTCACTGTCCTGAGAGAAAAAAATGATGGAAAATTTATTAAGGAATATGAAAGGTTTGAACTATGAGGATATCGAATATAGACACAAGTAATCATTATATTGAAAAATAAAGATATTCCTTCGACCTACCTGTGCATTTGCACGTTTAGCCGCACCCAGTGTTCTCAGGACAGATAAAATATTTCTCAAACCAAAATCGTAATGCACCTAAAAAAAGGAAAAGAGAAACATGGATTGAGTAGAACTTTATAGCAACTGCTTCTAACAACACCAATATGACAAAGCTGAGCTGCAATTTCGAGCTATAATTTCTTTGTAAACGCGGCTGAAATAAAACGAAATCTTGCTAAGAATGACACCAAAAAGAGCCCAGAATAACATTGCAAAGAAGCGACCCAATCTGTCACCTAATACCTTCTAGACCAAAACAATTAATTACAAATCTTTAAAAAAAACCAGAAAATGAAATACCTGTTTGCTCAGTTGCTCCTCACAAAGCTTGTACAGCGTAAAGAACTTTCTAGCAAGATTAATGTTCTGAATAAAACCTGACGCAGCAAGTTTAACTCTCATGATGATCTGCCTGTCAGGAACCATCATTGCTACTGTTCGGAACTGAATTTTCAAATTTTCAGGAAGCTCTTGACGCCCGGCGTATCCCGGATTCTAAAAAAATACCGGCATTCAGAAAAACACGCAACTCATCTACAAACGTAATGGAATAGAAATAGTTATTCTATTCACAACGATGATTGATGGAACTCCAAGGCAGTAGCTAGGAAGACTAAAAAAACGAGAAAATACTTGCCATGGTCAGAAAGAGGCCAAACTCTGGATCCAAGCTGACAACATCACCATCCGTAAAAATGAACTGTCTTTTTCGCTCCTTCTTAGCTGTAAGTACAATGTATATTTGCTGCGCAGCCACTGACAGTACGGGTAACTCTATACGGTTAAATTCGTCGAAACATCCCCAGCTTCCTGACTGTGCTAAACCTAACAGTAAAAACGAAATAAAATTTTCAGTGCCCAGCAATCTTTATAATACCCGAAAAACTTGCCTTCTGAAACTTTTTTTCAGATTTAAACAACCACGACCATTAAGCAAAATATCAAAGCTGCAAAGTTTTTGCCAATCCAAAATATGCAAATATTTTACATACCTTTGTAGATTCTCCCAAGTCCACGATAATCCATTTGATCAGAACAATTGAAAACAACCACGTATTTTCCAAGAGCTTTGCCCATATCCTGTTGATTGAAGAGCAACTCTATGAAGGACAATGGTTCCAGGCACGTAGATGTCACTTGGCAATATAAACTATTTTTCTAGACCTTTTTTTGCAACATAAAAACTTACGTGTGTGAAAAAGAAAAGGCCACGATAGCAGGCTATATAAAATCATACCGTTGGCTTAATGCATGACATAAAAGCCCTAAATAGTCATTTGCGAACCTAGTTCTATTGTAAGCAACGATCGCAGTAATTAAAAAGAGTGCAAACCTTAGTTGTTTCTGTTTTCCCAGTGCCGGCAGGCCCCGCAGGCGCTCCACCCATAGACATGTGTAACGCTTGAGCAAGGGTTATGTAGCATCTACATTCAAAAAATTCAACCAAATTTAAAAACACGAAGCCACAAAAAATTCACATTAAACAAGTTGCTCGTAGTTTTTATAATGTGTAATTCAAAGATGCTAATAAATTTAAGCATAAAAGCCAGCAATTCATTTTTATTCGATCTCTTTTACATATATATATATATATATATATACTATTTTACATACAGTATGTCACTCGGACATAATTTTTTTTTTGTTATTTGAAGACAGCCATGTTGAAAAATTACAAAAAAGATAAGTTAGGTTAATTGAAATTAACAGTGCTAAGATAATTTGAAAGCAAATCAACTTTGACTAAGACGGTTGTGCATTGAATGTTTTTCTGTCCAACCTGTCGACCAAAGGGGTCCTTAGTTTCGGATACCATTGGAGCAGGTGCAATACTTGCATATGAGTCCACCAAATGATACAAAAACGAATTTTACAGTTTCTGATAGTATTATTTATAGCATATTAGGTCTTTCTAATAAGAGCTGGTGCGTTGAGAGGAAATTTCAAAATTTTATAGACCCTGCTTGCAATAGTCTTTGGTAATAATTGGTAGCTATCATAGCTCTGCCACAATTGGCCTGTTGGTAACATTGAATAATATAGACCAGTCGCATAATACGGTTCTAAGTTGCTACTAGTTTCAAGTTTAATGTGACCGTCAGGCAACATCGGAGCATAGCCTGATCGTAGATATGCCAGTATGTGTATATACCTGTCCGTAAGCGGGGTGATCACAAGCCTATCTGTGCATCCAAGGAACTCGTTTTGGTAAATGAAGTCAACATCAGTAATTGATACAATGCAATGATTGAGGTCTTCGTTGAAGTAAAACCTTGACTGCTTCAGCCATTCGAAGTCAGATGGGGATTTCACGTGCATTCGAAACTAAGAAAAGCAGAGAAAGCTTCGGTTTATTGGCGGCATAAAGAAAAACCAGCAATGATAAAAATCAAAGTTGTTTGAGGGCATATTGAAACATTTTGGAATCAGATGTTTTAGGATCAGAAGAATCTTAGTAAACAATTCTTTGGTAGTACAAAATTAAAAAAAAGTTTTGAGAAAAGCAAACTCAAGCATTTCGTCTGACACTTTTCAAAGAATGAAACGTTAGAGTGGGTCTCATATGAGAACGTTAAGCTTACCAATTCATCAAAGATATCGCGTTGATGAACGTGGATTGTGACCAGTGTTTCATACTTTACTCTCTCTATTGGAAGGAGGTCACGTGTCGTCACCTCAATCAGCTGATTCAAAAGCTCGAGAAAATAGGTGTTTGTCTGCTGCATGATCTGAAACAGAATTTGGTATGCATGAATTGGAGAATGATTGGTCATTGCTGAGGATACCAGAAGCGAATAAATGAAATGGAATTCAATCTAGATGCAAAAATAAAGTGACGGATTTACCTTTCTGTCTGTTTTTGCTTTCGTGAGTGCATCTTCTGAGTCCCTAGTCCAAATCATTTGTAAGCCAAGAAGGCCAACCTAAAATAATCGCATTCAGTAGAATTAAAATTTCCACCCAACTGCAGTGGAGATGGAGGGTTGCGTAAAAGTTCTGATATGCAGCGAGTTCTGATTTGTCAAATAAGATTAAATTTATCTGCAAAAGAATAACGAACCTGTGCTTGGAACGTATCGAGAAATTCGATTAATTTGAAAGACGAATCCTTGATGGCAAAAGCTGCTCGATGAATGACTGCGTGGAGTGATTTGCGAGCTTCTTCTAGCAAGTTTCCGAGCCAAACTTCCACGTTACCCTGTGTAAATAAAGTGAGATCTGATGTCAAAACCTAATAAATGAGAAACAGCATTTGGAAGCAAATTATTTCAAATCCAACCACTTGAACTGACTAAATGGAGATATGATTCAGGACATGTTTAGGTTTATTGGGGTTTTTAAAATGCGGTCATCAGGCAACCGCTGCAACTGTTCTGTTCTATACGCATAAAGCGTGTATAGATCTTCCTATACTGCATTATGACAGACCGGCTAACAAAAATGTTCATTATCTTATCAATGCGAAAAGATGCCAATTAAATAAAGGTTATCATTAAAAAATATCTCTGCTCCCTTGACGGATATTATCTCTGCTCCCTACATACCTGAGCAAGGACCGACTTCTCCAGGGTTACTTGCTCGTTTTCTCTTGAGTTGATAGTGAGGATCAAGTCATACTGCTTCTCATCAAATGTCACAGTTTTGACATTGTCAAAAACGCCGAGCAAATGGGCTTGAATCGTATGGGAGTCACTAGCCTGACCAAGAATTTCCAAAAGTGCTGGATCAGAGATGAAGAAAAATCGCGGAAAAACAAGACGCTTCTTTTCCAGATACCTGAAGAAACAAAAGAAAAATTTATCTATCGGTGCTTTACGCAGTGGATGACATTTCAAACAGTCGGATGTTCTATTTCAAATTTGTGTATATGCATTATTACCAAGTCATAGAATGGTAGCGTGAGGGTAGGTTAAAAAACAGTACAGACATTCAACCAGTCAACTTACCCAGTTAAAGACTTTTGACAAATCTCAAGTTGTTCCAACAAATGCGGCAACAATTGGCTCAACGTTTCATCACCAACACAACACTGAACAACGTTTGGGTTCTCGTGTGCGCGATTCATAATTTTCATCCAAGATTTGTCGATGTGGGAAAAGCGCTTGGCCTCTTGCGGTAGCTGCTTGGCAATGTCACCTCCAACAAAAACAGCCTCGAGGTAAACCCATAGATTTTGGACTGACAGCCAGTTCTCTATTATTTCCGTTGTTCCAGAAAGATTTGCAATCCATTTTTGGATGTCTGCTTTAAATGGAGCATTGTACCTAAAAATTCAAGTTTCTTGATAACATGTGAATTATTGGAATACATTAAAGCAAGCAACTTAAAGAGACTAGCAGTTGAATCTACTTTGTTTAAACAGCATCACGTGGCTTACTTAGCACAAGCTTCATATCTTAACGTACCTGTTACTCAAAAGGGATCCTAAAATCATTAAACTGTCTTCCATCAATGAAACTACGTCAGAGGTATCAGCGCCCTTGAGAAGCAGCTCGCCGCGGTTCTTAAACAAAGCAAAAGACAACTCTTGTGTGTTCCATTCAGAAACTACGGTCTTCAATTTTGCCTCAATGTCCCTCTCCTTCACAGCTGAGATGCAAATGTCCTACACAAAAATAATTCTCATTATCTTTTTGCATTATCTTTAAGAAACAGTTTCTTCATATTTATACAGGTTATAAACGACTTTCAACAAGAAAATGTGATGAACAGGAAATATTGCATTAAAGCATTGTTCACTGATAGCGATACAGCACAAAAACGAACCTCGATGTCTTCTTTGAACTCGAGAAGCGGCGCTTCCATCAGATTCCTCAGCAAGAACGCGTCCGATTCAACATCAAATGTGTGCTTGGTGATGTCTGCTATTCTGTCCCAGTGTCTCGACTTCATTGCTCTGTGAGCCATCATCTCCAACAACGGACAGCATTCGTTGAAATCATCAACTTTCTTTTTCAAGTCAATGAAGGCTTGCCAATCCTTCAAAGCCTTGGGTAGTTTTCTTATTCTACAAAATTAACAAAAACTAAGAAACACCAGACAATCATGGACAAATTAACTCAGATATCAAAATAATAAATTCAAAAAGAAAAATACTGAAAAAGGGCTGCTTTGTTATGGGGGGCTGCCTTTGCAATTTTCAGCTGATGAGTCAATACTTGTACTCATTTCATGCAATTTTCAGCTGATGAGTAAATACTTGTACTCATTTCATGCTAAGGCAATCAACCAATACGATACACAGCTTGAAACTACTGCACCCATTACCTGTTCTGGTAATCCTGCAGCTCTGAATTTATCTTCTCAATATTGACCTCAACCCATGGGATGTCATAATAGCCATTGACATTTTCGATGACCGAATTATAAAGACTGTAAAGTTTCTGCAAAAGACCCAGCTCTCTTTTGATCTGCTGCAAGTCCGGATAGTCTGTGATGCTAAGTCCAAAAAGCTCCTCCCCACCTGCAAGTAGAAAGAAGCATACTTAAGCAAATGCTGATCTAAGCTCAACCATCTGCTGAATTGCTATGCATGGCGATTTTTCGTGAAAGAGTCAAGACGAGCAAAGTTCCTTATCAGAAGAAGAAATACTTAACTTATCATCACATATTGTAAAAATGATTGTTTTCTAAAAATGTTAACATTTGCAGTCAGGTTGGTCAATGCAAAACAGAGATCCATTAAGGAGCAGTAGGTTTCAGTTGTGCCGAGGAAGATTCTCATTAATTCAAGCAAGTCTCTACCTAATTAGCTCAACTACTAGTTGAGTTCTAGCAACGGCAGTAGCAGCTTATGAGAAGCCATGATTAATACCAACCTGAATAAGTGATGTATTTTCTCCACAGCTCTTCAAACCTTGCTTGAAAAATACTGAGCCTGTCACTTGCTTCCCCAGGTGGTATTCCAGCAGCTCCAGGGCCTCTATTGCGTAAATTAACAAGAATAACTTAACCATTCTAATGAACAAAGCACCTTGTTCTCAACCCAGCTCATCGTAAAAGTTAAATGAAAAAGCGACCGAGAGATGGCTTTTCCGTAGATCAGATCAAATAAAACAAATCTGCAATAATGCACTTTTCAAAAGATGCAGAAACTACGGGAAAACGAAATCAGATAGAGTCTATAGGTAGTGCAGATTGCAAAAAATGGCAACTTCTAAATTTCAATAAATGCAGCTTGTGGGCAAAGCGTATTCAAACAAGCACGATCGAATATAAGTGGTACTCAATAGACTTTTGTACTGATGGGGCTCATTCCAACATTGGGACCTGGACTCAAAAGATCTGTTGTAAAGTTCTGGCATTGAACTCAGAATGCAAGTAATTGAAACTGAGCATTGTGCTTACTTGTCCTGATAATCTTGAACAAACTCTTGCAGCTGAACTTTAAAGACATCGATGCCATCCAACAAGTTGGTCTTGAATTCCGGTTGAATAATCAGCAAATGCTCTGCAACGGTGCTGGCTTGTGTTCTCAGCTTTTGCCAAGCGTATGTCAGCCCGTCAACTCGTTCTGCATCTGCGCTTGGGTAGTGTAGTCCGTAGCGGTTGAGCAGTGCGTACGACTCCTCTATTGGTGTGATTGTCATATCAATCCTGCAAATCAACAAACATGGAATAACCTCTATTTATCAAGCACAAATTCATTTGTGCTGTGAAACGTGTATATATTACATATATTTAATATTGAGATCACTATATCAAGAGTGGCCTGTTGTTTTCCAGAATGGAGAACTGCGGTGATCAATGGCACCAAAACCTGCATCTTAATATGCAGTAAAGGCTCCAGAACTGCTACATAAATTCACTTACTCCTTAGTATTGCAAAGTCCTTTGAAAAAACGAAGCGTATACATCAGAGAGGAAGCTCAGAAAAATACAAAACCATCTAATAAGCGGCTTCTTAAAATAAACGACAAAATGAATGGCTCATTTAAAGAACAGTTGACGGGACATACAAAAGAAACGTGAAGCAAACAAACCTTATCTCTGCCTCGCGAATTTCACTTAAAGCAGCCATGCTTCCTCTCACATCATCCAGGTCTTTGATTGACCTTGATAATCGCTTACTCAAGTTCTCAATGAAAGTGAATATTTCTTCCATGTCAGCACTTGCCTGAAAATCAAATAATCAAGCGATATCAACCCTGCCCAAGTGCTTCTCTATAATGTTCATGAGCTTTGATAACGAAGAAAACGCCAATTGTCGTTTACCTTATCATTTAATTGTGTGTTTAGAAACTTTGTGAATATAGCTAGGTAACTACCTTATTTGCTAGAGCGCGTCCATAGGCTTGCTTCCAGACGCCTGTCTCTGTCATGAGAGCCCGCTTCAAAGGTTCTGTCATGTAAGTCACGGCACCTAACGTGTAACTTGGTGGCAGGTCATCTGCTAGGGCTTCCAACTCTTGATAATACCGTATCTGAGCATCAAACTCGGAAAGTAAGGGCTTATTCTCAAGGAAGGCTTTCACCTTTGCCTCAGGTTCCTAAAATAAAAAGGGTATTTTTAACACTGAATAAATTATCAAGCTAGACTTTCCTTACACTAACAAGTACCAATTAAAAAGCAGAATGAAAAGAGTGCAATAAAGATAATATTTGATTGCAATGGAAGACCACAGAAATCTAAAAAGCAGTTTAAGAAGATCGGTTTTAGACATGTGAGCATCAAATGAGCATTGTTATTTGAAGACACATCAAATCAAATATCGTCTAGAACACTGGCTTGTGTTGAGTAAGTTTAAATCACACGGCTTGCAGTCAGTGATGAAGGTTAGCTACAAGCAAAATAGGAAAATGATAAACAGAGATAGTGGTACCTCCGTCCACAACTCCTGGAAATCTTTCATCTTCTCAAGCACCTTATTGGCATCGACCTTTGAAGAGCTGATTATGGAGCTCAATACGATGACAACTTTGACCACATCCTTGTGCTCAGAAACAATCTTGTACAGAGACCGGGTTGCAGCGGGTGGGGTAGGCTTGCCTTCCTCCACCACCGGAATGGGTAGCTGATGAATCACATGATGTTGTCGCCATTCGTAGACATCCTATAGAGCAAAACTACACATATACGAAATTCAACTATCATTATGTTATTAAACAAACGAAGGGTTTTGCTGGGAAAATCGATCACATGGTGGTTAAAACAACTGCTCCCTTACTTGACAAACTTTGAGCATTGTCTGGACAGTTCTATTGAGAACTTGCTGGATGTCATCTAAACTGGGTTTCATGACAATTGATGGAATCGAGAGAATGATGCCAGCCTAGAAATCATAAAAAAATTTCACATATTCAGTAGACAAATACAGAATATTGAAATGCAAAGTAAATTTACAGACCGAATAGACAACAAAGCTGAACATTCTTAGCGCGTTTAATCTTAAAGCGTTGCAAGAAAATGACATTAGTCGCAAGGGCATACCTTGAAAAAAGCTGATTTTGAATCTGAGCTTAACGGAATTCCAGATTCAGTTGAGGCGTTATATTTACTTGGGGGTTGCATACGACGCTTGAGTGAATCGAGAGAGAGTCTGGTGCATTTCACCAAAGAATCGATGGTCTTTTGGTTGTAGTAAGATATAAGATTCCAAAAGCAGCATGGGGTGCATTCAAAGCACCGGTTGCCTTTGTTGCCTCTAGCTTTGTTCGAATCTGGTATCAAGCAAGGGAAGTTGTTATCTTTAACTTCTTCCAGCTCCTTTGGTTTTAAATGCTGCTTCAGTGTGTCAATAAGAGCATCTGTTGCAGATTCAACCAGCAGGCAATAACTGAAAAAAAGTTCAAATTTTTGTTAATTTTTCAATCGACTATCTTTTTGCTTGATAATTAATACTGCGTTGTTGAACAGCTATATATACTGTTTTGCTGACAGAGTGGCACATGGGGCTTGCCGTTTCCTTGTTTTGCGCATTAATGTGCATAGGTCAGTCATATGTTTCACATTTCGGCGCTTGAAACCTTAAAGAAGAATATGAAAATAATTGGTTAGCAGAAGTTGATTTGACACCTACTTGCTCAACTGCTGTGCCTCGTGGCTACAGACCTTTTCAGTAGCCTGGTAAAACTCGTCAGGGTTGGCAGCCTCTTCATCAGGCAGCCAGCAAAGCAACGTGGAGCCTATTTCTTCTAGAACAGCCTCGATTCTGCATTCAAGAATATCTTGAACCTCTTTACTGAGCTGCTCAAACCTTAGTAAGGCAGCGTGAACGTCTTTCACATCTACAAGGGGAGAGGTTTCAATGTGAACACGCGGATGAGGTTTTCAAAATAAGATGCGACAGGCGAAAATAGTTTATATCAAAATACACTAAAATAACGAGTATAAAGTTGCCTAAATACACCAATCTGATCAAATACTCACTTTTTGCCCGATTTCCGTCGCTGCAAGACTAAATCTAGTTAATTCTAACCGAAATTAAACGAAAAAACCAAATCAGGCATCCCTGTCTGCAAGACGATAGCAGTCATAGATAGCCCAACACAGGAAGTGAACACGTGGACGGAAATACTCACAAGGATCGATGTTAAGCGAAGACCAGGTGAGCATGGTAAATCCCGGTTTGATCGTCTCATCAACGCGATTAAGAAACGGCTTCATCAGCGGCATTATAATTTCACTGATTTCAGATTTTCTTTGATTGTAATTCTCCAGTATTTCGGTTAGTTTCATGTGTGTTGCTTTGATGTGATCTTCCTTCAGACAAAGCACCTTGGCCGAGTCCGGGATCTGTAGGCAGGTTACGAAAATAAAACTTTGCATTAATATGTGAGAGTAGCAAGTTGAAATTGAAAAGATGCAGAAAACGTAATCACATTCTAAATACTGCTTCATAGAACATGCAGTGGTTAACAAATGGTACAGAATTTTGAACGATGTATTGTCATAGAAACCGGATACCTGTAACCCCATCCTCAGCATTGCTTTAGACTCCTGTATCAACTCCAGCACTTGAGGGTCAAAATTGACGAACAATTGCTGCAAAAAGCAAATGATCGGGTTGTGTTATCCAACTCCGGACACAAAGAGCGCAAGCACCAGAGATTGACTTAATTTCATTGATTGCAAAATAGTTTATTTCGAGACGGGAAATCAAATACTTGGAAAAGAATTCATGTGCTTGTATCTAGTGCTTGTATCTTTGGCGTTTTGTAATTGCCTTAGCCAACATGAATGAGTCATATCAACTAAAAGAAAGAAAGAAAGAAAACAAAAAAGAAAAGGAAGAAAAAAGGAAGGAAAAAACGGAAGAAAGAAAGAATTAAAGAAATACAGAGGATTATAGTGCAGAAAATGCAGTGCAGATGAACGTTACCAAGGCCTGTAGAAAGCTGTATAAATACCAATAAGAAGGAACAAGGTAGGCCAAAGATACTTGGTATTCTGCTGAATAGCAGAGAGACTACTCATGGTTAAGAATTAGGGGCAAATGGAAGCAGAACCGGGCAGAGAGGATCTGTATTAATAAACGAAGTGAAAACAAAGCCCCGATGAGCAAATCAAAACTGAAAGAACCTTGGTCTGCGGGTGCTTGACAAGTAATGATGCATTCATTCCACTCCTTAGCGATTCCACTGCTTGGTACCAGCTTCGATGATACAAAACCTTCAAAGTAATAAACTGTTTACAAACAAGTCATCTAGCTACCTAAAAAACTTATCAAAATAACTTGTAAATTCTACCAACCCATTTACGCTTTCAAAAGGCTTATAAAAGAAAGCATATCGACATTGGATGTTGCCCAAAGAAGGGACGATTTATTGCTTTGAGACACAAACAGTTTCTAGCTGTGTTAAGAGGCGAAAATTTGTTACGTAAAAACAAACCTCAAACTCCATGAGAACTGAAGCGAGCTTGTTATACCCTTTCACAATTTTCTTGGCATCTTCACCCTACGACATGCATGGAAAAGAAACTTATTGAAAAAATACCTTGACAGAAAATTTCAAAAATTCAAGCTCGAAACGAGGGTTCCAAGAAACGCAAGTGACGATTATAAAATGAAACAAAACTCAGTCATGAAAGAAACAACTTTGTTTGCTGTTTACAGAGAAGACAGAATAGTTATACTGTCTTTAGTAAAGAAAACTCATTCAACTTTCGTCAGTAGGTAGTTTTCACCTTTAGTAAGCCTTTGCAATTCCTGAAAACTGCCATTGGCTCCGATATTCTTCTGAATAACTGCCTAGCCCAGGAAATTTTACCTGATATCTAGAAGAAAAAAATGAAAAATTGACAAAATCAAAGAGCAAATGCAAAAGAAATTCAGAACAGCATAAATCCAGAAATGAAATTACAAAGAAACATGAACTGACATGTCACATTTTATCAAATTAGAACCTAACGAAGCATATAAGGCCTTTTTTAAGATTTCAAAAGCTTACAGGTGGAATATTTCGGTGAAGAGGAGGACTGTCTTTCTGCTTCTGGTAGAGTCTTTTTGCTTGATCCAGATCCCTGCAATGTAACCCAGATAACGTAACTAATTAAAGATAACTATGACAGTGGTGACAGTTGAAAAATGAGCGTACTGTTGTTTAGGCTGTTGTATTTTAGCGATCAAAGTCTGCTTTATTTAATGTGAAATTACAAGGCCTTCCAATTGTGTGCCTCGTTAATTACTTTAAAGCTTTAAACGCTCTTTTACACCCCCCTGCCTATTAAATTCCTCTCTAATAAGCCACCTCTCTATCTTTGACACCAGATAAACTCAGCCCTTTCAATTCAGCATTCCCCTCCTCGTTTATGACCAGACTTGTCATTTGACCCTGATGACAATAGGGACATTATCAAGTAGTCATTAAAATGATATTTAACCGCTTTTTAAACTTTAGAAGCAACTTGTATAAGTTATTTTTCATAGATGTAGATGAAGAAAAATAAAATAACATTTCATAACATTTGTCCTGAATTTCTAATCCCCTCTCTGAAAAGCCTCCTCCTCTTAAAGCCCTCTTCTCTTAAAATTCCCCTTCTCTAATAAGCCCTCTTCTCTTAAAATTCCCCTTCTCTAATAAGCCCCCTTCTCTAACGTGATGATAAAAACGTGATAATAAAAACGTGATGATAAAATGTAATGAACTTACTTTCCATAGTTGGTCAACACTTTTTGATATTTATCCTTTAGATACAGCTCAACCCCAGCAATGCTTTCGAATTTCTGCAGCAGCTCCAATGCCCTTGCCGTCTTGAATGGAAAAACAGTCAGCTAATTTCATGAAACATATTACAAAATCTACTAGAATAAATTGATTTGTTTATGTGCCAGTGATTGATTAATTTTTAACAAAACATTTCCAGTGTACTTCAAAAATACCCTAAAAGTTAAATTAAGCCTCGGGGGGCTTATTAATTTTTTCAGTCCTAGAGGTGGGCTTAAAAGAGGGGGCCTAATTAATAATTCAAAGTAGAAAAGTTATAGAAAGGTATTTTGTTATTTCACACAAATGTTCTTGAAAAGCTTTGCTAGCAGCTAAGAAAGTCAAGGAAATTTAATCAATTATAATGTCCTCATCTACATCATAATTACTAGCATCAATTGATAACCCTGGGACATCTTCTAAACAATTTCATCCTCTTGGACTCCTTCGAAAGAATCAACATCAGTATCTTCTTGACTTCTAAAGCACACCAGTAAGTTGTAAGGGAAATGTAGCAAAACTCACCGTCAAAGATTTATCAAACCAGGCATCTACAAAGCCTTGCAGCTGTTGCTTTAAAGACTCTATGTTCAATCGAAATTCTTCGTAGTCGGAATCGAACTGAAAACAATGACGGTATTCAAAACAAAGCATTTTTGTATAAACAATTGTCGAATGGTTGGGACATCACAACAGAGCAAAGAAAGCATGCTAAACTACGGTAACAAGAATGGACAATAAAACAATTTGGAATATTCTTGATAATGCAGCTTATCAAAGATGGATAAAAATTTGATCTTTGAAGAATACCTCACTCTTTCTGTGATCGAGTACATCGTATGACTTCTTTTTCACAGTTGAAACAATGGTTGTGTACTTCATTGCAATCGGCTCAATGCCCTGGAAGAGCACAATGATCAGCAATCAACACAAAACCTAAAGAGTTCTCAGCCAAACATTATTTTTAAAACCATCTCTGGAAAAAATAGCTTCTAGGTTGAAAAAAATTGGCACCACAGCCGTCATGACTGAGTTTCGGGCATAGGGAATGTAAGACAAGGTGTTTGCGAATAGGATAGGGGTGGCTGTAAGTGTTGCCTCAAAACTAAATTCTCGGGGAATGGGAGATATTCTAGATTTGAAGACATGTCCTTTTGCTAGACTATCAAATCTAATCCACATAGCTTTAATTGTAGTTATTTTTTAATTCATTTCATTCAACCGAAAATAACAACATTCATTTAGTAGCTAATTACACTTACTTAGAAGAGTCTGTCGTACAGCAGTACTAGTTTAGCATATGCGAATTAACGTGTGCATGTCAAACAGGTGAATAAATGAATTTACAAGGAGTACGAACAGAAAAAATATCATCAAACTCAATACAAGATTGCTAATGCTATCAATTCTAGCTAGAAAATGAAAGCCTAGAAATAAACTTGACATCAAGTAAAATGAAAAATCACCACTCAGTACAGATAATCCATAAAATCCTTAGGGGTGGGGTGAGAGGGAATTCTTATCCGCAAAACAGCTATCGACATGTGGACTTAAATTTCAGTACAGACTATTTATACTGACACAACTTCACGTGGAAAAACAACTTGAAATTACTATCACCCTTGCATACGCAATTCTATTCTAACCTTCTTAAAGACTCGATTCTCTTTCTTTCTCCTAGGGCTAAATAAATTCAGGAAGAAATTCGTCAATGGATCCTGATAAATAGACTTTGCTTAAAGAAACTGAATGAAATGCGCATATACGTAGTTACATTAAAAATATGCGCAGAATGACCCATTTAAAATAAAGACGAAGGAAACTTCAAACCTCGATTTTGACTTCTGGTAGTTTCGAGAGATTGTCAATGGTTGTAAGCATGTCATTTAACTTCTCAAGACGTTTACAAAAGGCATCAAACTTTCCAAATATGTAGTTTTCGCTGGAATGGAAAATAACTGTATCAGTTAGAAAAATTATAACAAAGACATTGTAACTGCAAGACCTAGGCCTTATATTGAACATCGTGGCGGCTTTGAGATCAACGAGAAACTTTGAAACCAGTGCAAGAAACAAGGAATTTCGAAGTGAGCCATAAGCTAAACGATATAAGACAATTGCAAATCAGAGCTTGATTCTACCATCACGATATCAGAGACATAAAATGAGCAAAGAAGGCAAATAATGCATCCTGCGAGCCTCGCAGGCAAGAAATTTGCAATCTGCTAATGGATGGAACGAAAAATACCTGAATTCAAACTGCCTTTCTTTTGGGTTTTCTTTCAACTTGTTCTTGGTTTTATGAAAGCATTTCTGATATTCCTCGTTTAATTTTATGCACTCATAAAGACGTTCAGATAAAACTGGCCTAAATGAAAAGAGAGTTTATATTTAACTGGGATAAGAATAAGACAAAAAAGCAATAAAAATGTGTTTTTAGATTGACATGAATAGAAAGAAGACGAGCCAGCAATTTGTGTAGAAAATATTCATGCATACTGTTAATATAATTTAGAACAAGTGATTCTAATGATTCAATGCATGCAAAAAGCAGCATACAGGCCCAGGAAACCTCGATTTAGAGATGTTTAGAAATTCATTTTTCACCTGGGTATGTCCCAGATCTTGGAGGCGCCTCTGTTTATGTAAGATTTGCAAGTGGTTATCATTTGATTGGTTATTTTCACAAAAAGTGACGTCATCCTTTCTGACGTATTGTAATACTGCGAGATGCTGTGGATCATACGAATCGCGTTCATCAAGCTTGGGATGTGTTCGATCATCTCTGTCTGAAAAAATCAAGGGAAGAAAAATTACATTTGAACAAGGAATCTGAGTAAGCATCATGAACCAATCTACTGTAAGGTGCGTAATACTTGTTGCCTACATATGACATTGCGCGTGATAATCGAAGTGGCATCAAAGAGCTACCCTGTTTTACACACCAAGCATAAGATGGATATTACAAATCTTACTTAACATCTAGCACTTGGAATATTATATTTGGTTAACAAATCTTTTTGCTTAAGAAACACATTTGTCTTGTAACTTTTGACTTTTTGAAAAGGAAATGATTTCGTTTGTCAATTTAAGGGAAGTCATCGCCCTAATCTTAAAGTCGCCAATCAGAATCACTTCAACCATCAAGTTATTACATTCAAAAAACAATTCTTGTTAACGGAAAGTATACAAATCTTGATGGCAGAAAAATGCAAAATCTGTGCATCAATGCTTGGGTTTTCAACTAGAAACTCGGTGGACTTTCTGCATCAAAATTTGCTCACCGGTGAATGCTTTACAAGTGGCACAAAGAATTTGTCGAGAGTGTACAAATATTTCACATTATCTTTGGCTTCATTGGCAGCGTCTGTAATCCTGCTGTCAAGCTCTCTCCAGTATCGAAGGCTTTTTGAGCGAGCAGCGTATAATGTACCGATGGCAGCTTTACAGTGTGGGCTCTTCAATTGATCCAGCAGGCTGAAAAAACACAAAGTTATCACGTTAATGAAATGCTCAAAAAGTGACGTTATTAGGAAATTTTGGTGTAACAGATACAATTGACTAAAAAGAGCAACAAAATCTTGGAACCTGTTAAATTTGGCCATTCGTTTTCGCCAGTGGTCTAGCTCTGCACTTGGGCCAATGTCGTCTGCCTCTTTCCTCATCTACAGTGAAACAAATTTGGTGTAAATTAAGGACATTGTCACTGAGTCAAAGTTTTTAAAACTATTAAAAAACATGTGCTACAGAACTTGTGTGGTACTAAGCAAATGACACGTCAATACCTGTTCACTTTCTGCCAGAACCTGTTCAATTTGCTTTGTCCAGACTGCTACAAGGCCTTCAATCTGTTCCAATAAGTCCGAGTTATTCCCTAAGGGATGTATCAAAGGCAATTAGATATTTCACTTCCAGCTGCACATAAATAGAAAAAACGAAAGACTAGAAGAAACACACTGATACCTGCTTGAACATATTCTGACGGAGTCCTCATATTGGAGAGCGTGTTTGTGAGGTCACCAGCGTCTAGCAAAACCCTGTAATGAAAACACTGAATTTTTAACCAAACCAAGAAGACAATGTCAGGCGCAGATTCTAATTTTTCAGTTTGCTGTCGAAATAATGAGCTATTATAAAAAACCATCTGGGCGATTGCATGTAAATTTAAAAAAGATGCAATACTATTGCATTGAATATTCTGCTTGTTGAGGATTTCTGCCAAAAACCAAATTCCAAAACAATCTAAAAGACACACGGCCAAACGGCTTTCAGAAATAGCTATGAGAAGCACACAAATTTCTTACCTTCCAGCCATGTTTTCTCTTGCAGTAGAAAGGATCCCAACGAACTTTCCAAGGGACTCAACGAATTCTGTATTTGATGTTTTCGAATGATCTGCAAGCTTACCCCAGTCCTGGAAAAATGACGTCATAGCTGGCAATGGGAAATGAATATGGGCATAAAAGTTGATAGCAAAAATAAAAATAAAAAACAAAGTGTGTGTTGGGTTTGCATTGGTATCACTTTTTTACTTTGGTCATCACCTGCCATTTGTTTTAACGTTGCGGACAACAGAACGGAATTCTGGTCTTTTGATGCAGAACCCTTTGTGATATTTTATCAAAGTACGCCCAAAATGCTACAGGCTCCTGGACCAAATTCAAAATAATAACAATAATAATAACAATAAGAGCTTATAAATTCACCTTCTTATCCAAGTTGTCCTTAAACTGCCTGTGACATGATTTTCGTACTTTTGGGTTTATATATCCATTCTTATGTAAAAAGGCCTGTTATTTTCATTTCCGAGGTTAGCTTTTACGTTTTGTGATTAAGGACGGAGTTATTGGCGATCTTCTACGCCAAAAATCGCCATCTTGGTTTTCAGAATGAGTAGACTGTGACGTCACGGGAGGGACCCGATCGCCTCCTCCTTTGAGTTTTTGTATCGTAGTCAATGAGGGAAATCTAACAGGTCCAAGATGAGCGATATTTCCAGAGAAAGTAGTGGCAGCGAGGGTGATATTTTATAAGGTAGTGGTTATATTGTTACAATAACGAGTTCCTCCCATGATGTCACAAGAAAACGGCGAATGATGATAAAGCGACTTGGCTAGGCCGCACTATTTTGCTTAATTTCAATATCAAAACGCTTTTATTTCAAAAAAAAGTTCAGATCTACTATAAGAGCAGTGCAACGTTTTAATTAAGAGAATAAAAAAAATCATGTCACAGGCACTTTAAGTTTATAAGCGTTTTATGATTATTCAAGTTCAGCTACGGAGTTACTTTTACGCAGTTACCTTGCAGGCGCTCAGAGATGGGACAAATATGCTCTGAAAAACTGATTCGAGTCCTTCAAGAAGTTTGCCATTGGAGCAGTCCATCATCATGAAATTCACATCCTGATAAAAGAGAAAGCCACTATAAAACATGCAAATCTGGCTGACACATTTCAAGATACATTTCATGATCTCAGGCAATTTCCTTCTGGCTCCCTTCAAAGATGATTTTGAAAAAAGGAAGGTTGTAATTTACTGAAACGAGGGAGCAGATGAATGGGCCTCAAAAACTGAAATATTTTGGGATGATTCAACGATTTTCTATCTTTAGATCCAACGATCTTTAGATTTTTCATTTACAAAATGACCGACATCAAGTATCTAAAACTGCAGACAGAACATAAACTAAAAATATATTTATCAACGCAAGGGCTTCAAGTCGTACGATACTTTTGCTGAATCAAGGAATACGGGGCTTTAAAGCTAGAGGTAAAAACAAACAAATCCTACTATACGTCAAACTGCAAAACCGCTAAATCAAAGCTGGCAATTACCTGGGCGACTGACTGCGTAGTCACAGGTTTGCTGTTTGAGTTTCGCAAAAAGATGTAACAGACTCCAGTGAGTGCCTGTCAAAACATAATGGAGAGCCTGGTTATATCAACGCCACTCAAAAATACTACGCACACCGGTTTTAGAAAAGTAATATATTTAATTGACAATGAAATGTCCCTGATCCCCACCCCCACCCCTTCTTGCCATTGGATAACAATAAAATAAGAAATTACGTATACCATATTAATCACTAAAAAATTAAACAAAACACAATAAAAAGGCGTTCGGGTGGAGAGGTTTGATTGTTCAGAACAGTTTGAAAGACAAAACTGAACAAATTAAGGAACTACCTCGGCTGAACTAGTACCAATTACAAGTTTCTTCGGCATAGCTTGAATGTGCGGGGACAGATCCGAACGGTGAAGCTGCAATGAGCAATGGATAAATACATACGTTAGCTAAGAAAGAAACGTGAAATAGGTTTCTCTTACTTTTACTATTGTCATTAAAGAAGTGATAGTGCGACTGATAAAAAATGGAAAGTATAATACTTACACCAGGAACCTCTTGATAATAAAACGAGAGACTTCTGTTGCCATTTGGTTCAAAGAAGTTTGTCATTACATCATACTTGAAGACAAAAAACCATCTTTCATCAACATTTTGCATTTTTCATAAATGTTACATTGCAGAGGATATGTTGATAGATTAAATGGTTTATTCAATGACACAAGATTTGAAATCTATGATTATGTCTGAGATTGGAGCACCAAATTGCACAGCTTTAAATGCTCTTAAAAGAAGAAAAGTACAGGGAAAAATAGCATTTAAGGGCACTTCACTTACATTTTCATCCCCCAAAAGGAAGTCCTCAACAACTGACTGATCTAAAGGTATTGAGTCTGCAAGCTAAAACATGATAAGCTGTTATGAGAGTGGAATTTTACAAAGCAACATAAAATTTGATAGGAATAACCAAGTCATCAGCAGAAAAAAAGCAGTCCTGGCTTGGATCGCAGATAAAATTTTTGAAGTTAAAGAAATTAACTTGGGAAAAAATCAACTCACTCTGGAAAGAATATACATATGTCTTGCATCCATCTAAGCGAAAAGAGAAATATTTAGAAGTTATCAGAAGATACAAGGCTTTAATTATGATGTAAAATGTTTGCTTTTCCAAAAACCATTTTCAAATTTTGTAATACCAAACAATTTCTCATATCAACATTAGAACAATTAATATAACATCATGTATGTTTCATAAGCAATTTCTGAATATTCCATCCTTAAGGGCAATTGTTGCTAGTTTTAAACAAAAAGTCGCTAGTTTTTTGGCTGGAAAGAAGTTTCAAATTCTTTGTTTTTAACCAATCAATGGTTATACAAAAACAAAGATGTTTTTGTGATATTAAGTGTTCAAAGCAAAAAAAAATCACAAGCAGAGAGAAATACTGTAGACAAATTTGATACTTTTTACAGCGGTAAAATCTTAATATAGATAGTGATCTGATCTTAATATCAACAAGACTGAGTCACAAAAGCCATTAACTGCAGTGAAGACAAAACCTGAGAGAATTTTCTTGCATATGATGCAGAACATTATCTGATGAAAACTTTGACTTACAGTGGTCCTTCGGTCACTTTTCAAGCTTCTCATTTGCTTTATCATATCTTTTGCAGCTTCCATAGATACTGTTATCTTTCGACTTGCCTAGAAACCAAATAACACAATTAACAATTATACACATTGACCAAGCTCCATATTACATTCTTTCCTCTAAATAAAATAAGAAAAACATTTACATTTGGTTGCCTTAAGCAAATTCAAAGTTTTCAATTTCAAGCAGGCAAGGAAATTGACCTAGCTCATTTATTGGAAGAGCACTCAATCTTCTAAATAAAACAGTAAAAACATTTAAAATTTGGTTGCCTTATGCAAGTTTACTTCTCTCAAGGTTTTCAATGATAAGCAGATACTGGAAATATGATTTGGGGTTCTGTACAATGTTGAGAAAAGCCAAACATTAATCCATTCTGGTTATTAGAGAATAGATATAAATTCCTAATTATATGAGGAGCTGTTCATTAGTTTTGTTAATACGATAGCAAACTTTGACTAATTACAAATTGACTAATTTTTCCAAATGAACTGGAACTGGTAAAGATTAGAATACAACAAATATCTTTTTCTACCTCTGGAATATACCATTATTTACTGACAAGAAGGCGAAAAATAGGGCACTTGAGGGATTCCTCTCTTCAGCACCATTCTAGGTGAGTAAAGGCCAACATATTTTGAAATTGCAACAATACTTATTCCTTTTATTTTTGAAAGACATGTTAAGTAAGGCTAGTGTCAAATTGCGTTTACTATAACAGGAAACAACAAGAAACAACAAGAAACAACAAGAAACGAAAACAAACGAGAAGAAACGATAAGGAAACAACATGAAACGATTTGTGACTTTGAAGAAACGACTAGATCTCCAAAACGAGGCAAGCTCATCCATCCACGTTGGCATTGTCATCTTCGATGCAGTGGCCTAAGTGTGCGGTCATGTTGTTCTCCACCGCAAAAGCTGTTGTCTTAGATTAGGTTACGGAAACCCAGTGATAATGCTTACTTATGTTTCTACAAAGCTAATTTTAGCAAAAGAAACAGAAACTAAAAGAACAAACTCCAATATACTAGAGGAACAAGCTGTATAGGTTGACAATCTACTTCTTGAACAATGTTTTGCTTGGGAGCCTAACCCTAAAGCCTCTATAAAGTTTCAGTAAGTTCCTAAAGCAACTGAATTCAGAGCGAAGCTTGATTATTAGCCGAGAATTTAAATTGCTTTATTTTGACCTTCCCGGTAGTTGGTCCATGTTAATCTCAATGCCAGTGAGATTTGCTCTTACGATACTGGCCCTTCATATCAGGCTTTCATAGTTTAATTCCTCTTACAAAAATACCATATCAATATCTACCATCATAGCTTTTAATGCAGGATTTCCACTAAATAAATAAAATTGTGCCACAGTTAAAATTTTTCCAAGTCGTTTCTAATTGTTTCTACTTGTTTCCAAGTTGTTTCTTACTTTTTTCCTAGCTGTTTCTACTTGTTTCTTCTTGTTTCCTAGTCGTTTCTACTCATTTCCCATTATAATAACCATGAGTGTCAAATAGCATTTGGTTTGAACTCTCTTCATAACACTGTTTGTTTTTTTCTCATTGACCAGTCAATATCAAATGCATAAAAACTAATTAGCAATACCTGAGCTTGTGATGAAGCATATACAACCTTTGGTGACTTTAAAGGCTGCCTTGATTTCTTTGTCTTCTTGCTGTCATCTACAATGAAATGTTCAAATAATGCTAAAAATAAGTAATTGACAAGGTTTTTTATTACAAAGTACCCTGTAATTTCCATTAACACAAAAGAGAGTGTGTTCAAGAAAGGAGAGAAAAACTAGATATCCCCAGCAAGCATTTAAGACATGCAGCCACAAAGCCATACAAATCATGGAAGCAAGCCTCTATATTCAAAATTCATTCATAGCTGACCAGATTTGCCTGATTTCACAATAAAACTTGTCTCACTGGTTAAAAAAATGATTCATACATAATAAATGAACAAGATTATGTGTCAAATAAAAGGTTTAGCTTGAGGCCTGCATGAGGACAAAGGTTGATGGAAACTGAAAGAATCCCAGAAATTCTCTTCATTCCCCTAAATAATTAATTACAAACTAGGTCTACTTGATTTTTGTGGTACTATCTCAATTTACAGTTAAAGCTGTTGGTTAGAGAACATTCTGCATTTGCAACACAACATAGTTTTTCTCTTATTAAGGTCTGTCTGGTTCAAAACCTTTATAGGCTTTAAAACGGCTTTGATTATGCCGCTACATGCATCATTTAACATAAAAGTGAGGTCTGATAGAAAACATTTGACATAAAGCAATGACCATATAATGTTTGCCTAGGTATGTGCTTACATGTATATATTTTAACAAAAGCATTACATATTAAGAACTCCTGAAAGAGGGATGGTGTCCCTAAAAAAACACTGTAGAGGTGGTTCTGGGGGCCCATCTCTACTATTAGCCCATTAGTTCTATCTATGACCATGACAACAAACCAAAACTCAGATATTGGGATAGTTGGAGGGTCATGGTAGCCAACCTTCTGATAGAAGATGGTACTTGATGATGATGATTACATATTAATTAATACTCATAGTGGAGGCAAACTTTTACCATAAAAAATATATGTGATTTTGTAAATTTATTACAAGCACGAAGGCTAATAATTTAATATATGCAAAGAACATCCAGTTACCAACTGCAAATGATAAGGATTTTGTTAGAAAGGTTTCAGAACCATTTAGGACCTTGATCAGATCAGATATGTTGTAAATAATATTTGGATTCATGGAAATTCATATACATTTCTGTTGGAATAAACTTTTACAACCCATATTATGATACTGGATATCAGGTTGAGGGGAAGCCCCTTGAGGATTTACTTTAAACTGCATGCTTGCTGGTCATAAAAAATTTCTTGTTACAGTCCCTCAGCAAACAAGCAGTCAATCCTTTCAAAGTCAGAAAATTAGCGCGCAATGGAAATTCTGGAGAGCATATGGCATAGGAATGCAGTGACTGAAAAACCAATGTATCCTATTTATTTGTTTATAAGCTGTGGGATTATTATATTCGACGAAATGAACACAAAGTGATATTTAATGAAACAAATGAAACAGGCTCAATAACTGCAAAACTACTTGGAGGATAAAAAAATCCAAGAAGTTTGTTGCAAAATGTGTGAGAATTCTGCTTTGATGCGTGTGAGCATAAGCAACAACAGAGAAGCATGTGTCTAACGCAAAATGCGTGTGTCTCATGCAAAATATGTGTGACTTGGTAGGTCTACCGTCAGGGCACTCGGCTTGAAAACCTTTTGGTTCTCTCAGTGTTCTGGGCAACTTGTTAAAAATTATATTCGATAAATCATATTGCATCAATCGATTTTTATCTTTGTATCTTTTATTAGGACATATTTGGTTAACTTATATTTGATAAATTGTAAGTATGTTGCTGAATTACATGAATTTGAATTTGTTAAAAATTGATAGCACTTGATATGTTCAACTTAGTGCAAAATTCCAACTTTATATCTAAAAATATGTATTGTTTGTATGCTTTATAAGGTCACATACCAATTTTATATTGCATATTGGCTTGCTATGAACCACTTGTTGAAAAAAGATGACTAAAACACCATTTGAGATTTTTTTGCATTCTTAGGAATACCAAAAACATGTCATTTGTAAAAGACATATACAATCTACCTGTCAGTTCATATCTGTCAATAGACCTTGCTTGAAACAGTTAAAGAATCTGCACTAACAATTCTCTACTGTTCAATCAGGTTAGAAGCAAGATGGTAGGACTGGGGAATCAAGCCATGGGCAATTAAGAGTCATGATAGCGCTCCTAAGAGACAAAAATTAAATTGATGATGATCAAGTGACTGGGCAACATTCGAAATCAATTCTAACCACCACTGATGAAAAGAAAAAATGACTTCATAAATGGTAAAAACCTTAAAACAATCAGTTTATTGGTAGAGTTCAAGTTTTATATTGCTTGCCCTTTAAACTCAATTATAATTTCTTTAGTGTTTGGAAGGGGGAGGTTTCAAAATGACAACACACAGGTTTCGTCACGAAGCCATTCAGTGCCTTGAACACATCTTGCACAGCCAAACAGCGTCTTCTACTTCTGCATATTTCCAAAAAAGTTCCTTCCCAGTTGCAAAGACAGTAGTGGGTCTAGGGGTTAAGTTATCTGGTAGCTGGCTGCTCTGTTGCTTTGCGGGCACAACATCTACCTACCATTTTTATTGGCATTTTCGTCTGTACCGCCTGAACTTTCACTCTTCCCATCCATTTTTGCAAATCGTCGTGTGAGCAAAATTTAACGTGTTTGATAACAAATAAGGCTTGTGTTTACATAACTATTAGACTGGAAGTAAACTAATCAATGCATTTAAGGCTCATAAGATCAAACATCATGCAGCGAGTCCTTGGTAACTGGACGCACAACTAAGATAGCAGTTTATTGTCCAATCCTTAGACTACCTCTATTGTTCTATCAGCTACATATTCCCGTCTTCTTGTATCTATGACAACCATGTAGTCGTTACTGCCACGGAATAAAGTCCTTGAAAGCCGCGGACACATCTTCCCCAAGGCGAGTCAAATTTTCATACACGGGTAGGTCCATCCACATTTATCAAAATTCACCTAAACGTGTCCAAAACAAATTAAAAGAACCGAAATGATCAGCTAAAAAGTGCTGATAGGACACAAAAATATCAAAAAGGACCATCGTGTTGCTGAGCACATTAGAGACCACTTGTCATAGTAATTCAAAAGTAAGTTTATAATAATCAGTTTCAACACATCTTTTATTTTATTTCTGTTTTTGATATTTTTATCTGGTTGTTGAACCTATAAGTATTAAAAAGGTATATTATTAAATCAGGTACTCCGAAGTATCACATATAATCACGAGGAAAATTCTTACACGTAATTATCGGATTTCGCTACATATCAACTTCATTGATTTTAAAGCTGCATTTGACACGGAATAGAGAAAAGCTTTATGGAAGATGCTAAGAGCTTTAGGTGTGGAAATATGATTTTGAACATCCTCTATGAATACACAGAATGCGCTGTGTAATAAACGCCCACTTGACTGGTTTGTTCCAAGTTAAAGTAGGAAAACGGCAAGGATGCCTGTTATCACCAATCCTCTTTAATCCCAGGGTTTATTTTAACGTGCAGTAAAAGCCAATATATGCAGTGATAAATCATAATTGCGCAGCGAAAAACTCAAATTTGTGCAGTGATAAAACTAAGAAAAAGAGATTTGGCATTAAAAAAGCAAAATTGCAGCAACTACCAGTAGACACATAATGCTTATAAAAGAGCATTACAAAATTAAAAAGGACAACATAAAAGTAACAATGATCTTAATCTAGGAAATCTCTTTGAAATTTGTTCATTATCAAAAGCTTTTGAGTTTTGTTCATAATCCAGTTAGTTTGATAGGTGGGGTCATGAAAATTCTCAAAAGGCGACACCCAAATTTTCAAAAATTTTGAATATGTGCAGTGATAATAATTCCTTAAAGTGAACCAGGTTAGTGTTTGATATCAACTTTCCTGCATAAAAAAATGAATGTGTTTATGTTCCTGAGCCGATTTTCTATACCTTAATTAACAACAAGTTGATTCGAGAGTTCGACTCAAATCAGCAAATTTGGTTTTGTAAATGCTTAGATCTAGTAGAGATGTGCTGCGAATTCAGTGAATCTAGTGAATCAGAATCTGTTGAATTTTGAGTGTTTCAAATCTTCGTGAGTGATCATTACATGTTTTTTGCGTTGGAAAATTTAATGTTTCTTTACAAAAAGAACACAAAATGATCAAAAGCCGTAGGATGAAAAACTTTAACGAGCAGGCATTTCTGGATGATCTTGCTGCAATATCTTGGGACCAAGAAATTTGAGATCCGAACGGTGTAACTATCCTTTTGCATTGTAAACGTGCAGAATCAGCTAAATATGTTACGAATTGGTTGACAAATGGCCACATGATCACACGCTCTTTCTCCATTGAAGATTAAACCTTATGAACAAAGCCAAAATAAAAGTAATCTCTTAGCAAACTTGAAGTCTTTGACTGGCCATATCTTACCCAATTTTCGCCATATTTAGCTAATTTTGCATATTTTTAAGTATTTCATGGTGTTCTTTTATATCAAAAATCAATTCTAAAAATAGCTCACTGCGACATCGTACTAAAAAGCAAAATTCGTCTCAAACTTCGCTAAAAAATCTATTTCACTCTACACAAAAATTCTTGAACCCCTCCGCTTCTGCAGCGGCCCCCCCCCCCCTTCAATATATGAGTGTTAAGTTTACAATAAATTCTAATGGAGCAACAAAAACTGATTAAAAGCTTCCAAAGAAAAGCATATGCAATGTGCAGAAGTCAGTTTCGTTTATGGGTGCTATACTCACGGCCGTCTCCAGAGGGGAGGGGGGAGGTTGCGGGGGTACGGCACCTTTTCTTGGAAAAGTCATGTCGGCAAATTTTCGAAAAATAAAGTTTTGTCGGGTTTTGCTTCCAAATTTCCCAAAGCAATAGCTTTACAAAACAGTGGGGATGAGAAGAGGATAAGAGCGAAAAAGTATCACGTAAAAGCCCTCAGCAATAAAAAATAGGCACAGATGGCGCTATGGATGTCACGGAGAGGCAAGTGTCCCCAAAAAATTTCGAATGACTCCCTGTCAGAAGCCGGGGTCTAGAACCTGGTAGACAATTATCGGCATAACTAGGGCCACCCAATTTGTACGTAAAGATTGGGGAAAATTCTTAGTTTATTGAAAAACAAGGAACGCTTATCCTGGAGGTACTGGAAGCCCCTGTGAGCAGGGCAGCCGAGAGGCAGGGTAAGGAGGCAAATTGCCCTAGGGCCGCTAGGTCTAGGGGGTCTCACAAATTGCTACTCCAAGTTATCGTTTTAAACCACAATGAAATGCATTTAAGAATGGAATTAAGGAAGTGTGGCAAAAAGTATGCCTAAATATAGCAAATCGTTCTAAACGATTGCCAAAAATGACTGCAAGAAATATTTTGAAGATAATCTAAAGGGCACGGTCGCAAAAATCTCTGCTCGTTACCCTCGCAGGGAGCCTAGTCTTTCGGTTTTCCCCCCAAGGCCTCCGAATCCTCTCGGTGGCTTGCCTCTGAGAACATACTTTTTGATGAATAAAATCAACTGTGTCAAAAGGCAACATCCAAAACCGAATATATTTTAGGCCACGCCCTACTTCAACAAATTGGTGACTGGCACCCCCCACTCCCCCTCCTGAATGTTTTTAGCGACGGCCCTGGCTATACATTCGAATAGCCTAGATACCGAAGCTAAGCAGGTAACCTCTCTGATTAGATTCAAAACTTTACTCTCAAAATTGTTGCTTTTAATGTAAAAATTTGACATATTAAGAGAACTAGAAAAGATTAAACAGGTGAAGATATAATTATCTAAATGAATCAGAATCATTTACAAAGTGAGACACCTCGAGCAAAAGGACACTCTGACATCCTTTACTTTACATCCTTTATTAAGATAAACGCACTAAATGAAACACTCAACGGTGGATGGGCAAATAAATCATCGACTGAACCAATAGAATGTAACTTGTGTGAAGCTATTCGGGGAATAGCTCTTGCAAACTTTACTGTAATAATGACCCACTACTTAAGCGTTTCAAAATACTTAATTTCAATAAAACTTACAGAACAATTAGAACTATTGAAAATTGATTAGCCGACACAAAAAATGGCATAAATCATCATAAGGCAAATATTTCGCCGTGGTTTCTCTTTACTATCCAAATCTATTTAAAAAGAACTTTGCTACTTTTCAGGGAATCAAATTCTAGAACCCCTTTCCAATAGAATTGAAAATTATTTCAAACTGTAAACGAAATATTTGAGAAAAGCGATCAAGTTCAGTTTGGACACCAATCTTTTCACTTTCTACTTTTCTTTTCCTTCCTTTCTCTTACTGTGGTCATCGTTTCCTGCCATTTTATCAAAAAATATGAAACACAGAAATTTGAGTCTCTGACGATATCTCAACCTTTTTATATGAAGTGCCTATTTTATTTTTATATCTTTAGGCTTCTTTTGATATGCACGACATCGCATTCTCGTATATGATATATGAGAGATATTTCAAGACGCAACCCCCCGAAAGATTGCAGCATTTCAGATGCTTGTTGGTATACAAGATCAGCACATGAATCTAATCCATTTACCATTTTGTCGTTACCTGGTGTTAGATACTTTGAGAACTAGCGCGCCGAAAAAAGCTACTCTTTGGTGGCAAACAACTTTTGGTGTCATAAAAACTGCTCGATTTGCTCCTAAGGCACTACACAAAGGCAAAAACAATACAAGACTGCTATGGCATTGGAAGCATCTCATTACACTCTTGTTTCCGGCTTCACATCGCAATAGAACATTCACTCGTACCAATTCTCTATGAATACTTTGTTGTTTGGCAATAGCAGTATTGGCAATGTCTTAGCAGTATTGGCAATGTCTTTTTCGTCTGCAGCATTGGCATAGTCTATAACTTACTATTTAATGGCTTTTCTTCTTAGGCTTCGGTTCGATTTCAAATGACGCGGAAACCTTCACATTAATATGTACAGTTGCTGCCTCCACCCGCGCATTTATTCCTTGATCCCGCGTACTGCCATCAGTTGATGTAGCACCTACCACTTCGGAAGAGCTTTCCTCTATAATTTCAATCGCTGAGCCAAGCTTTTGATTAAGAAATTGTGCGATTGCTTCAGCCTTCATCCGGGCATTTTTGACAGCATTCACGACGGCTTGTCGCCTGCAAAGGAAGAGCAAAAAGAAACCTCTAAAGTTTTTCGAGGTTTATACACTGACTTTCTCAACAACGACAAACTCTATCTGGTATTCTTATCGGTGAAAAGGTTTGCCTTCCAGTTCCACTCTCTGGACAAACCAATGAGTAATTCATTGGGATTGTACTTGGGCTGATATTTGCCAGCACTATATTGCAAAAAAGATTTGAGCAACGTTGCCTCTATAAATTAAAATGAAACATTTTTCTTCAAGTACCTTCAAAACTAGCTATTTTGATTGATAATTTGGCTTTCAACTGAAGGGTAAGACAAATAAAATCTCAGTGTGAAATGGGTGTAGCATAAAATATTAGTCTGGAGGACATTCCAAAGAAACTTTGCTTATGGCAAAAAAAGTGAAGTTGCAGATTACAAGTTAATCTTTGTCTTACATATCAGACATATCAAACATACCTCACAGCATCAAGCTTTCCTTTTGAATGGCTAAAAGATGGTTTGCCAACTACCACATTTTCATCAAGTTTTTCCACTAAGAAATTGCAAACATCTTCACATACTTTAAAGTCAAAAAATTGGACATTGATTTCCAATTGCACTTGGTATTGGTCATCTACACGTTCCAATGATCTGTGGGTACTAAACTGGGAGTCCTTAATGCCATTGTTACGCAGAGTTTGGAGGACATACTCAGCCCTCCTTTGAACACTGTGCTTTGCCGCTTCCACGGTACCCTTGATAACAAAAGTAATAAAAACGCAATAATACCTACAGAAAGGTATGTGCTCTTGTATATCAATTGATTTTTTGCATATAAACTTTTTTGTATAAGAATAAATTCCAGAAGAATATTAAGGCACAATTAAGGCACAATTGCTGAGATTCAAGAACAATTTAAGAATAATGCAACAATTGATCTATTCCATCTTCATCAAGAATTAATTTTTTTGTTTATTTGATTTTTTTGGAAAGCAAATTAGACCCCGTTTACACGAGGCCTGGACCAAATCGGATCCAAAAGTATCCGATCCCTGAAATGGCAATGCTTTTACACGGGCCCGATCCAGAACCATTTGCGCTTACACGGGAACAGATCCAGATAAATTCAACAGGTTACGCGCATGCGCTTTTCGAAAATTGGCGCTCATATGACGTTTACAGAACTTCGTGGGTGATAAAAACACAGTTCAACCTCAACATGGAGGGAGGTAACGCTAAAAAGGGTAAATTTTCATTGACCGAAGAAAAAACTGCGCTAATTTGAAAAGTAGTATTGGACTACAAAACTTCAAAGCTTGCAGGTGGACAGAATTGAGAAAATATGAGGACAAAGTATGACAACATATCGTCAAAATTTCGTAATAATTCTTCAACACAGTAGTCTATTAACTTGATGTCGGTTTTCTGGCGCCAAATAGCCACAGATTATATATTCAAACTACCTTCTGATCTGGATCAGATCCGCCCGTTTACATGGGATCTGGTCAAGATCGGATCCATACAGGATCACATCTGAAAGCAATCCCAAAAGTGTTTGGATAGTGGATTCAAAAGTATACAGATCCACCAGATCCCATGTAAACACAAGACCTATCCGTACTCTTTTGGATCCCATCCGGTTCCGATCTGCTCTCATGTAAACGGGCCTTAAATGCCAGTTTCACGCTATACGTCTTGAAATAGACATATCTGGCCTTGGAGTCATTAAAACTATAATGCAACCAGGTTATACCTTTTGTCGCTTAAGAATATAAATTTAAAATTGAGGAATATTGAGGTTCAGCAAACAATTAGGTATTCTTAAAAAAAGTGTGTGTATCTATCAACTTTCAAATAACCCATGAAAACAGCCTGCCAGCTATGACAAATATCCAAAGAACCCTAAGCAAGCACTTGCTGAAAAATACACCTAAGTTTTGTATGCTTTGTATTTGGATGTTTCTGCTTATGTCACTACAAACATGATCATAAAAAATTAATTGAATCGTAAACATTGATGAGAAATTTCAAGAGATGGTAATAAGGACAGAAATGATGGGTTAATAAGGGGTTATGTACCTTTAGACTTTTGTACGAAATAAAAACATTGGCAAGGTCAGGTAGAAGTTCAGCTTCACCAGAATCTGTAACTGCCACTCTGTTAGTTGCCTTTGATACATCTCCACTTTTATCCAAAAGGTCTTCTTTCATTTTAGCTACATCATTTGTAAAAAACTTTCCAAATGTTTGAGATGGACCAAACCATTGATGAGACATCTATTGAAATACAATGCCATCTTATTTTCAACATAAAAACAAATTGAAGATCATGGTACTACAGCTTCGAAATAGCTGCCTCTACATGATAGAATTGATAATGATCTTATCTGTGAACCCAGCAACAAATGCAACTGGCAAAAGATTCAACCTTCTCAACACCAGAAGAATCAAAACTGGCTCTTTTGGACAAAAGCACCAGGAAAAATCAGTTCAGTTCATTTTTAAAAAAAATCCATACATGCAAATCTTTTAAAATACAACAACAGGTTACAAAAGATGAAATAAATTACATACAATGAGAAAAATAGAGAACAACAAATATTGATAATTTTACAAAAACCAGGGAGATTTGCATGCAGGAATTTCTTAAAGGAGGAGCTCTCTCAATAGATAGAAAAAGAGAGGAGAGAGAAAAGATTCAAAGAGAGGTTTGATTGCCTAAGGAGCTCAATGAAATTGCAAACCAGTTTATAATCCTGACTTAAAACTACCTTAACAGTATTGGAAAGTTGCATGTCATAAGACTTTTTGATGACAAATTTACCTCTTTGTTTTGATTATTAGGATTATCCCCAGACAGCAACAAACAATGTACTCACATTCATCCTACACATTATTTGCATGTAACTTTATTCTGCTTTCTCCCATCAATATCCTATAGATGCCAAGAAGCATCGATCTCAATTCCCAGAGAAATTACCTCAAGCACAAATATAAAAGTTTTGAAAGCAAAGGTCTATCAGCCAATTCTCGCTTATGCAAATTTGCAAACCATTTATAGGACAAGTGAGCAAAATGGGTTTCATAACATTGTGACCCATTTTGACAGGTAGGACAGGAAACCCATTTTGAATACTGAAATGTTAACAAGTGCGTAATAATGTGCTAGATACCTTACCAGCAGAGATAAACACCCTTTTAATGTATAGTAGCCACTTATAGAGCCAGTTATGGAAAATATAGTTCAATATAGTAAATTTTTAAATATGCAAAACCATGGGCCTTGTTGCTATTCATATATTACTGTAATATAAGTTGCTACCTTGAATCAACTCTTAAGCATCTTTAAATTATTTGTTTTGTTTTTAAGTTATGCAAAACTTTGCTTAGCTTTCATTTTGCTTTTTCTTTGTTAGAAGAAAATATGCTTTCCTGAATGCTGACAATAAAACTCAAATGGCCAACCCTTCAAGAAAGGCACTTTGTTGCAAGGTCATGTCTCTTCCATAAGACAGTAAATGATAATATTGCTGTTAACATTCCATCCTACATAATGGCACCAATACAGCTTCAAGGAATACAGGCAACTTAAAGAAGAGACATTTAAGAGGAAGCTTCAGAAAGAAATTGAACTGAAGAACATAAACATTGTTAATCCAAGGACGCACAGTGTTCACAGACAGGTCAAAGGATTGCCTTTAACTGTATAGATATTTCTTTCAATTCTATTCTAGCATGTATTTTTTATCATTAATTTGCACCTCTATTAATTCATAGATGCCACTGACCAATCCATTACCACAATGCCCTCTCAATGTTCCTTTTAATTTTTAGTCCCTTTTTATTCGAACACTTGTTTGTTTAATTTACTCTGATGAAGCTCTGTATGCCGAGTCAAAACATTAGTATTACTTAAATTTAATTTATTTTGAAAATTTTATCTTGTTACATTGGATTCTTGTCGTGGTATTGCTTTGTTACTGTATATCTTTCGTATTATTACTCATTGCAAGATTATTGTTCGGCAGACAGCCTATCCTGCAGTTCTTCTATCTTACACAACATATTATTTTTGCATTTTGAGTATTATACCGATACTCAGTCCTGCTCAGTATCAATGCAGAAGTAGAAGTAGAAAACATGTTAACAAAGCCACTTTTCAGCCTTGACACATTAATTGAAAAGTTACACAGATTTGCAAAGTTAGAACAAATCATGAAGTTCTTGACAAGACCAATGTTGATTGACCAAAGATCGCCCTACTATTAGTTAACCTGTTGATTGCTCCAAGATTTTTCTTTTGGTTTTAGAAATTTACTCTGGTTCAAAGTCATTCGGTTTAAGAATGGAGTTAGAAACTAGGGGGTTAGATAAGCTTGAGAAAAAGAAAACATCAATTGGTGAATTAATTGATGGGAATTTTTACCACTTTTTTTTAAAAGAATCAATTATTCACAAATATTGATGAATTTTTAAAGTCTGTAAAAATTGCAATTTCGGGTGCAACATAAAGGCGACCGGCCTAGATTTCGACAATCACAAAACAAGCAGCTAGTAGTTCAACTTGCTAATACTAGAAAAATATTTTGAATATTGACCTTTGATTCTAAAGGAATATAAGCACACATTTGGAAAGCTGCAAATGTTTTATATTCTTTTTATACACTTTTAGCAGTCTTTTAAACAGCTTTATCATAAAAAGTGCACGAAGTGGGCGCGACGCCATAGTTCAAACCAGTCATACATACATATAAGACAATTTATACATATGACAGTCTCAAGTTTTTGGAACCCTTGTGATAGTATGTATAGAGGATAAGAAAGCCCTCAAAAAATACATTTGGCATCAGTACCTGGTTTCCAGCGGGAATTCAGCTTTCATAACAAAAGAGACGTCTTGACCCAAGAGCTTCCATAGTTCGTGTTGACAAAGATAAGGGTGCACAGCAACCATGTTCAAAACGAGGCTGTGCGTGTGGGGGCACCTCATTTTGCGGGGCGCACTGATCTCTACAAAAGACCCCACCACAGATCTTGTATAGATCAATGGTGCGGAGGAAGGAACTCACTAAAGTTTGTTGATTTTAGTTTTGAATAAAGCAAGTTTGATGGCAAAGTTTATAAAATCTGGTGATGAAGCCATGAAGGATAAGTTGTATATGTATAATGAACTTATTTGGGTGGGTGAAAAGGGATAGCTTTTGGATTCAATGATCTTCAATGAATTGATTATCTATAACCAATATGAAAAAAATGATTTTCTGTGCAACTCCTACGCTAAAACGTACAACAAACAAAGGGGAAGAAGAAAAATTAACTAAAGTTAACAAAGGAAAGGGGACCAAAGAGACGAGCTTTAAGCGTGCGTACTTTTAGAATAACCCCCCGAAACATACCTTTTTGTTAAAAAATCCTTTGGTTCAAGGGAGCGAAAAAATAAATTAGGCTTTTCGACCCTAATCATCTATAGGTTCTGTTATTGTTGTAATACCCGCGGATTTACATTAAAGGATGAATGCACAAAATTGTCATAGTATGTATATTGTTTTTCTTGAGTGGACTTGCTGCAAAGCAGTATTCACATAAAATACGATGTTCAGTAAGTACGATAAAGCAAAGTGTTTAATGCAAAATCTGTTTGATGTGATTCGACGAAAAGGTACATTAGTACTTATATCCACTTGTGATGTAATGCAATGTAATGTAATGTAATGTAATGTAATGTAATGTAATGTAATGTAATGTAATGTAATGTAATGTAATGTAATGTAATGTAATGTAATGTAATGTAATGTAATGTAATGAAATGTAATGTAATGTAATGTATTCATTGCACAGATCCTAAGTATAATAAAGGTTTTTAACTAGCAGTAAAATAAATAAATAATTAATAAAACAAAAAACCTATAAGTAAATATCACCAAATGTAAGTATAGTCCTTATTATATTAAATAAAATTAGGCTAGAAAATATGTACAAGCATAGAGATAAAAAATTACATTATATATATATATATATATATATATGACTATTGTGTTAGCCATAGTCTGTAAAACTACATTGATTTTAAGTTTTGCTTAAACTGGAAAAACGTTTTTGATTGCTTCACTCTTGATGGCAATTTGTTGAAGTCAGCAGTGGCTTGATACAAGAATGTTCTATGATGGCTCGCCGTTGTCGACATAGGTACGTGCAAGTGCTGTTGTTGTCTTGTATTTTACTCATGAATTTGTGAGTTTGCATGGAACAATTCAGAGAGATATTGGGGGCCTGCTTGTTTAGACATTTGTACAGTAAACAGAGCCTATGAGTCTTTCGTTGTTCCTCAAGCCTTTTCCACTGAAGTATGTTTAAAGCTGGTGTCACATGATCAAACTTACGCATCCCAGTAACTACCTTTGCCGCAAAGTTCTGAATTGACTGAGCTTTGTGTAGTTCTGTTTGTGACGCATTGCCATAGACATATCGCCATATTATACGCTTGAGAGTACACATGCTTTCACAACCTTCGAAAAAGTTTCTCTTTTCATACAGTTTCTGATCTGTTTCATTTGTATTAGCTTCCCTGCACAAGATTTCTTTAGCTGAGAGATGTGGCTGTTCCAGGAAGTGTTTGATCAATCTGCATACCAAGTATTTTAACCTCCTTTGCAGCCTCAACTCTATTGTCCTGAATATATATTTTTAAACATGATGGTGGAATTTTCACAAGTTGCTTATTTGTGCCAAATATGATAAACTGAAACTTGTCGGGGTTTGCCTTTAACTTATTTGCAGAAAACCACTCAAGTATCAAGTTAATATCATTCTTCAACATTGAGAGCGTTTCTTCAACCTTTTCAGCTTTGCAAGAGGAGTATAGCTGTAAGTCATCAGCATACCCATGTATATTTGAGTCATTAGATAATAGTTTCTTAAGCATGGCTGGTATCTCGTTTATGTACAGTATGAATAATGTGGGTTCCAGGACAGATCCTTGTGGTACACCGCAGGGGACATTTGCTGCACTTGACAATATGTTGCCGACTTTAACGCATTGAAGTCTGTTTTGGAGGTAACTGTTGAACCAAAACATTGAATGAGTGTCAAAACCATACTTAAGTAGATTTTTAAGGATTATTGGGTGGTCAATGGTATCAAATGCTTTGCTAAGATCCATCAGTTTTGTGGTTGTGATAAGGCCTTTGTCCACATTACATAAAATATTATCAGTTATGTTTATGAGGGCAGTTTGAATTGAATGATTCTTGCGAAACCCAGAGTAAAATTTTGTGAGAATATCGTTATCTTTCAGATAGTGGACCATTTGTGAGTTTACAACCTTTTCCATCAGTTTGGAGAGAAGTGGTAACACAGACACTGGACGATAATTTGCTATTGCAGTTTTAGCTCCAGCTTTAAAGACTGGAGTAATCGATGACGATTTCCATATCGAAGGGAACTGTGCAATGCTCAGGTTTGCCACAATTTTCAAAGATTTGATGTCAATGTTATCGGCGCCAGTTGCTTTATTAGATGTTTAGCAGCCAATTTTTTACCTCAGCACTTTTTACAGTCTTAAAAGAGAACTTAGATCTTATGTTCAAAGGAAAGGGGAAGCTCTGTTTAGTTGGCTGTAATTTATTTTTGGATCATCACACCAATTTCTGAGAAAAAAGTGTTCAGTTTATTTGCTTGATCTTTGTTCAATCACTCAGGTGGAAGAGGGTTACTTTGCTTTTTTGTTGGAGCAAGTCGCTTAATACAGTTCCACATCTGCTTAGGGTTGTTTTTACATTCAGTTAGTGTCTTTTGAAAGAAGGAGACTTTTGTATCTCTCACAGCTTTGATAACGCTCTTTTTCGCCACTAAGTATTGCTTCCATACTATTTCAGATTTGTAAGCTATTCCTTTCTTCCTGGTATTGTCTCTGTTGTTGATTAGAGTCTGTAGTTCGTGTGTAAACCAGGGCTTTGGTTTTGATCAAATTTTTATTTTCCTTAAAGGGGCATGCTTATTTAATGTGTTTGTGTAAAGCTCATTCCATTTACTAACTGCCTCATTTATGTCATTTGTTTCGAGACAATCCTTCAATGGTAGCTGTGAGACATCATCTCTGTACTTTTCAGATATAAAATTCTTGTAAGATCTCACTGTTTTTGTAATGGGTGCTTGGCTTGGGACACTTTCTCTGCAGTATGCAGTATACCAATGAATGATCACTTATAGAAGAGTGATATACTCCTGATTTGATTGTGTTCAGGGTGGCTGTCTTAATAACCAAATCAATCAAGGTTTGTGTTTCTGCAGTTACCCTTGTTGCCTCAGAGATTACCTGACTAAGGTGATAAGATGATATTATCTCAATAAGCTCTTTATTGGGGCTCTCTTGTGATCGAAAATCCCTAACCACCAAGATCTCTTGGTTAGTTGATATGGCTTCAAGCAAGGTGTTTTCAAGATCAGCCACATGGCTAACTGTGCTGTTTGGAGGTCTGCAACAGGCTCCAAGTATAATTGGTTTACACCCTCCAATGCAGATTTTCACCCAGAGTTGTTCTATTGTGCTGCTTTCTGAATAGGTATGTCTCAGCTCAACAATCTCGTTTATATCAATGCCATTTTTAGAGTAGATCCCTCCCTCCACCTCGCTTGTTTGCTCGGTCAACTCGAATGTCACAGTTGTAGCTTTCAATCATTAAAGTATGTCTGTCAATTTCCTTGTTCAGCCAGGTCTCTGTTACAACCAGGGCATCTATTCCAGACTTATCTAACAAATGCTCAACCATGTGTTTTGATGGTAGCAATGACTGCATATAATTATGAGCTATTTTCATGTTTACGTCATATCTTCTAAAAGTAGCTTGAAGAAGGTTAGCTGCGTTTTGCTGAGGCCCCACTGTCTCCTCTGGAGTAAGTCGGTCATGATCAGGTGGTGTTTTAGGCCCATTGATTATCGGCAGAGCATTCAGGTTAAGTCTCCTTATACAAGCTTACACTTATGTGGACTATACCTTAATCACTCTCGACAAGATGGTGTCGAAGGTAAAATTTACAAAAATCGCATGACTGGGTTTTATTTCCTAGGCAATCAATTTCAGAAATCTTAAATTAAGCTATATTCGGGCGAAAAATACTAGCGTATGAAATGTTTTCGCCTCTCCTTGTCATTTTCAAATTCTGTGGTACCAAAGACATACCTAAATAGGTTGTATTTTCTAACTTGCAATCATTGCTGATTTGTGATTAGCACATTTTATGAAAATGAAGCAGTCATCACTGCTATGAGAATACTGCTGGTAGCGATCCTGACAATTATTCCAAGAAAAGGAGATAGACACCAAGGCTAGAAACAAATAACCGCAACCTTTCGATTCAACACTGATTAATTTTCTCAACGGTAAACACATCTTTAACAGTGTATCACTCAAGTTATACGACGATAGGAAATTAAAAATACTTAATTGAAACATACACATCAAACGAAGAATCACGTATATCAAGGTTTGTTCTGCTGCACTTGATCTAGAAAAGAAACACGCCTAATCAAAACTTTGGAACATTATCTTTTGTTTTATATTTGTTAGGTTGTAAGATTGCAGATAGATTTTATTTGTTAGATTGCAAAGACTTAAAACGACGACAAGACTATAAGAATGGGGGTGGGGGTGGGGGTGGGTGTTAAAACAATTGATGCTTCACTGTTTCTGGTATAGTGTCCTATCAGTTTTAGTCTGTGTTAGCATTCTGTCAGTTACGGGAATGGTATTTTTGCCCCCGTACAATACAGATTTTTAGCGTTATCAAAAATAGACGTCCATCCCACGCCTATTCCACGCTCATTCTGATCCTATTAACAGTGATTTTCCTCCAGACGACCGAAGAGGAAGTTTAGTTGCAGTGGCGGACACTTCACTGTTTATTGGGGAGGAGGCCAAAGAGGTACAATCTGGGGATGAAAGCCCCGGGAAAATGTTTCCTTCATTTAAAAATCCCTAGCTTTAGATAAAGTACCAATACGTTTTTCAAAATGACAGAATTTTCTTCTTTTAATAAACTTGCAACCTTATTTAATGTTAACATGGGATTTGCTTTTGCTATTTTGCAATAGAGTAGGCCCATTCTATCAACTTACTCATTGAATAAAAGTAGCATGAGGCTATCTTTTATAATTCTTTTAGAAATAAAGTTGTTCCTTTTACTATGAAATTGTTTGTATCCGCCACTGTTTGGTTGGAAGTTTTGCTAAAAGCAGATCTTATAGACATAAGAATCTCTGCATATGATATGCATAGAGAGCATTTCCTTGTAATTTGACGTTCATTCGCATATAATCTAATAAAGTTTCAAATACTGCTTGGGTAAAAAGAGAATTAGTAAATAAAAATAATAGCTATGGTATTGCCACCAAAGCTAAACCTTTAGAGTGCCCTGAAGCCTGACTTGTTACTGATATTGTACCTTTTAATGTGCTTGTGTAAGTCCTAGTAGCAATTTCAACTGACTTTAGAAGTGAAGAGTTATTGGTGATTTGATCTGCAAAAAGATCGTTGTTTTCTTCATTTTATTTGATTTGATTTGATTCGATTTGGTTTAATGGTGCAAAAAATGATGAATTCTATATGGTGTAAGCGAGAGTGAAAGCTAGATAGCACTTGACGACAAACCTGTCAGCCATTCGACACCTTCATGAAGCCCTTCCCCTGTCAACGCATTGCTAGCACTGAAAAGTAATATAGTCAACGTTAAGCATGCCGCTAGTGTAGGGAAGAGTGAAATAGAGGAAATATGCGGAGAGAAACGAACAACTCGTTATGAAGCTAAAATTATATTTAAGTAACATTATTCGAATTACAAAGGGCATCAAAGAAAAAACTATTTATTGGCAGCCTTCGGGCGTAAAGAGACAGTCATCAGGAAAGACATACAGCCAGAACTAAAGGTGACACTGGGCATTTCTTGGAACAGCTTGCAAATGACCCGAGACGAGGCGAAAGAGGGGTGAGGGAGTCTCAATCCTAGGCCAAGCGAGGATACAGACACAGTGCCTGGGGTTTTCCAACCTCATATTTAATTAAATCAAATGACTAACTGCTTTTGAAGAACAAAAGGTAACAATCTCAATACTGCAGGAATATATTTCTGGATGAACTGTGACTGCTACTACGAGAAGTTTGATTTAGCTAGTCAGTAAATATCGCTAAAATTTTCGATATTCTGGAAGATTCTTTCAAGGTATTGTAAAGAACAACTTACTCCAAGCCAAAACTAAAATATTTCTAACAGTTTTTATTTGCGATGATTAAAGATTATTACCATATATGCCAGGGCTTCTCTTTGATATTTTCTAACTTTAAAAGGCCTGAAACCTGAAAAAGGAAAATGATTTGTGAAATCCACACAAGAGCCATATCAGAAGGCAAACAAGAAAAATGTTGAATCTACAGCTTTAATATCCATCATTTAGAACGTCTGCTACCAAACGAGTCTTATCGAAGAACATTTAAGTTTTTGAAAAGCATTGAAGTATTTTACTTACTTTTACAGACGATAATGATTCCCTCAGGTCCATCTTATTTGCAAAGAAAAGTATTGGAATCTTTTTAGCTTTTATATCTACAAAGAATTGAAGCAAATTAAAGGAATGTTTGGTGTACTACAAACTTTGAAAGTTTTTAAAAACTTGCAAGAAACAAGAATCAAAGCAAATATAAATTAATGAATTACCTGGGTGCTTTAGCAGTTCATCCAGCTCTTCTTTTGCAACCACCATTCTCAGTTTATCACTACTGTCAATTACAAATATGACTGCTTGGGCATCCCTAAATAAAATTAGCAAAGAAATGATAAATGTCTAGGAATTTCAAGCAACCTATGAAGATCTTTACTTAATAATAGTTATTTTCTAATGCCAATTTTTGACTAATCAATATCATAGGGCTACAGATTAAAGAATTATATGAGAAATGTTGAATTCTTAGGTATTGTTTACTTTGAACCAGACTTGAATCTGAAGTGAAAGAATAGGAGATGTTAAAGGACAGTCTCTGTTTACCTTGTTAGAAGCTGCTAATTGAAAAATCAATTATGGCAATGACCGGTTCAAGAAGTTCTGTTTTTTGGCTAAACGCTATATGTGATGAAAGCCTTTTATTTTGTAAGGCTAGGTATCAGAGAGGCAGAATATTGGACTAAAAGCAGTGAAAACACAGGGACCATCCATCCATCCATCCATCCATGAGAAATAGATTCATTGAAAATCTATCACACTAAAATATTTAAAGTAACAAAAATGAAACCACCATTTTTGCCTGGAATGACAGATTGACAGTGTTGAAAACGACATATGCATATATGTTTGCAGTAGAAAAAACATGGGGGCAATTCAGTAATACGGTACACAATAAGACTTTGACATTGTTTTGCAAAGTGCTATGTAGGCTTGACTGAATTAAGAACCATAGGCAACTTGTCCATTCAACTATAAATATTTTGCAGCATAAAACTAGATGTAATGTATGAATGTATTATTCCTCAAGCAGTCAAGTTGTGTGTTTTCCTCTTGCTTTGCAAGTTGCAATAAGGCATTTAAAAAGCGCACAAAAAAGTTTAGGCTCAGTGAAGAAAAGGAAAAAATACATGAGACTTAGCTGCATCACAACATATTGCAAAAAGGGAAGCACAGTGATAAGGGCAAAAAAGCAATGCCCTTCTATTCCCTAGATGAATTATGCAGCCATTATACCAAAACCGTATCTACAAATTCTAGCACCAAATGGCATATTAGATTCAAAATGGAAAAACTACAACTTAACTACTGCAAATATGCTTTATGGATTTAAAAAGTGAACAATGAAGCGTGTTCTTAATTCTAATTTGTCCCAAGGCAAAGGAACATAAAATAGAACTAAAAAAAAGAAAACTTTTTGAAGGAAGCATAAACTGCAAATATTGTAAACAATCTTTACATGTTGTATCAGGGTAAAATAATGCAGAGAACAAAAGCAAATGCCTTTCAAAACAAATACAAACTTTACTTGTAATAGTGTTCCCATAAATTTCTGTATCTTCCTTGTCCTGACATATCAAATATTGTAAAGCTGAGCCTGCAATTAATTTGTTAAAACAACCAATCAAAAACTAATACTTTGTAGAGCCACAGCGTTAAAAACATGTGTGCCAAAAATTCAATACATCATATATTTGTTAAAGCAAGTTAACTAAAAGTGGCAACAAAAATGGTCATGTGGACAATGGTTAACTATTTAAATTAAACTACCATGAAACAGAGGTGGAAATTCAGGCTTTCATTTGGGGGGGGGGGGGCTATGGTTTTCCGACAAGATAACATCATGGCCCACGTCTAATTTTAAAGAAACTGCACATTTTGACATAAATAGTTGATTCTTTGACGGGACTCTTTAGAAATCTTTGCTAAGCTCCCCATAATAAAGTAGCAAGAAGAATAATCCATTTATGATTTTTGATATCAAGATAGATATCTCATCTAAGACAATTGATGATACAAGAGGTAGACTGATTACACCTTAGACAAGTCATACATTCTTTTTATGCATTTTATCTTGTTTTCATCAGTGAGAAATATGTTTGAAAATAACCTATTTGGAAGAATCCGATGGAAATTTTGGCTAATCTTTGCGGAATGGAAATATACAATTCAGAAGCAGTTTGATTTTGGTCATATACTGTTTGATTGATTATTTAGTACTGGCTAATATTTTACCAGCTATGCTATGTTCAAATTTTGCAAAAAGGGCACAGAGAGGTTATAAAGACCCCTGGGGTAAAAAAGGAAACGTGGATCACCTGCAAGCCAAGCGAGCAGAAAATTTGGCAATTACGCCCCTTAGATTAGCTCAAAATTCCTTTTCAGAAGGATTTCTTGGAGTAATTTGGACATGTTAAAGGGTTGTCAATTATCTGATGAAAGCCCAAATTATCTGATGAAAGCCCAAATTATCTGAAGAAAGCCCAAACTGCCATGAAATGCATCCCCAGTTATCAAAACAGACAATTTTCATGTCATATGATACAATAGCAAAACAAAGCTATCTGTTAAGTCTGAATATGCTAATGGTTATTGCAAAACATAGTTTGCCTCTAAGCTGTGCTCCATTCCTTTCAATCTTTTTATCACATTCTTTAAGTTTTAATTTATCACTATGAGTGCCCAGTAAGTTTCCTGTTATTTCAAAATGAAAATTCAAATTGTTAGTGAGATTATGCAGACAAGAAAAGAATATATAAAGATAAAAGTAATAGTTTTCTGTGATTATTTCACCAAAAAAAGGAAATTCTACTTATGTGTTAATTAAAAAGCCAAACCAAGAAGTTTAGCACCTACGTGCAGTGGACTGACTACATAGCAGTTTAGCACCTATGTGTAGTAGACTGATTGCATAGCAGTTTAGCACCTATGTGTAATAGACTGATTGCATAGCTGTTAGAGGATAATAAAAGTATATAGAGGACATTTTCTCCATATATTTAAGCCAACGGTCCCTCTAACAGGACATTTTAAATATTGCATGCAATTTCGAGTTTTTGCGTACAAAGCTATCCATTTTAAAATGAACTCAGGAGTGCATTTGCGATACTCTGCAAACTGGTTCACAGGGGCACATTATTTTTTAGTTAATATTATGTGTAAGTAAAAAAAAGCTGCAGGATAGACTGCCCGCCGGATTCTGTGAATCTTGCAATGAGTATCATATAAATACAAGGATGAAATTCAGGAACAAAGCAAAACGACAACGAGAATCCAATGGTTTAAGATAAATTTTCAAAATAAATTAAATTAAACGAATACTAATATTTTGCCCCGGCATACAGGGCTTCATCAGAGTAAATGATGCTGCTTTGCTTTGTTCCTGTATTTTATCCTTGTTTTTTCACGCCTTGTCAATAAAAATTGATGCTTGCCAGGTGTTAAGTACTATGCACATGAAACAAACTTTTTTGGTATACTTTAAGGAGCCCCAATCAACTTTGGACCCAACAGTCGTAAATGCAGCCCTGTAATTTGCTGTTATGTTCTTGTATATTTCTGTAGTTTAGTTGTTTGTCACGGTAGTTATTATTTTATAAAACCAAACAAAATAAAATCATAATAAACTAACAAATTCATTTAAAATGATATCAAAATTAATATGTATCAGCTTTAAACAATGAATAAAGACATTTCTATAAAATATGAAGCTGCTGCTAAAAATTTATGCTCAATAATTCATAGCAATGTCTCTATCAAGATAAATAATAGAGGAATCATTGAAGGATGCTTCGTCCTTCTCTTTTTCAAAGTAAAACTATGGTTAAAGATTCGTTGTTAGAGGCTGTTTATACTAACATAGCTAATAAAGTTGGAAATTACCCAGTCATGGATACTTTTTCAACTGTAAAGCCAATCGTCGGCACAATATCTGAAGACTGCGATTTATCAGGTTTTAACTTGTTTATTATCGTTGTTTTCCCACTGTTGTCAAGCCCGAGACAGAGAATGCTCGCCTCTTTCTTTTTCACCCCGAAGAGTGCTGTCAGCCTGTCTAGAAACCCCATGTTGAAATATTTTTAGGTTCTGTAGTATTTCCTCTTGCAGTGCGTTTACAGTAGCGTTGACGGCCCTGTAGCGGTCGTTAATGGCTGCCAAATGTTGATAGTTGTGAAGCAAACTAGCTCAAGCAACAACAACATCAACAACAGCAACAACGAAATTACATTTCACTACATTGGATTCTCGTCGTCGTGTTGCTTTCTTCCTGACTATTTTTCGTATTAGTACTTATTGCAAGATTCAAAGATTACGGCGGACGGCATATTCGACTGAAAAGGTCTTAAAAGTTCTAGGGCTCTGAACGCAAAATATTGACATCATAACATGAAGATTTATTTCTAAATCTTCACTTTTGAATGCATGTGCAAAAAGAACACGCTAAAATGTCTGTAAACGTCTTTAATGCACACAGCAGTACACGCACATCGTTAACAAGCCGTCAAAGCGTAAATATTCTTTATATATTCAAAAAGTGTTTAGGCATAAAAGATATTAAAGACAGACAATATAGACGTTAACACATTTTTGTGCTCTAGAAGCGGGAATGGCTGCATTTCCTTCGGTATATTTATCTTTTCAGAACATTGCATCACAAGCGTTGATGCAAGCCTTACTAAAATGAAAGTATGCATTTGATGGCAGTGCCGATTGGAATCTTTGCTCAGTGAGTGGATCTCTGTAGCACCGCCCTGTTTTAGTGACAATCCCCAGATCCATGGGGGTGGTTCGCATAGCCGGGATCCAAAAATCTAGCTCGACAGCCGTAGTAGCTTGCAACATTTCTGGGGCAGGATTTCAATAAAGTAAGAACATAGCCGCTACCAGATGATCTGGAAACCCGGTTTGCATCTCCTGATGATGACCAAAAAGCAGTTCTGGATGAAGCTGTTGGTCTTCGCATAGTCAATAGAAATACGCTGGTCTGGAATCTTTGCGGAGGAGCCCTTTGTCCTATTGTTTGATCTTTTTGTTCAGAAATTCTGTGCTCATCGTAGCGTGACCCTGCACACTGTGGTACGCTTTTGAGCAGTAATGTGTATTTTCACTTTCTATCTCGAATTATGGGTTGTTTTCGGTAAATATGCTCAAATATGCCTGGTGAAAACTGTTGTATGAATGGTTGTGGAGTAAGTCGACGCAAAGGTGCGAATAATCCTGATGGAAAGATCGGATTGTTCAAGATTCCCGCAGCCAAGGATGAAAAGTCAAAGCAATGGCGAAAGGAACTATTGAACATTATAACGAAGTATCGAGAACAGGACGAAAGCTTTAAAAGACAGCTAGCAAACGATACCCTTCATATATGCGAGAAGCATTTTGTGCCTGAAGACATCACAACACGTAAGTTGTTTAGCTTAGCTTCTCAATTATCAATTTGCATTTGTGCATTCCATGTACTTAGGCCCGAAGAGCTCTCGCATAGAGTGGTTCCTCGTTCCTGTATGCGGCGTACACACAATAAAAATGAAGTCCATGATAAACATAACCAACTAAAATGGGGGTGTAGAAAATCTATTGATTAGCCTTGCTTCTGTCACTGACAAATTAGATGAGGAAGGTAGCCAATTTACTTGCTGTGTTTTTCAATTGTTTTTTAAAAATCATATATTATTACATTTTCTATGAAGTGGGTATTTGTAATGGCTATTCACGAAAAAGTTATTTTTTTGTACATAAAATTAATAGTGGTAAAGATGGAATGTTAAATCTAACTGTATCAATTTGATCTAACCATGAGCTAAATTTAGAGGAGACATTTAATGCATATGAAAGCCAATGTGAACATGGTGGTGATTTTTATTACAAGATGTATTTTTCAATGAAAAATGTTAAAAGCTATCATTTTATCAACTTTTCTTGCAGATCATGGTGCAAAGCTAACAAAAAAATTTCTGAAATTTGGTGTGCTTCCAACCAAAGAGCTGCCAAAAAAATCAATGGATCACCATTTTCCAGATCAGTCACAGAAAAGCCGGCCCCCTAGAAGTATTGTGAAGGATTCAGACCCTACAGACAAGGAAAAAAGTTGCTACAAAGATTTCAAAGATGTGTGTTCCAGGGTTAAGAAACTATCTATCAAGGACTGGCATGTAGATGTATCTGAGGATAAAATTGAAATAAAGAAACATCAAGTTCCCTACATACTTCCTCGGCTGTGTGTTGAGATCAATGAAAGCCTTTGCTTTACTATTTATGTGTTTAACTGGCGTATTCCTGTTGATCATTTTCTATACAAACAGTTCAAAAGGACGTTGAAACTGATAACTATATCAGAGCTACTTCGGATTATTGAAAATCTCAACATCTGCAAAGGGCACAGTGCATTAAGCCACTCAGGGAAGTCAATACAGCACAGCATCCCACTTTTCTTAGAAGAAGATAATGAAGATAACCCATCTTATGCTGCAAAACATTTTTATCGTGCAAAATATTGTGAGGTGTTAATAAAAGGAGAAAATTGCATGAACTGCCAAGAGAGAGAAAGGTTGTTTTGCAAGGATGAAGCAAGGCGTTCTGCAAGACAAGCTGTTCCAGCAAAACTAAAAGCACCTGTTAGCATGACCTCAGCCAAGAGATTAAAGCTAACTTTGCAGGCAAATAGACTCAAATGCAGGCAACTTGAGTCAAAGGTTGAGGAGATGGAAAAAGAGGTTGCAAGGCACAGTGTTCATGTGCAGTCAGACCTCAGCCATGATCTGCTGCAATTGATCTCTAGACATGGGGGCTCAATGAGTCCCTTTATGAAGCTCTTTTGGCAGCAGCAGCAAAAAAATGCTTCAAGAATGCCTAAAGGGCAAAGATACCATCCAATGATAATTAGATGGTGCCTTTCTATAGCATCAAAGTCATCTGCAGCCTATGATGAGATTAGAGGAACATTTAAAGGTACAGGCACTATAGAGCTCCCTAGCAGGCGACAACTAAGAGATTATAGCAATGCTATAAAACCAAAAACTGGGTTTAACCCAGATGTCATCCAGTCATTGGAAACCATCGTTTTAGACTACAGGCCTACAGAGAGGTTTGTTGTTCTGTTATTCGATGAGATGAAGGTGCAAAGTGGACTTGTTTGGGATAAGACTACTGGAGAACTCATTGGATATGTGGATCTTGGGGATCCTGATGTCAACTATGCTACACTAGATTCCCAAGACAACATAGCCACTCATGCCCTTGTTTTTATGGTCAGAGGCATATGCAGCAAGTTACAGTTTGTATTAGGCTACTTTGCCACTGCTGCTGTCACATCTTGCCAATTGTTTCCGCTATTTTGGAAAGCAGTTGCAATTTTAGAACTACGTTGCAATCTAGCAGTTGTAGCAGCAACTGCAGATGGAGCAACTGCCAACAGGCGCTTTTTCAAAATGCATGAGGGTGTCAGCAATCATAATGAGAGAGATGTTGTTCACAAGGCTTCAAATATATATGCCAATGAAAGGTATATATTTTTCTTCAGTGATGCACCTCACCTCTTAAAGACATGCAGAAATTGTTTGTTCAATTCTGGATCTGGACGCTATAGCAGATACTTGTGGAATAATGGTGATGAATTATTATGGGGTCACATTGCAAGCATGTATCATCAAGATCAGCAAAATGGTCTCCACCTTTTGCCAAGGCTTACATTTGATCACATAAAGCTGAATTCTTATTCCATTATGAGAGTGAACCTTGCTGCTCAAGTGTTGAGCAAATCTGTTGCAGCAGTTCTAAAGGAATTTGGTGGGAGGAACACACTGGCTACTGCAAAATACTGTGAAATGGTCAATGATTTTTTTGACTGTTTCAATAGCAGAAGTACCAATGAAAGTCATTTTCAAAGAAATAATAATCTCTCTCCCTATACAGATGTTGAGGACAAGAGGTTTTTGTGGTTAGAGAAAGATTTCTTAGGGTATTTTGCTTCCTGGAAGGACAGTATAACTAGAAGAGAAGGTTCTTTTGATGAAAGCTCACGTGCCAAGATGTTTATATCATGGCAAACACACGAGGGCATGAAAATAAGCATTTATTCATTGATTGGTGTGGTCCGCTACCTCCTTTCCAATGGCGTAGATTATGTGCTATCCAACAAATTGTGCCAAGATCCGGTGGAAGAATATTTTGGTCACCAAAGAGGACTTGGTCGCAGAAGTGACAATCCTAGTCTAAGAGACTTTGGGTACAATGATAACAAATTGCGAATCCAAAGATTCATATCCCCAGTTGAGGGAAATACCAGAGGAAGGAAAAGAAAGAGAACAGAGACAAAGTGGAAGACAGTCATTCCTGATCCAATCCCGAAGCGGAAACAACAAGCAAAAGGCAACATGTAATGAACTTTTTAATTGTTTTTAATCAACTAAGATACTTGCACAGCTTCTGTTCACACGATAACTTGCTATTTTCTAGTAAAGCAACTCCAATCTAATTTAAGGATTTCCAATTTAAAATTATTATTGCTGTCATCAATTGTTTTCATTTTGGCCCACCTCAAATTTAAAAAAATTAAGGAAATAAATGAAATAAGCAAATTTTTTAAATTTTTATTAAATGTCACTATAATATTAGACAGCAGCTTTAGTTTGTTGATTAGAATAGATATCATCATTCTATTCGTAAATTTAATGTAATTGTTAATTGTTTCTACAGTTTTCCCACATTTCTTTTCCATAGCTTAATTTAAAGTGACACTATGTCCAAAGTTATGTCCAAAGTTTACTGATAACATCATACAGCTTCCTTATCTGCTACTAGACCCACTAGACTACATAAAAATGAGGCCAGAGTAAGATTAGATTGCCAATTCATATATATCTTCAGCAGTACATGTTTTTAATAGCTAACATTACAATAGATTGTTTTGGTTATAGACCCTTTGTTCATTTCAGTTTTTCAGCTGGCTTTTCTGTTTCTCTTTGAATTTCCTTCCTCAGGGCTTTTGTTTTGCCTTTTTTCTGTTCAAATTTAAATTTGTTGACAACATCCTTAGCATGTGAGAATGATCTCACCTTCACATAGAGTGACAAAATATTTGTTAAAAGGTCTTTACTTCCAGCACTATCAACTTGAATGGCACAGCGTTCAGTCCACTCATGGTACATCCCTTGAACCTCCTGGTCTTTGTAAATCTTGTCAACAATAACTGCAAGTTGTATTGTCTTTGAAGAATTATTTACATGGGCAAGAAAATAGAGTTCTGCAATAGTAAAAAGTTTTTCAACAGTATCAGTAATTTTCCAAAGCCCACCACGATTCACTGCATCAACCAATCTTTGATTAGCATCAGTATCTTCACTGCGACCTGCTTGCAAAATGGCAATATGTTGAAGTCCAAGTGGTGTTTTGTGATGCTTTGATTTATAAATTTTCTTGTTTAAATTGTGCAACACATATCCACCTAGATATTGCAAAGCAGCTTTTTCTCTTTCGGATAATTGTTTTTTCTCTGTTATCCTTCCTTCACTTTTTGGAGGTTTCTTGCTGTACACTACCAATTTTTCAGCGAGCTTAGTGCAAAGAAGTGTTGCTGCATTTGCACTCAGTTGGTCAAATAGTATAGTTGCTTTTGGAATTATTGTTGAGTAAAACTTTGTAAAAAACTTCTCAACATTGCCTTTTCCAACAAGCAACTCATAATGTAACAAAACCTCATTTAAAATGGTGTCCTGATTGTTGCTTATGTCTGTTAAAACAAATCTAAAAGATTCCAGACTATGGCAGATATCTGTTGGAAAGCAAAGGTCTTCAGAAAGGTCCTTGCAGCTTTCATTCACCATTGTGGCTATACTTTCTCTGCTCAATGATTCTTTGGGTTCTGGTTGCCCTTCTTCCATTTCGGGATGTTTTGATTTTTTATGGCGAGTCAGACCAGTCTTTGACTTGCACTTTTTACTGCAAATGGAGCACTGGAATTTCCCATTTTGGATCTACAGTAAAACAGTATTTGTGATAAGTAAGGTAAAATGATAAAAGTTATTAGTAAGTCATACCTTGAAAACTCTTGTTTTAAATAAGAAACTAAAAATAGTCTCAGATAATGGTGATAAGAATTGACATTTTTTAAACCTTGGGCTGGCCTAAATTTAACTTAGAGCAAGGAAATAAACTCTGATATGATTTAACATTCAAACAGACTAAGCAGGCATGTATATGTTGACAACAAATGGCAATGACACCATTTTGGGTTGCAACATTGGAAGGTTTTTCTGATTATCATTGGAAATATAATGGCATTATTTTCTTTTCAGAAACCCTCCGTGAGCTGACGCTGTCAAACACAATATGACTGTCCCTTTATTTGAAATCACTGAATTTGATGCTGCCTAAAGATTTATAACGATGTTTCATTTGCTAGATATTTCAAATCATAAATAATTTAATGTTCAAACTGAATATCTCTGTCGCTCTCCACGTGAATTCAATGGCCTAAGTGGCCTTTTAGCACAAAAACACTACTTCAAAATAAAACAGATTAAGTCGTTAAAACAATGTTTACCTCTTCGACAGTTTCATCTAAGAAAGTTGAAATCTTTTCTTCAAAAAAATCGCTTTCCAATAGATCTAAAATCGCATCTAAATCCTCGCCACGTACTTCGTTCTCGTCCATGTTCGTTTTGAAGATCGGTTGCGTTGCGTGTGCAGGTTCACGCTTCATTAAACAGCTCAGTTGAGTTTTTCAACATCGCTCGCGGCATCCTTCGTAATTACGGAGTTTCCAGACCAGCGTATTTCTATTGACTATGGTCTTCGGAACGTTCTCCGGAGGCAGGAGACAAGAATTACTGGCCTGACGTCTGTTAATATGATATTGGCAAAGGCTGGTGTTGCTGCTGGGGCCGAGTAGCCACTTTGCTGCGGTTGCTCTTTTTGAATGTGCCTGTCTAGGCGTTCTATAAACTTTATAACTTGTTCGTCTTTTATGCCCTGCTCGCTTCTCTTTACCCGCAAAAAAGAGATAAATTATTTGACCACTAAGAATCGAGCACTTTGTCTACAAACTTAGCTAGTAAAACTGAAGGAGTTACTTAATAATTTTGTTAAGCATAGTATGACTGCTTTTGCTTGCCACAATTGAACATTTTTCCTTGGAAAGTAGCACTAAGAGCACTGAAGCATTAATCATCTCTCCTTTCAAGCAAAGAAGCTTCATTATTTCCAAATCAGCTTCAAAGTTGATTGAAGGAGTGAGCGATGTTTAAAGACCATCTCTCCTGCAAGCTTTTACCTGCATCAAGCAAACGCCTAACGGAATCGGCAGGGGTTGTTTCGGTTGAACTGCTAGACAAACTGAGCAAAAAAATTTCTTTCTTTCCCACCGCATTAGCATGACCACAGATCCTAAATCCCTTTTTCCCTGAAGCAGCACTTTGATTAGAAAACTGCTTTATTTCTGCTTTTGTCATACGATACCACATGAGGCTGTGATGATGGCCGTTTGCTGGTTATCATATTCGAATTTTTGTCAGCTGGTCTTTGGACAATCCTCCTACTTTCACTCAGAAGTTTGCATGCCTTATTTTATTTCCTGTTGAATCGATGTTGGATTTCCCGCAAGGATAAGATTTGGCAGTGAAATAGAAGGGGCAGAAGCAGAATTGTCTATTTGCCGCTCACTTTCGGTGGATTGGTATGGCGGGATAAATGAATTGAACCTCTACATTAGGCTACGAAATAAGGTATGTTTAAAGGAACTAGAAAAAGTGCCATTCAAAAACCATTAAAACAGTTTAATAGCCACAATTCTTCCGTTTGTCGTGAGTTGAGGATTGTCAAAAAAGTAGTTTTAATAACTTTTTAACGATGTCACCCATGCGATTGACTAAAATGAAGCAAAATAAGGGAATGTAAGACAGTAAATGTAGCACGAAAGAATGCCATACCAATCTCTTTGCCCTCTCCGCAACTTGCACCTTGCTTGCAAACTCGTTATAGATCTTGCAAGCTACGGATCTTGCACGCTCCTTTATCGATGATAGCAATCTTTCGTCCTGGCTAATGACTTCCTTGCAAATGAGCCTAACTGTCTCCTTAAGAGTAAGGGTTTTAAGAATCGAGTTAATGCACTCATTTGCGTTTTGTGTGTATTCTAGAGAAGGATTTCAACAGCCGCACGTTTCCCGTACTCCAGCTATCATCGATGACTTCATGCTCCTTTTTTTCCAGCTAAATACTTATGAAACTTGGAACAAATATTTCCTCTCTCCATCCACTTGCGCTCGATTTAACATCACTCGTGTTCCAACGGCTTGGCTGTTGCAACATCCAAAAGAACTTTTATCCTTGATATCACCGCATGCTTTACCAAACGCCTCTTCGATATAAGTATTGTTATCCTTAGCACCTAGCTGTTAAAGCTCCTTCTTATACTTCACAGGATCTTGATTGATAGCAGCAAACCCATTTTTGCTGAACAAGTTTACCTGTATAAATATGGTCTTATTATTATTATATTATCCCTAAGATAAATCCAGCAATGCAAGTGGTTTGCCTTTCCATCGTAGTTGGTAGGCTAAAGTACGACTAAAATACCTTGTGTGAATAAATTAGAATAAACCAGTCATCACTGGACATATGTCGGTTCCTCCCTGTATAGCAAATGATTCCGGTATGTTTCCACTGTAACTGCAGGTGTTGAAGGCTGGGTCGACGACCAAGACACTCCAACAATAGTCGGAGACGATGAATCTGCGTATGTCGCTCATTGTCTATCATTTGCCAATAAACACTCAACACTGGAGCTGTTCTAACATCTCGTAAAAATGCATTTGGCTGTTCGCAGGTTTCTTTGCACAAATCCATTAGTTCTACTACATCACCTCTCTTCTTTAAGGCACCTCCTTTCTTACTATGTCGTATATCTGTTTCTCTTGGAACTTTTCCTTTCAAATTCTATCTGATGCTCACCATCATCAAAGTGGTATTGTACATAAAAGAATGGTTGAATCTTACCAGATTCCAAGTGCTTGACACTGACAAACACCTTGTGGAAATCGCTGTGATTGTGAACACAAAGATCGTGAAGATGCGAACATAAAGTAAATCATCACAATCATAGACAAGTAGAACATCGATTGCAAGTGCAGGTTGTGTGGTGAGAAAGTGGAACAAAGAAAAAGACCAGAGGTTTGTGAATGGAAGCACAAAAACAGGCGAACATAGAGTAAATCATCACAATCATAGACAAGTAGAACATCGATTGCAAGTGCAGGTTGTGTGGTGAGAAAGTCGAACAAAGACAAAGACAGAAGGTTTGTGAATTGGAAGCACAAAAACAGGCGAACATAGAGTAAATCATCACAATCATAGACAAGTAGAACATCGATTGCAAGTGCAGGTTGTGTGGTGAGAAAGTGGAACAAAGAGAGAGACGGAAGGTTTGTGAATGGAAGCACAAGAACATGCGAACATAGAGTAAATCATCACAATCATAGACAAGTAGAACATCGATTGCAAGTGCAGGTTGTGTGGTGAGAAAGTATAACAAAGACAGAGAGCAAAGGTTTGTGAATGGAAACACAAGAACAGGCGAACATAGAGTAAATCATCACAATCATAGACAAGTAGCACATCGATTGCAAGTGCAGGTTCTGTGGTGAGAAAATGGAACAAAGACAGAGACGGAAGGTTTGTGAATGGAAGCACAAGAACAGGCGAACATAGAGTAAATCATCACAATCATAGACTATTAGTACATCGATTGCAAGTGCAGGTTCTGTGGTGAGAAAGTGGAAGAAAGACAAAGACGGAAGGTTTGTGAATGGATGCAGAAAAGCAGGCGAACATAGAGTAAATCATCACAATCATAGATAAGTAGAACATCGATTGCAAGTGCAGGTCCTGTGGTGAGAAAGTGGAACAAAGACAGAGACCGAAGGTTTGTGAATGGAAGCACAAGAACAGGCGAACATAGAGTAAATCATCACAATCATAGACAAGTAGAACATCGATTACAAGTGCAGGTTGTGTGGTGAGAAAGTGGAACAAAGACAGAGACGGAAGGTTTGTGAATGGAAGCACAAAAACAGGCGAACATAGAGTAAATCATCACAATTATAGACAAGTAGAACATCGATTGCAAGTGCAGGTTGTGTGGTGAGAAAGTGGAACAAAGACAGAGACGGAAGGTTTGTGAATGGAAGCACAAGAACAGGCGAACATAGAGTAAATCATCACAATCATAGACAAGTAGAACATCGATTGCAAGTGCAGGTTGTGTGGTGAGAAAGTATAACAAAGACAGAGAGCAAAGGTTTGTGAATGGAAACACAAGAACAGGCGAACATAGAGTAAATCATCACAATCATAGACAAGTAGCACATCGATTGCAAGTGCAGGTTCTGTGGTGAGAAAGTGGAACAAAGACAGAGACGGAAGGTTTGTGAATGGAAGCACAAGAACAGGCGAACAAAGAGTAAATTATCACAATCATAGACAAGTAGTTCATCGATTGGAAGTGCAGGTTGTGTGGTGAGAAAGTGGAACAAAGACAGAGACGGAAGGTTTGTGAATGGAAGGACAAGAACAGGCGAACATAGAGTAAATCATCACAATCATAGACAAGTAGTTCATCGATTGCAAGTGCAGGTTGTGTGGTGAGAATGTGGAACAAAGACAGAGACGGAAGGTTTGTGAATGGAAGCACAAAAACAGGCGAACATAACTTAAATCATCACAATCATAGACAAGTAGAAAATCGATTGCAAGTGCAGGTTGTATGGTGAGAAAGAGGCAAATGCCCTGTATTTGGAAATTTGTAAAAACATGGGACAAGAATAGAAGGGAAAGTGAGGCTTGACAATTCCTCGATATAATTTGATCAAAGCGTTTATTCCTAGCACAGTTTAGAAACTCAATTGCAAGAGAAATTTTAGTTTGGAGACTATAAATGTGTTCTTCTCAGCTTAAGTTCTTGTCGAAAATCAAACCCAGATACATTCTAAACTAAAAGAGTCGCAAATAAAAAATTGGGACTGGGCGTTAACCTGATTACTTCACCTTGTCCCGTCCAGCCGGGATAGTTTTATCCACTCTTGTTGAGCCGGAATATTTCGCTTAGCCGGGATAATTGTCTCCATGTAAGCAAAAATAAGCGGGGTATCCTGGCTTGGAAGGATGAATTCGTTGTACCTACACATGCGTGATTGCTCAGATGCTAGTAGCATTGAAGCATCTACATCTGGTTAGTGTTTTTACCTAGGTAATTTGGGTCAGTCTCTTAAAAGGGCCCTGTAGAGCAACTTTGAAAACTTACAACACGATACGCGGAATACTTTTCCCAATCCTGGAGAAGATATTTCACCGCTATCTGCCGGTTCGTTCGAGGTAAAGCCATCTTTCGTCTTGCTTTACGTCATGTATAAAAGAGGCTTCCTTTAAAAAGCTTACATATTACAAATCCAAGAAAATATCTGTAAGACGATACCTTAACGACAGCATAACGAGCTGATGAATCTAATTTGGCGCTCAACTTAAACATGGAAGAAAGATGCATTTAGTATGCAATTAAATGTCTCAATACCGAAGGTTCCCTCTCCATAAAACACAAGATTCTCCTTAACATAACATATTTGCAGACATTTACAATATATCTTATAAAATTGACTACACAATAATTCAAAACTTTCAATTTGTTCAACATTCACACATTTCTAAACAACCGTTTCCGCACAAAGCTGACTGGACTTTCAAAACTCCAAAATCGCAAAAAATAACAACATGGACTAATCACAACACGATAAAATTTGAGATCCAAAACTACAACCGTGTTCGTAAGCATAAACAACCATAGGGAATTATCACTCGCAGAACAAAAGGCTTGTAATTAACATTAATATTGCTCGGGGAAAGCAACATTCTGGTCGAAACCATTTTGAACAAGGGTGGACTGATTACGAGCGTAAACCAGCAAACATTGAAAATCACTGCGTCGAAGGATATGCTTGCATTCTGCGCAGCGAGACGAGATTTGCTGCCACCTCCCAGTCTCCACGTTTTCAAAAACTAATTCAAGACCTAGCCTTCATCCACTTACTCCATTTGCTCACATAGCAACACGAGCCTTTTCTGAATAGCTTGGTACACTGGTAAATCTCCCTTCCGGTTGAAAAGAAACGGCATCAGCTCGTCAAACAAAAGCAATAGCCATACTCCTAAATGCTAAATAGTCTTTGAATCCTTGTTAGCATCCAAAACATCCCGCAACAGAACATCAATTGTGTTGTCATCTAAAGGCATCTTTCCTGGTTGCGGCAGGTTTAAATCTGGTACAAGCAGTCCTAAAAGCTGGCATATGCTTTTTCGTAAGTCTCTTAGTTGCTGGCTTCGTTGCATAAGAAAAGTTCGCGCTTTTCCTTCTGGAATCCTTTTAATGTCCTCTATAAGATCTTTATCAACATTCTTAAACACATCTTGTGATATGCCCTCAATACTCAAACCTTTTTCACCTTTCTTTGCGTCCGAATCAATGCCATTGCTTTTCTGACCTCTTTGAATAGTCTGTTCGATTTCCCCTGTGCCTGGCTTGGTAGTTTGCACACTATCTTCGTTTTTCACTGTACACTTCTTTTTGGCCTTCGAATCAATTATTTGGACTTCATCGTCTTCATCATGTACTCTTTTTGACCCAGTCACATCTGCATTTGATTCTCTAGAAAAGTGACACCAAGTTAATAAATTGGCTGCACTGCATCCTTAGATGGGCTGCTCTATGTTAAATAGACAATGTAGTTCACCTTGTTTGGCGTAAAATGGGATAAAAATAAATTTACTTGATCAAACACGATATTGTACATGGAAAAACTAAATATTGTAATCACATTTCGAGTGTAATCAATATTGTAATCACTGTTTACCGGTCTGTCATAAAGTGCTCGATGCGGTGTACGCAAATCTGTACACGCTTTTTCACTGGACGTACAGGCCAATGGGTTCTTCTCTGTTGAGCGCAAACGTGCCTGTTGTAAGTACAAGCTCAGTGAGGTAAATAATTTTGTATGGTGATAGGTCTTGATGTGTGCGTTCATTAAGAAAATGTGGCCCGTGCTAAGTCAATAAATTTGTTGAAAACTTGTTGAAAACAGAAACAGAGGTGTCTCTAGCGCATATTCCAATTCTCCAATCACTGAACAATCACGGTTTTCCAATTTATTGGTAGACATGACATGTCATCGCATGACGAGCGCAAGCAATACGTCATTAATTAGCATTGCCTAATGACACCATTAGAAAACACATGATTCTACCGATGTGCCCCCTAACATGACATCAAATGCGCACTGTCAGTTCCTTACGTTACAAACCTTCCCTTTTCTTGATGAAGAGCATGCCTTATTGCGAAATATAATTACCATACATAATAGGGGGATTAACCACCTGACGTGACTTTGGGGGGTGTACATAAACTTGATTTCTTATGTCCCCCGGGTTTTCTTCTATCATGTCCTCATCAGTAGCCTGCTCTACAATACAGCAATCTGGCGTTTCAGAAACTGGACACTATAACGAAGTTCAACAGACGAAGTCAAGGCTACAACCTAGCCATACAGAGAAACATCAGGCTATCTGTTGCACAGCACAGGATTGTTTTAAGTTCCATTTTGAAGTTTCACGCTTAATGCGATCATCAGGCGTGTACAGCTCTGCTTATACGGTATCAAGCACTTTATGACAGACCGGCAAACAGTAATTTTTATTTTCAGAGAAACATTTGCATGACTTTCTTTGCACGTAAACTACAAGTTCTGTGTGTGATGTGAAATAACTTTCTGCAAACAAGAAATGCAACATTTTCACTAGATAACTTTTTCATGCACCTGTATCATGTATCATTATTAATCCACTGACTGTTCAATAGAAAATTTGCCGATGATTTACATAATTATTCATCTGGTTCGCCAATGCAATAGAATTTTGTTAAAGGCCTCCCAAAAATACGTTGGACTCCCCTGGTGTGGAGAGATTTGATATCTATAGTGAAGTGTAAACGATGCGAGCCAGTGAATCTGAAAGCTTTGAAAACATGAAGCACAGATGATGAAATGTTTATGTAAATAGGTAGATACTTAATAATAGGGTAAGAAGATAGTCGAAGCATGTAGAAAGTTGCGAGGTTGGCATTTCACGCAAAATATGGCAGAAACAATAGGACGATCTGGGTATATAGTATGTTGGATCTCAAGAAGCATGGAGAATAGTGAAGTTGGATTACTTCGTAAGGATAACAAATTGAATTACATCGTTAAAGGTTCTAATGATAGGAAAACCAAAAACATTATATAATCGACAAGGAGATTGATGAGCTGTGCATGTACCAAAAAGCACCATAGAAACAAAGCCTTGAGAAACGAATTATTTATGAACTTGCTATTTTTATTACTAATAGACTGGACAAATAATTTTTTTATCTTTCAGAACGTAGCTATGAATAGTACATCATCCTGTTATGTTTCTTGCTTTCTTCCCCCTTTAACATTTCAATATTCCTACATTTAATAAATCCAATTTTTGATTCTACACTTCTACTCTCTTTTTTGCCTCTTGCCTTTCCTATTCTTTTTACTTGATGAAGAATTATGCTCTAAAGTTTCAATATCTAATTTTTCCACGCACAAAGCCGCTCTGCGTTCCTTTGACCCATTCTTTTAATACTTTAAACTAATGTAATGAGTACAAAACTTGGTGACAAAAAGAATTAAACCGTGACAAAAGATGAGCTTGGATCACTATGGAGGGTTGGAAAAATAACCGGACTTGCGACAAAAGTGGCCTCTGGTTCTAAAGAACAATGCATCGTGTATGAAGAAGCGAAAGCTACCAAAACTGCCACAACGTGGTTTTTACCGTTCAGATTCGACAGCGAGAGCCATAAAGCAAGACGTCAAGGAAAAAACTGTTTTTTATGTACCAGTCAAAATAAAAACCTTCAATGCTGACGATACGTAGTTTTTTAGGTGACAGAAAAACCTACTTGTTATCCAAGGTCGAGGGGCGGGTGTTTAGTCCGTTGGCAGTGTCTTCTAAGCACGACCGACTTTTGCTCACGATTGAATCCTCAGAAGCAGAAGGTGCCATGCTTGTAGCAGCTGACTCGGTTGAAATGGCCATAGAAGGAACCATCATCTTCAAGGAATATATCGCATTAGTTTGCAGTTACTATAAAGCAGTGACTCAAAACATCTTTAATAATTAAAATAACAAAACAGGCTTTATACAGGTTAACAAAATTCAACAAAAATTAAACTGCTGTTACCAACCAATGACCTGGTAAGCTAGTACACATCAACATTCTAACTATATTTTGCACAATCATATAACATAAAAAATAAATTGCAAAATGATGTGATTGAAAGAAAGATCTTTAAAAGTCAAAGTTAACAGCATTGTGGCTTGTTAGGCACTTTGTTGAATATCTAAGGATATTTGAATGCAAACGTTCTTTCCCTGTTTGTTGTAAAAACGTCTTTAACTAAACCAAAAAATAATTTGTTGGTTTGACTAGCAATGTCAATTCAATGTTCGTTTGACTAACAATGTCAATTCAATGTTCGTTTGACTAGCAATGTCAATTCAATGTTCGTTTGACTAGCAATGTCAATTCAATGTTCGTTTGACTAGCAATGTCAATTCAATGTTCGTTTGACTAGCAATGTCAATTCAATGTTCGTTTGACTAGCAATGTCAATTCAATGTTCGTTTGACTAGCAATGTCAATTCATGTTCGTTTGACTAGCAATGTCAATTCAATGTTCGTTTGACTAGCAATGTCAATTCAATGTTCGTTTGACTAGCAATGTCAATTCAATGTTCGTTTGACTAGCAATGTCAATTCAATGTTCGTTTGACTAGCAATATCGTAGAATGTTCTAGAGTAAACAATAATAATAATTATAGCCCGAACCTCAGCCTGCGCCGCGATTGCATCTATGCCTATTTGAGCCAACTGTTTACTGATGTCCTTTGATGTTGGTATTTGTTGTCCAATCGTGTTCACTGGCATACTGTTGGTTGCTACAGCAGTCGTCATTGGCTCGGTTTTAGGTATCTTTGCTTGCACGATTGATGACGGAGAAAACGGCAAATTTTCTGGCAAACGCACCTTCGAAGGGTCGGTAACAACAAAGCGATAAAGTTTTGGAGTTGCGGGGGTTCTTTGGATTTGCTGCGAGGTTGTTGCCCCACTGTGCCTCGTTGGGGTAAAAGTAATGACTTGTTTTGAAAGTACCCCCGGTTGAGGCTGAATGCAAGCCAGTACTGAAGGACTCTGTTTAGTAGATATTACTGACGTCACCATGTTTACAGCCTGCAACGTAAACAGTATTTAAGTTCATTTACAACTGCATAACGCCAGCAGTTGTCCAGAAATAAAGCAAACTGAAAAAACAGCTGTAACGTGATTCAATTTGAAAAGAGAAAACAGCTAAGTTACCAAGTTCGTAGATGCCCCCTGACTGCCCCTTGGCGTTGCTGTCAGTGCAGCAGATTCGGAAACTTGCACAGCAGTTTGGACGGGTGCAATGGCAATTTCGCCAGTTGTAGCTGCTAGTGAATTTCGACGTGTAGTGAACGGCAGCCTCACTTTGATAGCTTGGTTTATACTTTGCCTGGTTGGGCGTGCCGTTATAGTTACAGCAGAAGCAACCGGAGCTGAAACAGAAGATTCTCTTAGAATTGAAGGTGATGCTGTGAAAATAGGAGATGAAATATCAACTGATGTTGAAAGAGGTTGAGAAGATCTTGCAGGCTTTGGAAGCGTTTGCAAGGAAACACTTGAACATTTCGCAGGCAAAACTGAGACGGTCGAATTCAACTCTGTCATGCCTTTTGACTTCTTGGATGTTCTCTCTGATGGCGTCATAGTTCTGTCCATGGACATAATGTCGGAAGGTGTCTAAAATCAAATAAAGATTCCTTTTTTACAAAAATGCTTGATCATCTCATGGAAAGATGCTGATAGAATACAATAGATGTCGACGTTTATTCAGCTGCTACCAGAAATTTAGAAGAAACACATTTCTGAAAAATTCTGTATGGAACTCTGCATTGGAAGAACAAATTTGGAACTAACTAAATTGGAAGAACTAAATTTTAAGAATTTGATTGAAAGAGCAGCATTGGAATAACTAAATTTGAAGTCCAAGAAGGAGTTCGTTTTCTCTCTTGGACTCCAGTGGTAACTTTTCTTTAGACATGCGTCACTGATTGGACAACTTTACCGGTCTTATGCTTGCGTTTTTCTGATTGACCTATTTCGAATACACGAGTACATGTTTTTCATCGTGTTTTTTCAGACCCTTATTCTGACGTTTTCTGCTCTGAGGAATGTCAGACGAAAAAGCTTTTAGCCAATATGTTATAAAATTTTTGTTTTTTCAAAGCCATTTTCAAGAACTAAATTCGAAGAACTAAACTGGAAGAGCTACATAGGAAGAATTAAAATTGGAGGAATTACACTGGAAGAACTTCATTGGAAGAGCTAAAAAGGAAGACCTATGTTGGAAAAACAAGATTGAGAGAACTAGAACTACAATTGAAAAATTCAATCTGACGCACTGAAAATGGGGGAACTAGAATGGACGAGCTAACTTTGGATAAGTACATAGGAAGAATATAATACACCAATTCGACTTACGGGCTTGCTTTGAAAATTTCTCCAAACTTCATTAGACGACTTTTTTAAGCCCAGATTTGGTTTTATCACCACAATTTTAGGCTGGATACAATTTTTCACATTATTTGTGCTTGCACCACTAGATTTTATGGAGAAATGAAGTTTGAAAATTTGTGAGGCATTTGACCGCAAAAATCATTCCTGGGGAAACTTTACTCAACCACTAGTCGCCAATCATGGTCAAATTCCTTGTAAAATTTTTATCTTTATGTCGTCATAAAAAAATTATCGGAAAAATGAGAAAATGAAAACTTTCAAGTAGACTAAAATTTTTGGTCTCAATCCGAATTTGAAGAATTTGTTAAAATGAGACTGTAAGTTGAATTGGTGTAATGGGAGAGCTAGAATAGAGGAACTAAATTGAAGGCAACTCGATTGAAGAACTAAATTGAAAGAACTGAATTGGGAGAACTAAAAGGAGAAAACTAAATTGGGAGAAATAAATTGAGAGAACTGAATTGGGAGAACTAAATTGGGGATAACTAGATTGAGAGAACTAAATTGGGATAACTAAAATGGGAGAACTAAATTGAGAAAACTAAATTGGGAGAACAAAATTGGGGATAACTAAATTGAGAGAACTAAATTGGGGATAACTATATTGAGAGAACTAAACTGGGAGAACTAAATTGGGAGAACTAAATTGGGAGAACTAAATTGGGGATAACTAGATTGAAAGAACTAAATTGGGGATAACTAGATTGAGAGAACTAAATTGGGAGAACTAAATTGGGAGAACTAAATTGGGAGAACTAAATTGGGGATAACTATATTGAGAGAACTAAATTGGGGATAACTAGATTGAGAGAACTAAATTGGGAGAACTAAATTGGGAGAACTAAATTGGGGATAACTAGATTGAGAGAACTAAATTGGGAGAACTAAATTGGGAGAACTAAATTGAGAGAACTAAATTGGGAGAACTAAATTGAGAGAACTAAATTGGGAGAACTAAATTGGGAGAACTAAATTGGGAGAACTAAATTGGGGATAACTATATTGAGAGAACTAAATTGAGGATAACTAGATTGAGAGAACTAAATTGGGAGAACTAAATTGGGGATAACTAGATTGAGATAACTAAATTGGGAGAACTAAATTGGAAGGACTAAATTGGGGATAATTAGATTGAGAGAACTAAATTAGGAGAACTAAATTGGGTGAACTAAATTAAGAGAACTAAATTGGGGATAACTAGATTGAGAGAACTAAATTGGGAGAACTAAATTGGGAGAACTAAATTGGGAATAACTAGATTGAGAAAACTAAATTGGGAGAACTAAATTGGGAGAACTAAATTGAGAGAACTAAATTGTGGATAACTAGATTGAGAGAACTAAATTGGGAGAACTAAATTGGGAGAACTAAATTGGGGATAACTAGATTGAGAGAAACAAATTGGGAGAACTAAATTGGGAGAACTAAATTGGGAGAACTAAATTGGGGATAACTATATTGAGAGAACTAAATTGGGGATAACTAGATTGAGAGAACTAAATTGGGAGAACTAAATTGGGAGAACTAAATTGGGGATAACTAGATTGAGAGAACTAAATTGGGAGAACTAAATTGGGAGAACTAAATTGAGAGAACTAAATTGGGAGAACTAAATTGAGAGAACTAAATTGGGAGAACTAAATTGGGAGAACTAAATTGGGAGAACTAAATTGGGGATAACTATATTGAGAGAACTAAATTGAGGATAACTAGATTGAGAGAACTAAATTGGGAGAACTAAATTGGGGATAACTAGATTGAGATAACTAAATTGGGAGAACTAAATTGGAAGGACTAAATTGGGGATAATTAGATTGAGAGAACTAAATTAGGAGAACTAAATTGGGAGAACTAAATTGAGAGAACTAAATTGGGAGAACTAAATTGGGGATAACTAGATTGGGAGAACTAAATTGGGAGAACTAAATTGAGAGAACTGAATTGGGGATAACTAGATTGAGAGAACTAAATTGGGAGAACTAAATTGAGAGAACCAAATTGGGTATAAGTAGATTGAGAGAACTAAATTGGGAGAACAAAATTGGGAGAACTAAATTGGGAATAACTAGATTGAGAGAACTAAACTGGGACAACTAAATTGGGAGAACTAAATTGGGAGAACTATATTGGGGATAACTAGATTGAGAGAACTAAATTGGGAGAACTAAATTGGGGATAACTAGATTGAGAGAACTAAATTGGGAGAACTAAATTGGGAGAATTAAATTGAGAGAACTAAATTGGGAGAACTAAATTTGGAGAACTAAATTGGGGATAACTAGATTGAGAGAACTAAATTGGGGATAACTAGATTGAGAGAACTAAATTGGGAGAACTAAATTGGCAGAACTAAATTGGGAGAACTAAATTGGGAGAACTAAATTGGGAGAACTAAATTGAGAGAACTAAATTGGGAGAACTAAATTGGGAGAACTAAATTGGGAGAACTAAATTGGGAGAACTAAATTGGG